TCAGCCTCAAAATCTCCAACAATATAGCACTACAATATATATATATGATATACTTTTTTTTCCTTTGTGTCTTTGGCGTTTTCTCTTTCAGTTTCTTTTTAATTTGAGAATTCTTTGCCTTATTCAGACATCAACTTTATTAAATAATCAGTTAAATCTCTTCCAGCAAGATGAATCTTCATTACAGCATGAGATAATGCAAAACCTTCATAAATAGGTACTGTTTCTGTAACAGCATCTCCAGAATCCACAACTAAACCAGTTGTTTTACCAGAAGCACATAATGCTAAAACTTATTGAATTGCCAAATAGAAAGATGGAACATTGAACTTTTCAAACATTATTTCAATCATTTTTTCTCTATTAGCTGCTGGATTGAGAGGTGGTTCTGACATTAAAACAGGATGATCTTAAGGAGAAACTCTCAATTCTAATTTAATGGATTCAAATACCATTGTAATATGCATGATGCCAAATCTTTTCCATATCATCCCAACGAGTAATAATTCCATGATCAATAGGGTAAGTTACATTCAAAACTCTAAAATATATCGAATTTAAAATACTCTAATTTCGAATTGACTTCATCTCCAATATAGGTATCCTTCTGATCCATACCAACCATTTGACCAGGCTACTTAGGTCTATTAAAATATATTAGGATTAAAGTATACTTTCCCAAAACTGTCTAAATAGTTGCTCTTGGAGCATCATCTCCTGATATGCCTGCCTTAATATATCCTGATCCATTGTCTATAACCACAACTGGGATTACATCGTCCATTTTAATTTAATTATATTTATAGATGTGTGTAAAGGGGATTTGTTTATATAATTAAATTTAAATATGAAGCTGAAGAGGTTTCTCTTGAGATATTATCCTCCTGGCATTATTTTAGAATACATTCGTAGCAATGGAGAATAGGAAACAAAGTCTATAGATTTGTTAAATCTAAGCAATGAGTAATGATAGCAATTTATCAATAGCACTGATGTAGATTAGTTGGTTGATGAAATTGTGATGGAAGAACCTATCATTTCAGAAAATAGAAAGCCATAACTAGCAGCATTGATTCGCAGTATAAACTTATTTAATTTAGAACTAATTGAAAAGATCGAATCAAAAAAGGAACAATCATTTGAGTTGTTCAAGACTCTCAAAGCACATATGTTACCACTAACAAATTGCGCATTTAACAAGAATGGGGACAAGTATTGAGATTCCACTATGTAGATTCATCACAGGTAGTTATGATAGAACGTGTAAAGTATGGGATACTTTCACAGGAGAATAATTAGTCTCCTTAGAAGGTCATAAGAATGTTGTATATTGTATTGCATTCAACAATCCTTTTGGGTATACAACAAACATTATTTCTATAGAGATCGCATTGTCACAGGCTCTTTTGATAAAACTGCTAAAATTTGGGATGCCAATTCAGGAAAATGTTTATAAACACTTGTTGGACATCAATATGAAATAGTTTGTATTTCTTTTGATCCTCATTCATTACTTGTGGCAACAGGATCAATGGATAAAACTTCAAGATTATGGGATGTCGAAACAGGAAAATAAATAGCAAGATTAGATGGACATGAAGGTGAAATTGTAAGTTTACATTTCAATTCTGATGGTGATAAATTACTTACAGGTTCTTTTGATAAAACTGCTATGGTAAAATTTATTCTTTACATATTTAGATTTGGGATGTAAGATCTGGAGAATGTATACATATTTTAGATGAACATACAGGAGAAATTTCTAGCACTTAGTTTGAATTTACAGGAGATTATTGTGCAACTGGTTCTATAGATAAGTAATAAAATAAATATAAAATTTTTAGAACTTGTAAAATTTGGGATATAAAAACTGGTAAATGTATTGAAACACTTAGAGGACATAAGGATGAAGTACAAGATATTTGCTTCAATTCTACAGGTTTCTATTTTTATATATCATTTCTAAGGAACTAGATTAGTCACTGTCTCAGCTGATGCAAGTGGTAGATTATACAATGTTCATTCTGGAGAATGCATTGCCCAACTCTTAGGACATAAAGGTGAAATCTCTAAAGTTGCTTTCAATCCCTCAGGAAACAAAATAATTACTGCTAGTGCAGACAATACAGCAAGAATTTTGTAATTTTCATATTAATCATTTTTAGTTCAGAAACTGGAGAGTGTCTGCAAGTATTGGAAGGTCATACTGATGAAATATTTAGTTGTGCATTTAATTATGAAGGAGATATTATTATCACAGGATCTAAAGATAATACATGCAAAATTTGGAAGGAAGCTAATTTTTAGATTAAAAAATGACTGTTTCCATATATATATCTATATATATATATTCATCAAACGATGGTATTATCCTATCTATCACATTTATCTTTTGAATAAAATTACTATTTACTCTAATATTTGATATGATCTGTAAATAATATTATATATTATAATTTGTATATGATTTCAACATATACTTATAATAAATAATGAATTATTTAAATTAAAGTTTATAATTAATTACATTATAAATGGATGACACTATTTAAGAATCAGCTTACTTACTCAGCATAGCTTATCTACTATTGGGTTTGATTTTTATTTTTCTGGCATTATATAGTATACCATGTCTCTGGAAGGCTTGGAAATGTAGACAATTCTTTCCAAAAATTTTTTATCTGTCTATATTAGCAATTTGCTGTGATCAAGCTGCATACTAGCTACTCTATTTATATGAAGTATTTAGAACTTATTTCAAAGGTCATTACAGCAATAAAGAAAGAAAAAGATGATTAATCATAAACTGAATCATTCCGCATAATTTTCTTTCAAACTATATATGTCCCAGATGCTATCTTTTTTGTGATTTATTTTTCATTATTTTGGCAGTTCTTAATAATGATGCATCATGGTAGAATTAGAACTGGAAGTATTTAAGTTGGTATCAAAGTTATTAATATCAAGGTAAAAGGAACTGGAATCCAGAATAAGCAAATTCTAAAGTTCGTTTAATATTATACCTCTATATAATAGGTTAAGCTATTGTTATTTGGTAATTCATGGCTTAGGAACTATCACCAAAAGCTATAATGATATGTGATATAGCTGTTAATGCTTCTGTGCCTATTATTGTTGTAATAATGGTTTTGTACTTAAATATGAAATTTTCTGGATCCCCTTTTGTTTCAAATAAATATGAAAAGAGTAATAATAAAATATAATAATTATTATGGATTTGGATTTTATTAAGAATTCCTTAATTAGGTGTTAATGTACTTGTGGTTATTTATAATGATGATTTAATAGCTTTAATGGGTGGTAAATTAGAAGTAACTTTTATTGAATAACTATTATTGATTTTATTTATAGTTGGAGATATTATAATTGTTTAAATTATTCCTGTTTTAATGGCAATGTCTAATAGTTTTTTGAGTGCATTATTACTTGATCATAATAAAATTAATTAATTTATTAGTGTAGATGCTTTTTAAGGTGAAATGAATCTTTAATAATAATAAACATAAGGAGGAACAATTCCACTTAAAAATAATCCTAGAGAGTACTCTTTATTTATTGATTTAAAATTATTTGATTTAGAAATTAATGAAAAATAATTCTATAAAAAATATAATGGATTTGGGGAAATTAAAACTTCAACAATTAAGAATAACACTAAAAAATATGCAATAAGAGTTATATAATTTAAAGAATTAAGTTCTTTTTTAATTGATGAAACAAAATAAGAAATCGAATAGATTAATAACATTAAAAAGGGATATAAAATTCTTTGGTTTAATTTTAGTGAATCAAGTATGTATCTATTATCTAAATTCTATCCAAATTCAAATTTAAATAATTTTATTCATAAAAACACAGATATTGGATCTGCATAAATTAAAGATATTACTACTTCCTACACAAATAAATAATTATTAATTAGAGTTAATATTGCTACTGATCTCATTAAGGCAATTTAAAATTTACATGATTAAAATGTAATTCATGGGCATCTAAACTCCAATAATATTTTATTTACAGATAAATTTAAAATAAAAATTGTAGATTATGGATTAAGAGCAATAAAAAAATATGCTAGTTTAGTTAATGGATATTGCAATAAGAATGGATTTACAGCTCCTGAATGTTTAAATGATAGGGGAAATGTAGTTTCTCATTCTGCAATTAAAGAATCAGATATATATTCATTTGGAATGATTCTCTATCAATTATTTACAGAAACTATACCATTTTATGTATTTATTTAATCTTAAGTAGAATATGCCATAAAAAGACATTGTCTAACTAGTTAAAGAATAGTAATCTAGACCAAAAATTCCAGAATCACTTAATACAAATATAGCAACTTTAATAAGATGCTGTTGGTAATAAGACCCATTGAAAAGACCAAATATAAATTAGATTCTAATAACCTTGAAATAAATATCCGAAAACTTAGAATGAAACATATTTTTTTATTAATTTCATCAATTTTGTATTATAAAAGAAATAATTTTTAAATACATATAATTCAATTTTTAATATATTATCTGCATAGATTTAAAGCTATAAACTAAAAAATTACAATAATTCCAATCTGTTATTAACAGGAATATATTTTTTATAATAATGTTATCATAAAAACAACTTAAATGAAATTTTTATTAGTTTAAATTGTGTAATTTTAATTAAAGAACCCATTTATTTTTATGAATAATTAATATTGAAGATTATATGTTATTTCTAATTTCTATAAATAACTTTATTTAATAAGAGTAACAATGAATAATTATTTCATAGTTTTTAATATATAGGTTATTTTATTACATTTTAAAAAATAAAATTTAAATGTTAAATATTATGAATAAAATGATAAGCTTTAATAGTTCTAAATTAGAATAAATAACATTTTCATAATTTAAATCTATTCATTTTATTTATTTTTTAAATTGATAAATTCTCTATATAGAATATGAATTATTAACATATTTCAATTAAAAATGAAATTGCTTTCCGAGTTTTATTTATTGAATATAGGAAATCTTATATGTTGCCTTGGATTATCAGTAATAGCTCCATTTTATCCAACATATGCTGAAAAATTTGATGTTTAAGGATTCTTATTAGGTCTCATTTTTGCTATTAATCCAATAGGAGGAATATTGTCTTCATTAATTGTTGGAAAGATTCTAAATAGAGTAAAATTTTATATTAATTTATACTAAGAACAATCAAACTAATCTTTTATCATTAGGAATGCTAATTTAATCTATTGGTATGTTTTGTTATCCATTTTTAACATTTACTACTAATAGAACATTATTTATTATCATTTCCTTATTAGGAAGGTTTATAAGTGGATTTGTAATATATTATAAATATTTTAGGGAGCATAAACATTTGTAACTCCTCTTTATGCAATAATTACATAGAAATATGCTGATTCAATCAATTAAAAAATGGCCATCACAGAATTTTTTTCCTCTTTTGGTTATTTATGTGGTCCAGTAATTGGATCGACCTTATATTCTCTAGGTGGATTTTCATTTCCATTTATTATATTTGGTTGCCTTTCTGTAATCATAGCCATTATATTAAAATTAAATTTTGAGAAATAAGAAAAAAGAGCCATTAATAAAGTTAATGAATCTGTGATATCTGATATATACGATATAGATTGTTCATCAAAATCATTATTTAATGATGAAGAAAATAATGTATCAATTGGTTATTTTGATCTTATTAAATATTTCCCTGTATCATCATCATTATTTGTAATTTTAGCATTATGTATTACTTTTACATTTTATTATCCAACTTATGCAATCTATTTTGAAGAGAATTTTAATATTCCACCCTAACATGTAGGTTTTTATATGTCTGCAGTTTCATTAGCATATAGTATTGGAGCTTTGACTATATCTCGAATTTCTGTTAATAAATCAATAGCTATTTTTACAGGGATGGTTTTTGTATCGATATCATAATTTTTTATGGGTCCAGATCCAATAATGAATATCAGTCCTAGGATATTAATTACTGTTAGTGCTTAATCAATTTTTGGATTTTTTTCTGCACCACCTTACATAATGGCACTCCCTAAAATTACAGAAGAATTATAAGATAGATTTAAAAAATCAGATCATGATAAATGTAACTCATTAGCATCTGGTTTATTTAATGCTGTTATTTCAACTGGTGATTTTTTAGGTCCAGTATTTTCAGGTGTGATGGCTGAGTTCTTTTCATTTCAAAGATCATGCAGTTTTTTAGGTTTGTATTTAGTTGCTACAACTTTACTATTTCTTCCAAATCTATTTATATCCAAGAAAATTAAGAAAATTTAAATTAAATCTTATAAAGAATAATTATGATTTAATAATTTTATTTGTTTATGATTTATATATTATAAGATTATATAATATTTTTGATATTCATATAGTTTGATATATCTATATACTACATAATAATCAAATAAAATTATTTAAATATTTACTCATTCAAGATCAAATTCATAATCAAAAACATGATCAAATTCAAATTAATAAATACCTTTATTTGATTATATTAAATTTTAAGATAAAGTAATTATTATTGTATACACATAATTTATAAATAATGAATAAGGGTTGGGAAGTTGATGAAGATTAAACTTTAGATCATTTTCTATCTCTTACTGAGAGTTTAGTTATTAAGAATTAAGTAGTTGAAAAACCTAATATCTCAACAAAAATTTCTCCAAAAACATAAATGCGATTTAGAACAATGTCGATGCCAAAAGTGGAGGAGTTCATTGAACCAAAGAAAGAAATAGTGCAACAAATCTAAGATATTTAAATTAAACAATAGTCAATATTTAGACAGAATATTAAATAATAAAGACCACTGGATTCTCGAATATCTATACGATCAACTGTCTTTTAGAATCCAATTGAATAAGAATCACCAATCAAGAATGGAAGAACTTTATAACCAAGATTATTCAATCCTTTATTAAGAGAGTAATAATATAAACTTGGTCTATCTCGAAAACTTAAAAGTATGAACAATATCTTTAATGATGAACGTATAACCTAAAAGCGTGATTTCAATTATTTAAAATAATAGAGATCTAATATTCTTTAAGTAGCTCTCTCAAAATGATTATTGATAATTTTTACTTATTATAATTTAATCTATATATATATATATAGATAAGCATTTGAATCAATATTTTACTATTCTTATAGTGATATAAAAAATATAATAATACTAATATTCACTTTAATATTTTTATAGTATTTTACTATAATAAATTATAATTAATAGTATTTAAAGAAATATATATATTTTCATTATTTTTTATACTTAATCCTACTTTGGATATATGAAAAATATAAAATATAACTCAAGAATAATAACAATAATGTCTAACTTTTATGATTGAAAATTATCATTAGAATTTGAATTATTATTAAAATTAATATGAGTAAATAACCTGAATATATACTTGATTCATATAAAGTGCCATATTATTTATAAGATTCATGCGTAGATGAATATGTGTACTACCAATAATGTCTAAGACACAATCCCAGATTTTTTGAAAATAAATTGATACATTCATTACCATTTGCAAGTGCTTTAAGTAATTGTGCAAAAAAATAGCAAATATTTGTGAGAGTAAATTATACTTTCAATATTTTAGTGTCAAGAATATAGAGAAAGAGAATTATTTGAAGAAATGCGAAAGATCTATGTAGATAGTGTAAGAAAAGGAGAAGAAAGATGAATTATTGTATTATTAAACAAAAAAATAAAAAATTCGTCAGCTACAGGATTTGAACCTGTGCGGGTGAACCCAGCGGATTTCGAGTCCGCCTCCTTAACCACTCGGACAAACTGACAACTTCTAATTATTAATCCATAGATTAATATATTTATATTTCGAATATAAAAGAAGAGATTAAATATCAATTCTAAGCTAGTTTAAAAAAAATTCATAATAAATGTAAATCATCATGTAGATAACTCCAATATTTTACACAATTGAATATGATAAATGTGAAGTGGATTTTGCATCATTATTATATTAACTCTACTCTAATATTAAAAAAATAATAGGATTTATTGTAAAGAAATTTAAAGTAATAGATAGATATTCAATTAAACTTAATTTTATTAGAATATATTATATATTGAAATAGTTTTAATAAGTTGGTTAAAGATTATATTAAAAAGAAGTAATTTATTACTTAAACATAAAAAGTATTTAATCAGATAATGTAATATAATGATAAATATTGAAATTAGGATAGAATTATTCAATATGGGATAAAATATTATGTATTATTTTTCTATTTATTGATGTTTAATAATTAATACAAGATAATAAGAGACAAATGATTGATATATGTAATTTATACTTAATCATTCTTCATCAAAATCATTATCAACATCATCTGGAACATTTTCAGGTATTTTTGGTAAGGGATGTTCTTCATCGTATCTAAGTTCCCATTCTTCTCTATTTGGTGGTTCTTGATCTTCTTATTATTGGATAGAATTCTTATATTCTTCAAATTTCTATTCTTTTTCCTAAAATATGATAAATAATTTACTTCTTTAATTTTAGCAACTTATTCTGTGGTTTCCTAAATCAATTTTCTAAGATTAGCAATTTTTTCTCTTCTAATTTCAATATCTAAAACTCTTAATTTGATAATATATTGCATCCATTTTAAGATTTTAGCATAGCAAACATTATATTCTTCAACTTATTCAACAGTGAATTTACTAATTCTTTTTTAAATTCTATTTAATTTAGCATATTTTGGAACTTCTTCTGTTTTTGCTCCTCTGTATTCATAATCAAGTATTTTTTGAATTAAATCTTCACAAATATAATGTTTAACTCCTGTCCAATCTAATTAGTTAGTTCCCTTTTCTAAAAGATTCTCTTTATTATAATTTAAAAATAGCATTAAAGCTAATAATAATCCAGGATATTTAAGAACTCTAACTTGTTTCAATGAAAATAATTCTTATTATAATTATTGAATTTATGAAGCAACAGTATTGGCTCTAATAGAAAGCAATGCAAATTAATGTTCTTTTTCTTTGTCTTTTAATTCATCATATTATGATTATTAAGATTCTACAGCCTATTCTTCTTAAATTGTTAATGCTTCTGATCTTTCTTTAACACCTTACTCTTAATAAACAATCATATGATCTATATCTTCTGATAATAATTTGCATTCCATTTAATTCCAACTTTAAGCAAATAAATTAACATAATCCTCAAAATATTATCTATCTTTCTCACTTATTCCAACATCTTTACCTAAAGTATCAAAACATACAACAAATTATCGTTTTTAAGATTGAAATGGTGCTTCACTCTCATCTTACCAATTTGCTAAATATTAATCTAATTCTTCTTAAATAGGAGTTGGATCTTATTCAGTCTCTGTTGCTTCTTTAATTCTAGCATTAAATTCATTAATTTTATTTTCTTTTTCTAATTTCTTTTCAACATCTGCTTTTTTGAATCTTAATCTTTCTTCAATTCCAGCATCTAATGAAGCAGGAAATAAGCAAGATTAATAAATAAGTGGAATGGCTAAGAATGCTCCCAACTTTTTCCATTTAAAATAGACAAGTTTTTATTCTTTTGTTACATCAGGTATATAAATAATAGGTGATTAAGGTTATTGTCCTTCTTCAGGAGGTGGAATTTCTCTAAATACTTCTCCTGTTACTCCTACTTCATTTAATGGTAGTGTTTAACCAATCATGAAACTGTGATCATCATTAGCTCCTATATATTTAATCAATTTTGGTTATTCTGTATCAAGATGAGCATTTTCATCATCATCATTTTCATTTATTTATTTACTTGGAAAATCAACATATCCTACATATACTCCTGTAAGACCTTTCTTTTAAAGATGATTGCAAAAATCTTTGATCAATAATTTTTAATGGAATTCATGAGTTTTAATAATATTTTGAAATTCCATTTCCTTCAAATTTTCTTCATCTTGTAACTGTTTCTCTTTACGATCTTTCTCTTCTTATGCTTCTTATTCCTTCTTCTATTGCTCTCTAAATTATTTGTATTAATTACATTAAAGACTCTTTATGACTCATGTGATCTTGCATAGAACCTCTATTAGCCTCTGTTTGATTATGATTCAATAACCATTTAGCTAAATATTCTATTGGGAATTATGGTTTCACTCGATACAACTCAGCCAAACCTTTTGTAATTACCTTTCCAATCCTTTCAGACTTAAGATAAGCCATATCTATTTTATCTGTTTCAGGTATCAAATTCATTAAATAATATAATAATTCAAACAAAACATCCATAAATCCATTTCCCTTATAATATTATTTTATCATCTTAAGACAATGAACCAACTCCATGAAATGCATCTAAAGCAAATCCTCCAACAAACTTAAACTCTTCTCCCTCACAATTGAAAGTCATCATTCCTTAACCATGAAACTATCCATTTCTAAATTCTCCTTCATAAGAAGTGAATTAATGTTAAACTAATTTAAACTACTTAAAATTTAACAATTTGAATTCATCCTCTTAATAATCTTAATTTATAAATCTTCCTCTTCCTGAAAATTAATCATTCTACCATTAACCTTAATATACAATATTTTAATTAAAATCTTTTAAAGTTCCATTTCCATGTCTCATTCCATCAACCCAATCACCATCATAAACAAATCCATTCTCATACATTTTTCTACCTCTCCCATTCTAAACATCTTCTCTAATAGTGATATTAGATTTCTTAAATTTCCCTACTGATGGTGTTTTACTAGAAGATCTATAATGACCAATCATTTTATCTTTCAATCTTGAACTTTCAATTGGAGAATGATTAGTGTGTATTGTATGTTTAACAGAATTTACATAAGATTATAATGTATGTTAACTTATACAATTTGATTACTTATTTGATCTTGTTGGTCCACTTAAGTAATATGAATATGATTCTACAGAATCTGTTTCTGTCTTTTTAAGTTGAGATCTTAATTAATCATTTTTTTCCATTATATGAGCTATTTTCTTTTCTAAAAAACTCAATTTACTTATAGTTTCATCAATCATATCATCTTATTTACTTTTCTTTCTTTTAAAATATGTAATTTATGAAGTGGGTGATTTTGGCATAGTAGAAGGAGGTAAATAATTTACAACAGCTATTTTATTATCAATACATCTAAATGGACTTTATGAGGTACTTGGTGAATGAACTCGTAAGAGACGAGTAGTTTATAATCTGCTAGGTGTTTTATTATGAATATCTAGTTAATTTGGTCTTCTGTTTTCTTTTTAATATTGTTTCATCAGTTAATTTTTATATTTATTGTCTACTTATAGAAAAAAAATTTAAAATTAATTAATCAATTTTTAAGTCGAAGCATCATATGCCTTTTTACAGAATAGAAGGATGGAGGTACATTAGGTTTAGGAGGTCTTGTTGATTTTTAATTCTCTATAATACTATTGATATTTTTAGATAAATCTGTTATTAATGGTTCTTCTGATTTCTTTGGAGCTAAGAAATGTTATGGTTTGATTTTTAATCCAAGTTATTCCAAATTAGTTTAAGTATTTAATTTACTTTTTACATTAATACCCATTTATTATAATAAAGGTGGTGTAGTTTAATGTGATTTAGATTATAATTTTTTTTAATCTTTAATTTATTTATTAATAGTTATATTGCTTCTTAATCTAGTATGTTATTTAAATACATTATAATTAGATGTATTAAAAGATTAAATTGGAAATGGGATATCTTCTTCTGTAACTTCTAAATTAGCAGTAGATGGTCTTTATAATGTAGTATGCATAAATTATTAAGATGGTTAAAATTAATTAAGATTATAATCTTCTTAAAATACAAGAGTAGCTGAATTCTATCCATTAGGATAATTAGTAATATAATTAGTAATTTTTGTAGACTTTTTAGATTAAGAATTAGATGATACTTTTTTAATAATAGAATTTTAGACAGATCTAGAAGGATTATTAAATTTCTTTTCACTTTTTTATATACTAAGCATAATTGATTATTGTGAAGATTATTATTATTATATTCTAGGACTAAATCTTTATTCAATTTTAGATTTTGAGATTGGTTACATAATAGAAATCATTGGTTTATCTTTATATTTTGATTTAGAAAAATCTTCTTATAATATTTATTATTTAATATCTTCTAAATAGGTTTCACTACCATCATCATCAGAAGAATCAGATTCTTTATCAGATACAGATATATTCATTTTATCAGCATCTTATTTAAGTTCATCAAATAGATTAGCAAATTTAGTATTTTAAAATTATTAATAACATTAATCTTCTTAATAACCAGTAAAACTACGTTTTTTATTAAACATTTAATTCTTAATTTATCTATTTGATCTTTTAGTTTCATCATTTTTTTGATTATATATCATATCCATTTCACTTTACATTTCAACTAATTCTGTTAATGTCTCTCCTATTATCCATCCCATCTAAATCCAATGTTTACATGTAAATTCAAATGTTTATGTTTAATTATAATAACTTCCATTTGATGATTCTATTGTAAAACAATTTACTATATCATATAAATCTAAAAACACTCCTCTTGCTGTTGATTTCTTTGATTAACTTATTCTAAATATTGAAGAATAATATCTAAACATTTCAGTCTTCTAACCAAGTAATTTAGCCAATACTCTACACTTATAATAATTATAATTCCACAATGGATATTCAGGACCATAAAGAAATACATTCTTTTTTACTTATATATTTCTTATTCTTACCAGAATGACCATGCAAATCAATAAATCCAATTAAATTGTTTCCAAAAATACTATGTTACTCTTTCACTAATCTTTTCATTGCCCATACTGTAGGAAATAACATTTAATCTGTTAATTTAAATCTACGATTCAAATCTTTACCTGCTATTCCTGTTCTATAATTTCCTAAAATTACTCCATCAGGATTCATCATAGGTACAACCTTTATTACACATCTATATTATTATAATTTATATTAAATACTTTTTAATAAGTTTCAATCCTTATTGACTAGATAAAAATTCTAATAATCCTTACATAACCCAAGAACCATTTGATTCACCAGGATGTATTCTAGCTTAAATTATCATACATTTTTAGTTTTAATAATTATTACCATAACTAAATGTATATAGTGGTAATTGTACACCACTTAATGATTCACAAAATACTGTTTTTTCAACATGATTACAATTTTTCTACATATTCCAACAAAATTCAAGCATTTATGTATATGTATATGGTACACAATAAGCTACTTTAATAACTTCATTATCTCCATTACAAACTAATTTAAAAGATAAACTATTATAATGTGAATTATAATGAGTTTTATATTATATTTATTCTCCTCCTTATAACCATTCAGGATTTGTTGATCTCCATATATACGGTTTCATTCCTCTTTCATAAAGAGTACGTGATTTACGAAAATTACATATATTTAATTGTATTACTTCTGTTTTCTTCATTCCTGTCATTTCAAAGTTGTACCATAAAGTATGTCCTTTAGTATTACCATCTACTCTCATATACAAATCGTATTCTGTATCAGAACACTTGACTACAATATCTAAATTACCACTCTCAAATGTTGAATTAAATAGGATTCTACTACTTAGATTGGGATTCATGCCTAAAAAAGGTAATTAAGGTTTTCTTTGTAATATTTTAATTTATTTGAAAGGATAGGATGATCCATTAGAGTATTATTTATGCATTTGTCCAGTGTCTTAAGGTCTAAATCCAAGATAAAGTAATTGATTATTGTGTAATGCTTTGGCAATGATTGAGTCATTTAAGTGATTCGCAAAGTTGAGTGTTAGTAATTTACTATAATCAACTTTTGGAGCCCATCCAAGAAGCATGTCATTCTCTAAACTAAAACTATGATCTGTAAGAGTAATGGCCTTAGGAATTTGATTAAGAAATGGTTGGATGTTCAAATCAACATCCTAATTTAACATACTATAATAAAAATATGGGGAACTGTCAAAATTTTTATATCATGAATTACGGTATATTGATATACTTTTTAATAATCCAACTTTTTGAACACATCCTAAATGAATACAGAAATAAGAATCATTTGTTAATATTGAATGTAACGAAATAGAAAAATTAGGAATAGTATGTTAATTGATAAATATCCATTTATGATAATTGACATTTAATTAGCTATGCCAGTCAGTAAGATTATCTAATAATGAAGACTCTAATAATTAGAATAATAATCATGGAAAAAATAATGAATATATCTAGGATGAGGATGAAGAATATTCAAAATACTTATTACTCTATTTCAATTCATTCATCTTAACTAGTCAAGATCAATCTAAAATATTATTTTTAATAAAAGATTTATACTATTAGTCTGATATGATCAAACTAAGAAGAGATAACTTAAGTATATTAAATTTAATAATTGTTAATTATTCAAACCTACCTGTAAGGATATTGAAATTTTCTCATTATATTAATAATGCTTATTTCAATAGAATCTAAAAATGTGAAATCTTTAACTCTTAGTCACGAACTTGTATATTTTAAATTAATTGAATATACAGTTAACGTATCAAATTAAAAATCTCAAAATATAGCACACCAATTTTATTATAAAACTGATTTAGAGGGATTATTAAGATTATTTCTATCTTACTATATAAATTTTAATTATTATTAATAATAATTAGTTACTAATTAATAATCTTTCTTTTTAACAATTTCCATATATTGAATAAATTTAAAGAAAGATTATTTAAATTTTATTGGAAAGAATATTCTTTTATTATTTAAATTAATTAGCTTTAAATTTTATTTATAATTAAAATATAAATATCAATGATTACAAAATAATCAAACACTGATTCATTTTTTAAATTAATCTTTATGCTTTAAAAAATATTCAATCCTAAAATTTATATAATTATATTACGTTTGATTACAAATAGGGCATCTCACTAATTTTGTATTAATTCTTATCCAATCTTCAAAACATTCTAAATGAAATATATGTCCACAAAATATCTAAATTATTTCCTATTATATTTCATATTACTCAATACAAAAAGGACATTTGTCTTAATCATAATGTAGAATCTGTTATGAAAAATGTTCCTTTACTATTACCTTTTCTTTAATCATATACTCCATCACATTTTAGAGACTGTCTGTATCTAAATTCTATTACTGATTTTAAATAGATAACGAAATTAAATAATCCATTCTTTTATTAGCTATATAGATGATAGTTCCAAAAAGAATTACTGCTAAAAATAACCAACTAGTTAGTTTTACAATTCTATAATATTCTGAATCTATTGTAGGATCATCTTACTTGATAGTGATTGTAAGCTCATTTATTTTGATATCATCCAAAATTACGAAAATGATTCTAAAATAATAGCCATTGAATCTAAAATCAGAGTTAAAATGATTGAGTATTATTTAATTGCACAATTATAATTAATCATTTCCTAAACAAAAACTCTATTCAATAAAATTCATATTTTATGATTATTCTACTTATAAGTTAAAAACTAAATTAAATTCTTAATATATGTTAGCATCATGAAATAATGTAAATACTGTTCCTTTTGAAACACTCCCATAGTATGTTTAATTAAATTCGATTTCTTAACCACACTTTAATATTTTATTAACAAACCATTTTGAACTTTCCTTTACTTAATTCAAACTCAATCTCTCATAATTCTATTCAGTTTAGCATTTATCCTCAATCCATTCACATCCCATTTATTACATACAAGTATAACAATTATTAAATCTATTGCAACCATTTAAAAATTGATTATATAAAGATTCAAAAATACATTCAGATTTATAAGGTACTAATGAAATATTCAAAGATTCATATATTAGATCACAAGGTATTTAACAATCTTATTATAATTTAATTATTTTTGATTATGAATATATATCTGGATCATATTATTATTAATAATTAATAGATTATTAATTCATTTAAGGTAATTCTTCGATATCATGTTAACAAAATTAAATTTGATCCAATCTTAAATTCCTAATATTAGTTTGTACTGTTTCAAAATCATCATAAATTAATAATAATTAAGTTTCATCAATAAGAAATGCTATATTAGAATATTGCAGATCGAATTATTGAATAAATCTAACATTTTTAGATTAATATTATTATTCAATTTCTTCAATTATAAATAATTTTGTTCTGTTCATATTTTGTTACAATATATAATTTGAATTTGTTCCATTAAAATTTGTTAACATTTATAAAGGTTATGAATCAAATCTATAAATTTCTTAAATTTCATATAAAATCTCTCCTATGCTATATAGTACTTAAAATTGCTCATATGTGATGATTATATAGCCTGATTACTATACTTTCCAATTTAATGGAACATTATTTTTAGATAAAGAGTATGTAGAAACCTCTCTGAATTTCTCGTCAAATAGAGAGTATTCAATTAATTAGATTTGATTCTACTTCAATATGATTAGCAATAAAGCATTTCTTATTTTGTTATATAATTATGAAAATCCAAAAATGCTTCTATTACTATCAGAATTGAATTTATATGAAATACTAAAAAACTTATTCACATCTCCAGGAAACATTGGATATATTTCAATCAAATATTCTTAATTGTCTAATCTTTTTAATAGAGATACAATCACACAGATTGAATCTATTTAAGTAAGATCATAAAACATTATATTATTTTCCTACTTAATCAAATTTGAATATTAAGGGAATAGAGTCCTTCGAATTTCTAAGGTTTTCTATCCTTCATTAGTGATTAAATCACAGATTAAGAAGTTACTTAACTTAATTTCCCCATTTCTTTTTTAGGAATGAATGCCAATCTATTATGTAAACTATTTATTTCTACTTATTTTTATGTGAGTTCTAATTTTGGAACAAATATGTAATTCTAAATACATTGAAAGAGGTAATAATCAGAATTCAAACCAGAGTAAGAGCATTCTCTAAAAATTTGATTCTCTACACTACCGTTTGATCTTGAATATAGATGAGAACCACATACGATCTCAATAAATATTATGTAGATATACATTTTATAAATAATTGTTCTTGTTTAATGTAATTTATGAACTTAATAATAAACCAAATTATTTAATTATCAAATTCCATATATTATTAATGAATTATATAATAGTAAGAATTTATAGAAAATTATTGTAAAATTGATCATTAACGAACAGTCATCTATTGTTTCCATTATTTAAACTATGCTATAGGTGATTGATCCTCTTCATCGAAAGATTCTCTAAATTTGATTCCCTTATTTATCATATCTAAGCATGATATTGATCTATCTCTATTTCCAAAAGTATCGAGAGCATAAGAATCCTTATTTTGAGAATTAGTTTTATTTACTTTTTATTAGAATTATGCTTTGTAAGATGTATTTTATTGAGATTATTGCTTTAATTAATTTATATATTAAATAGATTTGATATCTCTTTTTTCATGATTTTCTTTATTTTATTATATAGTGTCTTTACTTTTATTTAATTTTCTACTTTATTTATTTAGTTTTTCCTTATCATCACATAAAGATTAATCAGTAATAGCACTTTGACAAGAAATATTAAATTAAGGTAACATATATTCTTAAGAATACCTTAAATTTTCTTATTATTTAATTTCTGATGATAATTACTTTACTTATTATTGCAATTCTTAATTTTATTATCTCAACATTTATTTCTCCTATTTAAATTTAGTGATTTATTTATGTATTTCAGTTAGATGATTTTATAATTCTTCAATAAAATTTTAATTCTCATTCAATTACGTCATCAAATTTTAGATTTCTTTTTAATGTTTTTTTTCAAGTTCTTTCTCTTTAATATCATATTATTCTTCAAAATACTTCTACATTTCTTCAATAACTACTTAGTCATTATTTGTTTGTAATTATTGCTCTAATTATGTGACTTATTAATTTTATTAAATCAATTTCTTTTCTAATTCATTAAATTTAACCATTAAATCTTAATTTTCCTTTTCTTTTTAATAAATCAAATTCTCTTTTTCTTTTAAGGATTCATCATAACCTTATTTAGTTGTATCTAATTAAACTTAATTCTCCTCTAATTATAATTCTAATTATTCAATCTAATTCTTCTATTAATTAAGTATATTAGACATTTAATTATTCTATGTATTTACAATATTCAATTATTTCTAGAATTCGTTTCTAAAATTCTAATTAAATAAACTTACTTCTATTAATTAAGACATTTCTCTATAGTACATTTCTCTCTTGAAGATAGATTATTTGCTTCTGCAATTAATATTTCATACTTTTCAACTATCTATACTTTTTCTCTTTCCAATTAATCTACTGTATATTTCATCTTTTCTATTTGAGTAATTCTTTCTTATAAAATCTATTGATGGTCATATAAATACTTAATTTAATTTTGAATTCTCTCCTAATACTAAATTTATTTTTTATTCATATTCAATAATTCTTTTTTCTTATTACTTTTCTTTCTCCATTCTTTTTGAAGATTCTAATTAATCATCCTTGTGTAATAATTTGTTCTTTTAATTATATAATAATCATATACTTCAATTTCCAATTGTCTTAACAATTTGTTTAAATTCATTATTTCATTATCCTTTTTATTGAGAATTTATGCAAACTTGTCTTACTACTCTAAATATTAAGATGATTTATCAATATCAGTTATTCTTTTATTCTTCTCTATCTCATCCATTAACATTCTTTTTAATTCAATATTTTCAGCTAATTAATCTTCAAGTTAAATTCTATAATCTTCAAGATCATATTTATTATCTCGATCACAAGCAAATGAAACCACTGATGTTTTTAAAGATGCTTCAGATCTGTTATTAACATCTATTTGTTTTAAGACCTCTCTATTTGATTATTAGAATTGCTTCTCTTCACTATCTAAGTAGTATTTGTTCATAGTATTGTTTTAACGAATAAATATTTAATATTACACGGTATAAAAATTTAATGGATTTTTTTTATAGAAGCAACACTTGATATAATATGGATTAAAAATTTTTATCTTCAGCTCTAAAACTAAAGAGATTATTCATTACAATACTATTATATATTTCAAAGTTAATTAATTAATTATAGATGAATATAGGATTAATTAAATAATAAAATTATTATTATTCTAAGAAATTGGGTTATAAAGTCATTATTCAGAATTCCCAATTCTGATTCCAATATTTATTTTGTTGGTACATATGTTCGTTTTTATTTTTATTTTTTTCTTCAGTATCTAATATAAATTTGATTTATATAAAATAACTTCAAACTTTGATGAAAAAAATAATTAAAAATTTAGTTTAAACAAAAACACCTATTCTTTCTTCCAAAGATCGAATTTTTTAATTATAAATTAGATAAAAATAGCTATTTTACTTTTGTTTAAAACATAAGTTTAAATCATTTTCAAAGCCCCAAAAAAAAATAAGAAAATATATAAGAAAGATATTAATTATTAAAATATAATTAAAATAGTGATTCATAAATCAATGGCATGTTTTCTTCATCAAAATTATTTACTATTCCAAAATTGACTCAACTAACTTATACTCTTTTTATTTTTCCCATCTAAGTTCTTCTTCAAGTGACTTTTTGTCCAATACTATATGAACACCCTTTTTTTAAATATAAATATTCTGTAGGAAAAACTATAATTAGTGGTTAAGCCTTTGTTTTGATTCTAATCTTTTGCATATTTGCTCATGTCTAATGCCTTTCTGAATTTCTACAATTTATTTAAGTAAATCTATTTATCCATCAAAATCTAGATTTATTTGATATATATACCTTAATAAGATTGTTTGATAACACCATGTTTTCTAAATTTATTTAGAATAGCTTTAGCTGTTGAAAAGTTAATCTTACAAATTTAAGCTGAGGCTCTTATTGTTTAATTATCACATAAGACAAGTCTTAAAAATTTGATTCTAGAGGCAACCTTTTCTTGCTTGTCTTTAGAACAATTCTTTATTTTAAAATTCTCAATTTACTTGGCTTAAAACATTGATATATTAAAAAAATTTTAATTTAGTATTAAGAAAGAAAATCATTTATTAGGATATAATTTGAATTATTGAAAGAATCAAAATTGATTAGCATTTATATTGAATATTAAGACTTAGAGCATAATCAAATTTACAATTCAAAAATATATACTACATTATTGAATAAAATTACAATATATTTTAATAACTTTGGATATTACTGGATAAAATTGAAATTCATAGTATTCTAAAGAAGAATATACTCCAAATTAATTATAGAATGAAAAATCAGGTTATATAATGAATATTTAAATATATTTAAATTGGATATCAAAAAATGTCATACATAATTTATAATTATCCATTATATTTTGTCTATAAAGTTGATTTTTCAGTTTTTATTGTAAAGTCTTGAATTCTTGAATCATGTTTCTAATTAATTAATTAGCTGATTTTTTACTCTTAAATATGAAAATGCCAATTCTAATGAGCTAATTGCTGCATGATTAATAATCTATTTAGTTTCTTATTTATTTTTTTGAATATATAAATCCAGAATAATGAATAGAATTTCTATATTTACTTTTGTTAAACCTTTATTTCTTCATCTTATCTTAATTATTCATTTATAGATTAATCTAATATTTTAATAATTAATTTTCTTATTTCTTGGAAGTTACATCTCAACCAAATTAAGCTTTTTGATCATTTAAAAATTTCTAGTATACTCAATTAATTATTATTCAGTCCTTTTTCATATTTATTTGGTTAATTAATTAACTTGATATGCTATTATAATATTATATTATTACATATTGTAAGATAATTGCTATTCTTTTATTAATATATCTAGTACAATTAATTTTCCTCCTTTTTATCTAAATTTGTAATCTTTATAATTACAAACCTTTATCTTACAAAGAATAATGATTATCAGAAATAGATGGGTCTAATTGTAAACATTAAATTAACTTCTTAAATAAAAAAAAATTTTCTTATAATTGATATATATCAATATAACTTCAATAAATCTATTCTAATATTAATTAAATAGATATTTTAATCAATCTAATCTTATAATTTTCAATGATTTACTAATCCTATCTTATCAAAAGAGCCATTAATTGTTTACATTTTGTTAAATTTATCACATTAGATTAATCAACTTATACAGTATTTCTAAAACTTTTGCAACTTTATCAATCTGAATCCTTAATACTTTTATATCAATATCTATTTTTTTTAAATAATTTATTATATAATACTGAATATTTTCAATATAGTCTATAATAAAGTTCCACTCATCTCTATATTTTTTAATACGTTCTTTAGTTAATTAAATTAATTCTGAATTTAATCAACTATCCCATTCAAATTTTCTATAGTTTGTATTTATGAGATTCTAAAAAGTGATTCTTGATATTCAATAATTAAATTTATTTATATATAAATCAATAATTTTGTATATCTTATTTAGTAAGTTATGATTGTAACTGTTTATGTTATTGATTCTATAAATAATTACTCAAAATTAAATACTTTTATATGATTTAATCTAGAATTTTCACTAGCTAATAGAGCTAATTTATTTTCCAATTCTATAATCTTCTTATCTTTCTCAAAATCATTGCTCATTCCATGACTGTGATTAACACTACGAACAGAATTTTATTTAGCTGTCTATTGAAGTTGTTCCTAAAGATCATTATATTCTATTTCTTGTGATTTTATTTTCTCAACTAAAATTTGAATTTCTTCTAACATCTCTTAATTTTATTATTAGAGTTCAATAAATTATTGATTTCTTTAAGATGATCTATTTGGAATTCCATTAAGAATCAATAAACTAATCATTTATTCTAATGTTTTATCATTCTAATAAAATAACATATAAATTATACATAAATAGGAAAATCTTTTAAAATCATTTATCTATATTAATTTTCTATTTCTTTAGATGTTAATTTGTTATTTCTAAGATTTAATTCTAATTATTTATTTTTCTAATTATTTAAATTAAATATTTACTTATTATTCTTATTTATAGTTTTCAATCATATCTGCTAAATCATTTTCTGAATCTTGTAACTTTAATTTCAACTCATCCAATTATGTATTCAATTTCTATATTTTTAATTCAAGTATTTTGTTTTCCTATTGAATATTCAGATTATTAATAGTGATGTTTGGATTTAATGACAAATTCTGATTAATTCTTAATATTGCTAATTCATTTTAATAATTATCTGATTAATATTTCAACTTGCTATTTTCTTCCTCTAATTGTTTGATCTCTTGATCTTAATCTTCATAACCCTTTTATAAAATCTTAAATTATTCTTCTAAAGAATTTATTAATCTTTATTTTTCTTCAATTTCCTTATCATAAAATTTAACCAAATTGTTTGATTTATCTTTCTCATTTCTACTATAATCTCTTTAAGAATTTGTTAATTATTATTATAATTCTATAATTTTATCTTTAAGAGCTCTTTTTTTCAACTTTTGTTTTTACTTATAATCATCATTCTATAATAAATTTATTTATCTTTAAAGATTTCTATTTTATTCTTCTGAATCTCTTAAATTTTTCTGTAATTATGATAGATTAGCTTATAATAATATGATTTAATCCATTTATTTATCAGGAACATTTGAAATATCATTTTTTCCTTATTTAAGTTAGTTTTAAAGTTTATCAATTTATTTTTTATAATTTTGTATTTCATTCTAATTAGTATTTTATTCTGAAGTAATTTATTATTTTAATATTATTATTTCTTACTTTTAGAATTCATTTTATTAATTTAATTATCTAATTTATTATCTTAATTAATCAAATTTAGAATTAGATTAATCATTTTTTAATTTCTCATTTTCATTTATTAATTAATTTATAGTATTTTTTAAATCAATTATTTCATTTTTCTCTTACTATGAATCCTAATTTATTTCATTTAATTAATTTTATAATGATCTAATTTGATTTTAATAATTTCCTTATTAATCTTAAAATTATTTTATCTATACTGACAATTTTCTAATTTCATCTTAATCTTATTATCTGATAATATTCAATTAGCTAATCTATTTTAATAGTTATTAATTCAAATGATTTGCTGATTCTAACTTTTCATTGGCTTATTAATTATAATTATTAATATCTTTTTATTGATTATATATTTATTATGATAATTATTAATTTTATTTTTAAAGCTTTTCATTCTATACATTTTAATCTTAATATTTTTAATTTAATTAATCAAATTTAACTTATAAATCTTTTAAGTCTTTTTTTTATATTTATATTTATTCATTTAATTATTATTATCTTTATTTATGATCATCTGTTAATTTTTTAATTTCATTCTCTTATTTATATTATAAATATTTGATCTTTTCATCATATTCATTTAATTATTTCTCTAATTGAAAATGTTAAGATGAAAACATTTAAACTTAACTAGTCAACTTTATATTTTATTCATGTAATTATTATATCTCTTCTGGTTAATGAAAAGTAACAGCAGATTCATAATTTATTGATTCTTTTTCTTAATATTATTTAATTTCATCTTCTAAATGAGAAATCCTATTTTAATATGTTTTTGCTTATTTATCATACAATACTAATTAATGTTATAATTCTTTATTCATTTAATTTGTTTTATTCTCTTTCTCTTGTAATGCTTCATATAAATGTTTAAATTTCAATTCTTAAGAGGCTGTCAAATTTGTAATTGATTAAGTATCCTTGAATTTTACATTCTATAATTCAATTTCCATTTAATGCAACTAACTTTTGAGTTAATTGTTTTCATTCACTATTGTAACCTATAAATCTTAATAATAATTTTATTATTATAAAAAGTCTTACTATTATCTTTAGATCTCAAATTCACATTCTCTTAATTATTAACTTAATTTTATTATCTATTATTTATTCTCTTAATTTTGTTTATTCAATTAATCCACTTAATCTAATAAATCAACAGAATTATTATGAAATGTTTATATCTATCTTCTAACACTATTTTAATAATCTATCATTTTCTATTCATGTTCTAATTTTACTTATTCTTAATCGTTTATCAATTAATCTATTTATTCATTTAATTATTCATTAATTAATTAATATTATGTAATCTTTTATCTAAGATCATTCATTTCTCTAACATTATTTTATTATTATTATTCTAAGAAATTCTTCTTATAAGTTATTTCTTCAATAATATTTGACTTTTCTTATAATTCCTTTTCCAAATCATTAATTCTTTAAGTTGAAGAAAATGTTGTTTATTATTATGATTATTTTTCTATTTATTTCTATTATTGTTCTATTAAAATTTATAATTCTTCCATTTAATTTTAAACAGGCATATACATTTATTGTAAAGATTATATTTATTAATTTAGACTTCTTATTTCTACATTCTATTATTCAGTTTATTATTAGAGACTTTTATTTTGAATGATCTTTTCCTACAATTTAGAATTTAATTCATTTATTTATTTATCAACAATTTATTAATTATTCTTATTATCTTCTTCAGAACCTTATGATTTATTTAATCTCTATAAATTTTATAATGAAATATTTAATAATTTTACTTAAGATTACAATTATTATTTCTCTCTTTCTAAAAATACTTATTATTTTTCATGTTAAACTTATTATTCTTATAATTCTTATTTCAACTATTAATATGTTTTTTCTAATTAGTTAACTTTTATAGCATAATCTTCATTTCTTACTAATAATTTGTTACTATCCATTATAATTTTATTTTACTCCTATTCTAACTATCTTTTCTCATTTTCTAAATTATCTATTTTATCAAGATATAAACGTAATTATTTCTATTATTCTTCATATTTCTTTTCTATTCCATTTTTTTTTTACAATTAATTTTCATAATTAGAAATTAATTAATTTTATTCTTAAATCTTATTCTATAATTCTACATTCTATTATTTTAATTGTTAATTTTCAAATGATACAATTTAAGAAGTTTAATCTTATTTTAATTAAAATACTCTAACTTCTGAATTTTACTTAACAGTTACTAATTATTCTTACTTTAATTTCATCTATAATTCTATAATTTGTTATTCTTAAGATTTATTTAATTCATTTATTACAGTTATATTTTTTCTTAATTCTTTATTTTAATCATTAATTCTATCTATTTATTTATATAATTCAGATTATTCTTATTATAAATGAGTTATTAATTGAGTTTATTATGTTTTTGATGATTATAAATTTTCTAATTATTAATTCAAGACCTTTACTTTAGAATTCATTTAATCATCAAATGATACTATACTGATTTCTTTTTTATTCTTTTAATTTATTTCTCTTTCTAATTATTCATAATTTTATTATGAAGATTACAAAGCTTTTTAAACATATTAAAGTTTAAGAATCAATTCACTATTTTCATTTTTAACTTAATTCAAATTCTAAATTGTTTTATTTAAATCATTTTATAAATTTTATTTATCCTAATTAAGTAAATCAACTTAATTTCTTAATTTAATATTTGTATCTACAATTTCTGAATTCATTTTTTCAATTAGTTTATTATCAGTAAATGAATCTTAAGATTATTGATGAAAACATGGCAATTAATTATTTACATTTCCTAATAAAAATTAAGATTCTCCATTCCAATCAACTTCAGATTTTTCTTATCGACTAGACTCTGATCTCTTACTCATTCTATGTATTGAACTTTTCATTGTTTATAAATGAGATATAGCAACTTATTTTGGTTGAATATTCTTTTATTTATTTTACAATTCAATTTTTAGTTATTTGATTAATTATTATTAATCTTATATTACAACCATAGATTACTCTTTTAAATCTAATTTACCTTTAATTAATTTGTTTTCTTATTTTAATTTAGCAATTTCTTCTTTTAAATATAATATTGTATTATCTTTTTCTTCATTAATCATTTATAAATTATCTGCTCTTTCTTAAAATTCATGTTGATCCATTAATTATTATTATAATTTTTCATATTCATTTTATAATTATTAAGCAAATTCTCTTTATTAATCAATAACAGTGTCTTTCTCTAATAATTTATATTATGTTTAAGATTTTAATTAATTAATTTCAGCATTCTTTTTTACTAATAAATCATTTAATGCTATTATTTATACATTAAAATCCATAATTGGAAAATCTAATTTTGAATTTAAATTTTATTATTTCATTTCTTCTAATTATTTATTTAACTCATCCATTTATTTATTATAATGATTTTATAACATTTAAATTTAAACATTTTTAACCATACTCTTTTATTTTGTAGCTTCCTCTGCATCTTCTTATAATTATTTATATTAATTAGTTATTATTTCAAATTATTGTTTTAAATTATGTAATTCATTTATTAAACCTGAATTTTATGATGTCTATTATTGTAATCTCATTAATTAAGTAATTAAATCTTCATTTAATTTTTATTATTCTTTTAATCTTTCATTCCAAGTTTAAACTTCCATTTCTTATGCATCTGCTAATTCATCACATCTTTCTCTTTCTTCTTAAATTTATCTTTTTTAAATAGTAATTCTTTGATTTAAAACTTCAATCTCTTTTTTTGCTTCTTTATCTTTTTATGCCAACTTTTTATTAGCATTTTATAATTATAATTCTAATTCATTAATTCTTTTTTATAATTATTATAACTTCTATTTCAATTCTAATATATAACTCTTTTAATTTCCAATTTCTATATCTTTTTCTTTTAATTAAAAATCATCAATAACTTGTAGATCATTCTTTTATTCATTGATAATCTTTAATTCTAAGAAAACTTATTTATATAAACTTTCCACTCTTGATAATTCTGACTATAATTTTATTATTTCTGATTCTTTCTCAGCTTGAACATTTAATATTTCCTTATTCTTTTAATGGCTCAAATTTTAGACTTACTATGCTTCAAGTTAAGATTATTTTAATTATTCCTTGATTTATTTAGCTTCTCTAATAGAATTTTCATATTATTGTTATACTTAATCTAATTTTGTTTATAAATTAAATATCTCCTTTTTATGAGCTAAATTTTATTAATTAATAACATTTAATAATTCTAAATAAAATGAATATAAATAATACCTTCTTTACTATTTTTCAATGTTGCCATCTAACTCTATATTAATTCATCTTTTCTTTAATCTCTACTATTTAAATTTTATGTCTTATCTTAAAGTTCATTTAACTTAACTTTCATTACATCTAATTCAATAATAGAATTCTCTTTCTCCTTTTATAAATCTAAAATTTATCTATTAAGCAATCTAATTTAATCATTAAATATTTCTTTCTATGAATTTAATAATTAATTATTATTTTATTCAATTACCTTTAATTTATCTTTATTAGCTTATTCTATTTATGTCAATTATATTTGATATTATTATGTTAATTGTTATATATCTTCTTTCATCTATTTAGATAAATTATTATATTTTTCAGTCCAAAATTAATCTACTTATTTTACTTATCTATTTAATTCTTCATTTGATAAAGTTATAACTTTTTAAGATTATATTTTATTATTATTACTAAATTACTCATTTTACAACAATAATTCTTTCTCTCTCTGATCAAATTTTAATTTTAATTATTCTACTTCTTATGATTTCAACACCTTTATTTCTAATAATTAACTTTCTACTTACTAAAGTTATTAATTTTTTAATTAAAGTTCTTTTTAAAATGAAACTATTTATAAATTCAATTATTTAATTTAAGCTTCTGATTCTGTTTAAATTAAACAAAGTGATTTATGTTTTTCACTCAATTACTTTTATAAATCTAAATTTTAATTTTTTAATTGATTAATTTCATTATTTAATTTTTATGTGTATTAATTTGAAGATTATTATTATATACTTAAATCTTTTTCTAGATTTCCCATTTATAACATAAAATCATCTTTTTTTCTATCAAATTAAGTATTTTCTGATTCAATTGCTAATTATAATTTTTAAACTTAAATCATCATTTCTTATATTTTCTTTTAATTTTATATATTGATTTATTCAAAATTTTAATTATTTTCTTTGATTTCTTATGCCTTTTTAGCCAAATCTTAATTAGCCTTTTCAATTATTGTGTTTTTTAATACAATTTCTTATTCCATTTATGTAATTTTCATTTAGGCTTACATTTAGAATTATGCTAGTTTATCATTAAAGTCTTATTATAATTTTTATTAGATTTATTATGCTTAAATTAATTATTATGATTTAGTTGCATTAACAGCTTCATAATTGGCAGTACTCTAATAGATTTCATTCTTTTTTATATTAATTTCCTTCGTTAATTTATCCAATTAATCATTTTTTAATGTCAATTCAGAAGTCAATGATTCTATCTTACTTGTAGCTGACAATTACATTTTACGAATTTATTCTTAAAGTTCTTCTATTATTTTTTTGGAATTCGTATCCAATTATGAGATTTGGTATATTTTTTATTATTATAAACTGTCATTATTTCTCTATAATTACAGAATTTCATTCTTTAGTTTTTAAATATCTGTATTAGCTCTATCCAAAAGTTGTTTACTTTAATTTTTTTCAATGTTATTAGTATCTTAAACCTATTTAAGCTAATTTCTTAGTTAATTATTTTGGTCAGTTAATTATTCAATTGCTCTCTTTTGATCAAGATTAAGTTGAGAAATCTATTGAACTTAAAGTTGTAATGATTGATTTATTTGAATTTACTACTATAATTAATTGACTTGACCCTTATAATCCAACTCTAATTATGACAATTACTGATTCTTAGTTCTTACTTCATTTTACAAAGACTTTATTTCAAATTCCAATTTATTATTTTTGTTTAAAGAGTTTCTAAGCCATACTTCTTAATTTCTATTTTATTCTGGTGTTTGAGACATTAAATTAATTATATAATATTTCGAGGAATTATAACATGATTCTATTTTATGTTTCAATAAACAAATACAATAAATAAAGATAACTCAATATACTAAGTTTATTCTCTTCATATATTCAATAAAATCTTACTGATTAATCATAAACAATTAAGAAATGAAATGTCATTAAGAAAAATTTATTAATTTACTTAAATCAAATTATCATCTTTAAACTTTAATAAAATTTTCTTTTATTGTAGTTTTGAAGATTATCTAAATAATGTAATTCAATTTACAATTAAAATTTTATAATTAATATACTCATAATTTAGAGTGCATTTTTTAAATAAAAATATATAAGGCTGTCTTTCTATAATTCTAATAAATAAGATTTTTAATTATTGATAATTATTATCAATTAAGAAATTAATTTCTTCAAAATAAAATATCATTTCATATCTCAATTTCATTATTATTTATATTAGAATAATTGTAAAATAAACACAGTATGAATTATGTATAATTGCAATAACAAAAAAGTTTTAATTTCTTTATCATCTATAGAAATATAATACAAATTCAAATTAATGGTTTAACTGCTTATATGAACCCATCTCATAATGAAATACGTTAAAATAATAAACAAAATTTATTCTTTTTTTTGAGAATATGAAGTAGAAAATATTAAATATTAAATATTTATAAACATTTTCTTCTATTTCTAAAAAATCATATATAAAATTATTAAATTTAATATTTCTCTCTTATATTGTGAGTCAGAGATTGATAAACTCTAAATCAAAAGAACTAATAATTAATTTGTTTAATTTATGACTAAAAATATTTATCTATTTAACATCATTATTATTATTGAGCAGCTCCTCTAGTAGCCAATCTTTTAATTTATTGACTAAGACTAATTCTTATCTTCTTCCTGTAGTGACTATTTCATATTCAACATCGAAACTATGATATAAGTCATTTGCATCTTCAAATAAATTTTAATTTCTTGATCTTTTGTTACTAAAGGAGAAATGTCTAAGTTTCTCTTATTTTTATTATATTTTCAATTTTACAATTCTAATTTTTTAATAGAATTCTTAATTCTAGTTTAGCAGCTTAGGTGACAACGGCTAAAGTTGAAATTGTTCCTTATAAGTTTTCAGCTTTGCTACTTAAATGAGTCTTGACATTGTCAAGTCTAACTTATGAACCACAGATCTTTTTATTATGAGAAAAGACCCAAAGCGTTAGTATTTTCAGCTGTGTATTATGCCCATGCCTCTTCAACTTTATTTCTCAAGGTTTATAAAAATTATCCAAGTTTTTCAGATGCACTTGTTGAATCTTCTTCTTAAGTTATTTAAGCCAATGCACTAATAACTTACATGAATGATTTATTCATTTTGGTAGCAATAGCTAATTACATTAATTAGTTGTCATATCAGCAACTTAAACCAAAGAAGCTTATCCTTTAGCAAGGGCATTAGCAAGAGCATTAGCAAGATCAATTGAATCATCAAAGGTATTGATGGCATCATTTAATGAAACAGCTCCTCTATTGTATGATTGAGTGTCTTCTTATCTGGCATCATTACTTAAACTGATATGTTGAGAAATTGTGTTCAAAATTTTTTCTGTTTCTCCAAGAGTTTACTTAATTTTTTCAAAAGAATGTTAGCTGATTTACATTTTTATTGGCAATTTTGAGTGTACCTTTGGAATCTTCAACTTCAAGTCTTTTTAGGCGATTTCACTATCACATTCAGCTTTTTATCCAATATAGACATCACTTTATTCTTATGCGACTGCTGATTTGAATGAATTAAGGATTCCCTTGATTCAATCTAATGGTAAATGTGTTTTAATCTTGTTTTCAATTTTAACCATGATGTTCATGATGCTTCTTTTACAACCATATTAGAGTGGATACTTTGACATCATGTTAGAATTGCTTATAGCTTAGACAACCAAGACTGTGAATGCAATTTTCATATATTAATTATTGATTTATTCTTATTGTGGAAAGTTCCTAATATACCACAAGATTTTCAGATTTAAAAACGGATTGTGACATTAAAAAATAAATAATAATTTATCTAAAAACGTGATTATTTTTATATATTTAATAATTAAAATTAATTTTTTTTTAATCCATTAATTTTATTAGAATAATTTTCTTTAAATATTTATTTTATTTCTATTTTCTAAAAACTGAAATTTTTTGATTTTAAAATTTATAATTAAAAAATATGGTAAGAAATTAAAATTCTTGTTTATTTTTATTGATTACAATAGAATCTTTTTTATGAAGAAACATTTATTATTACATCGAAGAAATAGATGATATATTATCCTTAATGAATTTTTAATTATTTATTAATTTTTAATTTAATTTAAGAAATTTCTATAAATGTCAAATTTTTAATTTTACATTATTCACGGTTAGAGCAATTTGTTAATATAATTGAATGATGTAATAAAAATATACAGATTATATGCATATTTTAATATATAAAACTCAATATTCAATATTTACGATTTATTAGTGATAATACAAAAGTCAATTTTCATGCTTATTAAATAAATTATAAAACTTATTAATATATCATAAATTCTGGGTTATAATGTTTCCCATATGTATTATTACACTTTATTTATAACATAGGTTAGCCATATATAATAATATAGAAAGTTAATTATTTTGATTATTCATTTATATAATTATTTTATCATGAAAAAAGCAACTGATGGGATCTATTGTATTAATATGAATTATATTCTTAGATGAAAATGAATACATAGCTGATTAGGAGGATAAATTAATTGCAAAGATGAGAAAGAAACAGGTATGATAATGTCTAAAAGAGGAACGAGAATTAGAACAATTAAAATTATATGAGCAATAACAAGCTGAATAAGAAAGAAGGAAATTTTCTATTTTGGAATCCACTCGTTCAAAATAGCAATAAATAGAATTAGCCTTAAAAGAAAAGAAATAAATGGTGAGTATATATTATAATATATCATCTAGATAGAATTGAAAAGAAAAGAAAAAGAGAAGGAAAAATTGTTATATGTTTAAAAGATGGAATAAGAAAAACTAAAAGAATTGACAGAAAGGGAAATCAGTAGAGATTATATTTTATAAGAATTACATAGCAATAAAAATAATTAATAAAGAGTAATTCCTGATAAGATTAAACCATCTATTGTAAAAAAGTAAAAGTATAATTTATGTAAGAATAGCTGAGGGAATAATAAATACATAATAGGAAGAAATTCTGATGAAAAAAATCGAATTGGATAAGTTATAAAAGGAGTAAGAGGAATAGATTAAAGATTTGAGAGAGAGAAAGGAATTATTATTGAAAGAGTTGAAGTAAGCAAAAAGAAAGCAATTAAAAAAAGTAAAGAAAAGAAATGAGGAAGAAAAAAATGCTTAACATGAAGAAAAGTTACAGAAAATAGAATAATATTAGAAAAAATTAGATGATATTGAAATAAGTTAATAAGCTAAAATAGAGTTAATTGAATAAAAAAAGAAAGAAAAAATGGAGAAAATAAAAAGAGTGATGGTTAATTTATTATCTTGATATTTGTAGGAAAATTAAAAAAAAATAATGTCTGAAAAGAATGAAAAAGCTAAATTAAAAGTTTTACAATTAGAAGATAAAATTAATTAGATATCAGAAAGAATGAAATTTACAGAAGATAAAATAGAAAAAATAGAAAAAGAAAAGGCTAGACATAGATAGAATGTAATATTATATTAGTATTATAAGATAAAATCAAGAAATGGTAGTATTCAAAATAATAAATCATAAACATATCAAGAAAAGATTCGATAAAAGGAAGAAGATCATTTAAAATCTATTACAGAAACTTAATCAATCTCTAAAGTCAAATTGTAATAAGAAAAACAAAAAAAAGAAGAACTAATAAGAGATCATAAAAAAAAGGCTGAAAATATATTAAAAGAGATGGTGGAAATTAAGAATAAGAAATTAAAAGAGAAATTAGATAAAGCATAATAATTTAAGGATGAAAAAGAAAAATTGTTTATGTAATAACAAAAATTAGCTAAAGAAATTGAACGTCAGAAAATGAAACTACTTTTACATAGTCCTAAAAATAAAGTAGAAGATAAATGAAATATTAAATTAGTTATATTTATAGAGTCTATTAAAATAATAAATATAATAATATATAATATATGTAATAATAATAATAATAATAGCCAAGATAAAGAACAAAAGAGAGATTTGTTAATGAAGCAATAAATTTAGTTTAATAATGGAGGTTTTGTTCATTCCATCATAAAGTAGATAAGTTTATTAAACTGAAACCAAAATCGTGGATGGCAGAACTGTTCGAATCACTTTAGATTAAGCTGCAGAATTAGTAGGCTGTCCACGAAAAACATTAGAAGATTATTATTATCTATTAAGGAAAGCTTAGACTTTAGGTATATATTTATAAATTTAAGTTTTAGTTAATTTAGATGAAAAGAGAAATGAAAAGATGGGTTATATTAGAAAATTATGTAGAGAGAATAAAAAATATAAATAATAAATAAAATAGGAAGAAGAATGTTACCAAATTAATTAATTTTAATTTGAAGATAACATTCATGATGATTGAAATAAATATAAATTCCATTTTTCTAAATGTAACATAATTATCTCATTTCTATTTTTTTTATTTACTAGTTGTCGAAAGATCAACAAATGGAGATGCTGGTTTCACATCTACTCTACCCAAAGTTCTGTTTATTTCAGCTATTTATGGTAATGCTTAAACTTATTTAAACCTATATTATGAAAGAATTATTAAATAAATTTTATACCATCGGAAGAAATGCACATACTTTCCAACTTTTTATTCATCATTCCATGTAGACACTATATCATATGTATGAATATATAAAAATAAATCTGCTAATGTTACATGGTTTGTAACAAAAAATACTCTGCTTTCTAAATGTTTCAAAAATGCCTTAAATTATATACTATATATACTTCAATTAATTCTTCTCCTTAAATCTTTCTTTAAGCTTCAAAAACTTATAAAACCTATCATTTTATTAGATTATTTTACTTGTCCCAATGTTTAATTATCTGTACCTATAAGTATTTTCTCTGTAAATGAAATATTAGTTAAATATCTAAATTAGTATTTTTTAATAATACTATGCAATGGAAAAAACATTTGTTAATAATTATGCATCCTCTGTTACCAATGAAGGAATGGATGGCAATTTTATTATGCCCTCTTCATTTAATTTTTATGCTTGATTTGAAAGCACCACTAATTTTACTCTTCCAGTTGTAACCAATCTTGTATAATGAGCCAAAAGTGTTAAGAATTATGAATTTAAATCTGTTGATAAGAACAATTCCATTAATTAATATAATTTATATCTTTATTTTAAACATAATTTTAATGTACTTCATCAAATATTCTTTTATTCAATATTATCGTATACTATAATTAATGATATAGATAATTTCATATAATTCTATATAATAAAATAAGTATTACATTTAATAAATCTATAGTCTTTTGAGTATTATTATAAATATTCTTATAAATTCTACTCAATTTTTAATATCTTTAATAATAATGCTATTANACTGTTCGAATCACTTTAGATTAAGCTGCAGAATTAGTAGGCTGTCCACGAAAAACATTAGAAGATTATTATTATCTATTAAGGAAAGCTTAGACTTTAGGTATATATTTATAAATTTAAGTTTTAGTTAATTTAGATGAAAAGAGAAATGAAAAGATGGGTTATATTAGAAAATTATGTAGAGAGAATAAAAAATATAAATAATAAATAAAATAGGAAGAAGAATGTTACCAAATTAATTAATTTTAATTTGAAGATAACATTCATGATGATTGAAATAAATATAAATTCCATTTTTCTAAATGTAACATAATTATCTCATTTCTATTTTTTTTATTTACTAGTTGTCGAAAGATCAACAAATGGAGATGCTGGTTTCACATCTACTCTACCCAAAGTTCTGTTTATTTCAGCTATTTATGGTAATGCTTAAACTTATTTAAACCTATATTATGAAAGAATTATTAAATAAATTTTATACCATCGGAAGAAATGCACATACTTTCCAACTTTTTATTCATCATTCCATGTAGACACTATATCATATGTATGAATATATAAAAATAAATCTGCTAATGTTACATGGTTTGTAACAAAAAATACTCTGCTTTCTAAATGTTTCAAAAATGCCTTAAATTATATACTATATATACTTCAATTAATTCTTCTCCTTAAATCTTTCTTTAAGCTTCAAAAACTTATAAAACCTATCATTTTATTAGATTATTTTACTTGTCCCAATGTTTAATTATCTGTACCTATAAGTATTTTCTCTGTAAATGAAATATTAGTTAAATATCTAAATTAGTATTTTTTAATAATACTATGCAATGGAAAAAACATTTGTTAATAATTATGCATCCTCTGTTACCAATGAAGGAATGGATGGCAATTTTATTATGCCCTCTTCATTTAATTTTTATGCTTGATTTGAAAGCACCACTAATTTTACTCTTCCAGTTGTAACCAATCTTGTATAATGAGCCAAAAGTGTTAAGAATTATGAATTTAAATCTGTTGATAAGAACAATTCCATTAATTAATATAATTTATATCTTTATTTTAAACATAATTTTAATGTACTTCATCAAATATTCTTTTATTCAATATTATCGTATACTATAATTAATGATATAGATAATTTCATATAATTCTATATAATAAAATAAGTATTACATTTAATAAATCTATAGTCTTTTGAGTATTATTATAAATATTCTTATAAATTCTACTCAATTTTTAATATCTTTAATAATAATGCTATTATATTTAAGGAAATTTAAAAGAGCTAATTATTGTTATTGAATTATAGATCATTATTCTAAAATATATATTTATAAAAATTGTTCTCTTATTCATTTAAAAAATTAATAATAATAATAGGATATAATGGAGTTATCAAAACATTCTCGAATAAACATTTTGATATAAAGATCTTTATTAGTTTCTCATTAGAACTTGAATCATATTAAGAAAAAGGACGAGAGAATTACAACAGTTTTATGACATATATTTTCATCAAAAAACAAACATCATATTAATTATGAATATAATAATGTAAAAGTCTTATGAATGAAAAACCAAATGAAAAATAAATCAAATTTATTATTCAGCAGCTCTTCTAGTGGCCAATCTCTCTAATTCATTTATTAAGACTAATTCTTATCTTCTTCCTGCAGTAACTGTTTCATATTCAACATCAAAACTATGACATAAGTCATTTGCATCTTCCAATAAATTTTGATTTCTTGATCTTCTATTAGTGGCAGCTTGAGCAACAGCAGTTTAAACTGATATAACTCCTTCAGTTGCTTCTAATTTTGCAACCAATCTTGATTTAGCTTTATCTAATCTTTCCTAAGTTGCATTGTATAAATCTTTTTGATTCATAAATTATTGAAGACCTAATTAATTTTAAGTAGTATAGTCTGTCCAAGCAGTTTCAACAGCAGTTCTCAAAGTTTAGAGTAATTATACAAGTCTTTCAGCAGCACCTGCCTCTTCTTCTTATGTAATAGCAGCTAAAGCAGCCATTGGTTATTTAAATTCTTAAATTAATTTGGTTGCCAAAGCTGATTTCAATAATTTAGTTGATAATTCAGCTACTTAAGCTAAACTAACTTATCCCTTAGCTAAAGCTGTAGCCAAATCAATTGAATCATCAATAGCATTAATTGCATCATTGAATGATACAGCAGCTCTATTGTAAGATTGAGTATCTTCTTTTCTGGCTGAATTAATCATTTCAATGTGTCTGGTTGCAGTGTTCAAAATTTCTTCAGTAGCATCAAGTGTTGCACTAGTCTTACCTTTGATAATTTTTGCTGTTTTTAATATACCATTAGCACTTGTAAGGATGCTATTGGCATCTTAAACTTCTTTTGATCTGTAATCGATTTCACTATCACATTCAGTTTTTTAAGCATTATAAACTTCATCATGAATTCCTTATTCTTAAGCAACTTCTGATTTGAAGGAATTCAAAATGCCTTTGATTGTGTCAAGAGGATTTCTAGTTTGTAATTTGCTTTCAACTTCTGTCATAATAGACATAATATTTCTTTTATTAGAATAGTTCAATGGATATTTTTAAACAAATCCAGCTTATGTTAACACAATAATGGCTAACAATCCTAATATTGCCTTCATTTAATATTATTGAATTTTATAGATGTATAGTTAGTATTTGAAGTTACATTCTTTAAAAACGGGAATACTCTATTTTGAATTAACGTAAAGCTTTGAACTAACGTAAATGTTAATTTAATTAAAAATTCTATTTCATTCAATAAATTTTATTTTCTTAAATTTAACAATTATATATTTTACAAATTATAAGATATTATTTAGTTTATTTTATATTTTTATAAACTAATTAATTTGAGACTATTTAAAAACTTGAATGGGTTGTGAATTTTAATAATTTAATTAAAAAATTATTTTTGTTTATAATGAGTTTCATCTTTATTTTTTTTTTTGAATTATTTCAAAACAAAATTCTATATTATCCTTTGTTATGCGTAATGTATTTCTTCTAATAAATGTCGACCCACAAATTTTGTATGCCAGATATAGTGTGTATACAATCTCCTTAGAAATTACTTCTTATAAATCAGCTATTACTAAAACTATATTTCTGAATTTTCGCTAGTAACAAGTATTTATTCACTATTATAACACAAAGTAGCTCTGAAAATTATATCTTAAAATTCCAATTATAAAATCAGATCACATAATACTCTGTTATAGACTTATATTATATGATCTGATACAATCAATATGTATTTTTCTTTCAATTATATATTAAAAATTTACCATTATTCGATATGGAAAACTCCTTAATAATTCCTATATTACAAATAAAACCTTATACATCTTAAGTTTCTAAATTCTCAATTTGAATATAAGTTTGTTATTTTATAGGATCAATACAATTTTAAGTTCTTAAACAATATCTACCATTTTAATTAATATATATTTCAGGGCTCTTAGTATTTAATTCAATTTACCAAACTATTTATTTTTTTATCACATCAAATCCCTAAGTATAAGGTATAAAAAAATACTTATGCAGATTATTTTGAATAAGAGTACAAAATAGTTTCAGAATTATTGAATTTTAAATAATGAACACAACCCATTTATTAATAATAATTTGAAATCAATAATCCATCTTTAATGTTAATTATACTTATTTTGCCCTTAAAATCTGATAATGCTAATAGAGTTTATTTAGAATCTATAGTTAAACATAAAATCTTTAAATCTTTCTTCATAATAGTTTTCAATAGCATAGCTGTGGTTATATCATAAATTCTTAATTTATTTGAATCAAATTACTTTGTAATTACTATGTTTCTTAATTAATGAGACTTATGATTACTTTAAATAATAATTATCAGGTATAATTGATTATTTTATTGGTAAATTTCTTAATAGTTTCCCACAAGAAATAGAATAAAATAAGATCATCTCTTAAGCACAGAAAATACATCTATTATAATTTTTTCTTAATTACTAATTTGCTTGTTCATTGATTAAACAATTATTTATAAATTCTTTTGTAATTATGATTTTCCTTACTTTAATTTTAGTTTACTTCTACATTGAATTATTTAAATAAAAAATTGATTAATTAAAAATCAAAATAATTATAAATCATTAATTAATTTAATTGATTAAAGGAGCATCTTAAAGAAATGAATTTTCTGAAAGTTATCCTACAGATAAATGATATCCCCTTTTTGTATCTAAATGTGATCTTCCTGTAAATAATTTTTGGCTACTTACTTAAAGTAATCCTTAAAATTAATGACTTGCCATTGAATTGTGATTATTTGTTTAATGATTTGATTTTGATAATATTAAAAGACTTGTTTTATTTGGAACACTGTCTATTAAATGAGTAGATGGTTCTGATAAAAATTTTAACATACTAGAATATTCATTTTATAGAATCGATATCTAACTTTCTAATTGATCGTATTCATTAATTGAAAATTGAAGATCAGATGAAAACGAATTCTTATTTAAGAAATTCTCCCATAATTTATAAACTTTTGGCTTATAAATTAATTTATGTGTTGGATCTCCTAATGACACCAATATACAGGTTGCTGATACATCAAAAATAACTAGAATGAAGGAATCTTATTTAGTAAATTTAATTCTCTTATTGCCCTTTTGTGTGATTTAATTTATAAATTTAAGAAGACAGTTAATAAACTGTTAATTTTATGGTAAATTAAAGATAGAAGCACAATTCCACATTCCTGTTACTAATTATTCAGAATTTAGTATAATTCTTTATCTATCATCAAAACTTATTGTTCCAGAACTCAAATTGTATCGATTTTAAAATGCTTCATTCTAAATGTATTAAAACTAATGATCTATCACTTAAAAATTCAAAGATGGTCCATAAATACTAATTTATCCATTTATGACAAGTAATTATATGATTGAATCATTTAATTATGATTCCTCATAAACTACTGGATATGTATTGCCTTTCACAATTTCATTTCCATTAAAATTGACACCTTTAATGTTAGTTGAAGTTATTAATTCCTATGCTAATTATTCTCCGATTATCAATTATTCATATCCTATTTTCCAATCCAAATTTTAGAGATGTTGGATAAATTTGGCACCTTCTACATATTAATACATTCGTTAATTAATTAAATCACTAATTAAGAACAGAAAATTTTTTAAAATATTGATTAAAAAACAATTAGTAGTTATATAATTATAATAAATATCATTATTTGATGACTCTCTCTTCTCTCTTCTCTCTAAACATGAATTATGAGTTAATTAATTTAAGTACATTAAAAAACCTATGTCTTGTTTTATTGATAAAAAAATTCCCCTTATTTTGTGATTTGCTATAAATATTATTATTTGTTATTAATAATCAATTTAAAAGTATTATACTCCTTTAGAATAACTATAATTTCATTAAAAGCAAATGAATAAAAAAAGCAACTCATAAAAAATTTTATTGATAAACTGACCTAATATGGTTAACTTTAAATCTATCATCTATTCCATTCTTCATCATAAATATTTTGATAATTTTATCAATTTTTTAAAGGAATTTAAACATTTTTCAACTAAATTTGGATTTGAAAGCTAGAATTATATATTTTTTTTTAAATTTAATTAATAATATTGAGTATAGAATTGATGAATGATTATGTCAACCTGCAGTTCTTTCATTATTAAGACATCCTTATTTAATTAAATGATTTTTCCATGTATTCTTCTCTAATTTCAAATCTTAATGACATAAAGGACATCTCACTGTTGTATTATCATTTCTGCCTCTGCAATCTTCTAAATGTCTAAGTTTTATAAATTCATTACTTATCATAACCACTCAAAAGAATAGCCTCTTTACATTTGGGGCATCTCTTAAATTTTCTTTTATGATCACATTCACTCAACAAATGGTTTGTTAATTCAGCTATTTCAATTACTTATCCACATTATGAACAAGTGACTAACATAGGACATTCTGACCAAAGATGCTTATCTGAATAATCTGTATTTTTAAATTATGGATCAACTTTATCACAAAATTCACATTTTGTTGTATTTTATTAATCAATTTATTATTATTATTATTATTATTTTTATTATTACTATGGTTTTTAATTCTATGTCTAATTTTGATTTCCTTTCTTGGCTCCTTAAGTTTCAATATTAGTTTGAATAATTGCTCTTTATTAATTGATTTATGGTTGATCATCAAAATCTCCACCTCCATCAATTTTATTAAAGAAATCTTCTAAAACATCTAATTGAGCTTATCTGACATTTGTCAAAGATTGTTTAAGTCTATTTCCAGTAAATTTATACACTTCTACCAAGAGTAAGATGGCTTACGTTCTAATTGGTTCATTCTAAAGCAATTTAATAAGAGTATACTTTATCGTCCAACAATTTTACAGCAAAATCAACAATTGGTTAATAGGGCATATTAGCATTATTAATTTCATATTTCTTTACTAATTCTGTCAACATTGCTAATCTCCCTACAATATGCTTAGTTGAGCTTTATAATTTAGACTTTCCAACAAATCCTTTAATTAAATGTTAAACACAAATGGCAGGACCAACAGATGGATGATCAGCCATTTACAAGAATGCATTCTCAGCTGATTCCTTTCTTTATTCTCCTAGCTTTTCCATCAAAGACTATAAAATTCCATCAATATGTTCATTGAATTCAGCACTTTTATTTATTTTTATTTTTGGATATTTTGCAAGTAAAGATTGTAATACACTTAAACTTCTTATTGAAACAGCTGCAACTTTATCACCCAGAGTATAATTTATAGATGCTATTGAACTTAAAAAGAAAATAGATGAATCCTAAGAATTGACTTAAGTCGGTCTACCAATCTAATCTTCAAGCCATTTTAATCCATCTTCTCTAGCTCCCCATTATTTACTAAATATTTTTTAACAGAATTCCTCTGTCAAAATAGGTATTAATGGTTCAGCTTTTTATAGACTGTCTCCTGTTAATGGTTCAGTTGTATCTTTAATTAAAAATTGATCATACATTATTATTATTATTATTTATCGTCATCAGGATATTAATTATTGTTTTACTTTCTTAAGGCAGCTGGTACAACCATATCTTCATGATGTTAATTGAGTTCTTTTGCTATTCTTTTTTGTTTCATTTATGATGGATCTGCTCTTTATTCTTCAAATTATGATTATGAAATCATTTCATCACCTTATATTGGCATTTATAGTTGGGGTGCTTAATAAGGAGGAGCAAAAGCCATTTAAGACTAAACAGGTTGTGGTTAATATTATTATTATTAATAGTATTATTATTATTATTATTATTATTATTATTATTATTATTATTAGAATTATTATTATGGTTAATAAACAGGTTATTAATATTACTAAATTAATTATTTAATATTACTGCACTATCTGGTCTTCTTATCATAGAATCTGGAGCTACAGCATTCCTTAATTTTTCTATTTCTTATTTGATAATACTAGCTGAATCATAGTCTTCATTCTATATTGCCACTGCCTTTCTCTCTTCCAATGTTCTTAATTGAACTCCTATTTATTTTAATCTTTCTATAGCCTCTTTTATTCTCTTTGCTTCCATGAAATCTTCCCTTGACACAGCTAATTATTTTTAATTTAGAAATACCTTTATCCTTTGCTTCCTCTAATAATCGCAATCTTTCTAGTGTATTTTAATCGAATTGTGTTTCAAATTAAATTTCATTATAAAATTCTTTTTATTTCATCTATCCATACCCAGGAGGGGAATCGAGAGGTTCACCAAACACAGATAAAGCAATTACACCAATTTAATTGAAGAGATTAAATTTATTCACGTAGCATTTTTGAAATACAAATTTCATGAATAGACATGGTGTGTCAATATATACGCTTTTTAATTCTCTTGCCTGATATCCTCCTCTCTCATTAGAATCAAGAGATAAATATCCTAATTTCTTATATTTGATTTGATTATATTGTGGAGGTACATTCTTATCTGGCATATGAACATACAATTCAATCTAAATCTTAATATATGATACTTTTGTAGATATTTTGCAATGATGAGATAAGAATTAAACTTATCTAACTCTTGCAGCACTAACAAATTAAATTGCTATTTCTTGTGGATATTCACAATATTTAGGTGCTTGCCAACCTCTGCTTTATGGTGATTAAGTGAGCAATTCAGTCACAGGATAGTCTTAATCTTCACCTGAACAATACACAATCCTATATTTCAATTTAGAAACTCCTTTCATATAAAAATTATAAANAGCTTTTTATAGACTGTCTCCTGTTAATGGTTCAGTTGTATCTTTAATTAAAAATTGATCATACATTATTATTATTATTATTTATCGTCATCAGGATATTAATTATTGTTTTACTTTCTTAAGGCAGCTGGTACAACCATATCTTCATGATGTTAATTGAGTTCTTTTGCTATTCTTTTTTGTTTCATTTATGATGGATCTGCTCTTTATTCTTCAAATTATGATTATGAAATCATTTCATCACCTTATATTGGCATTTATAGTTGGGGTGCTTAATAAGGAGGAGCAAAAGCCATTTAAGACTAAACAGGTTGTGGTTAATATTATTATTATTAATAGTATTATTATTATTATTATTATTATTATTATTATTATTATTATTAGAATTATTATTATGGTTAATAAACAGGTTATTAATATTACTAAATTAATTATTTAATATTACTGCACTATCTGGTCTTCTTATCATAGAATCTGGAGCTACAGCATTCCTTAATTTTTCTATTTCTTATTTGATAATACTAGCTGAATCATAGTCTTCATTCTATATTGCCACTGCCTTTCTCTCTTCCAATGTTCTTAATTGAACTCCTATTTATTTTAATCTTTCTATAGCCTCTTTTATTCTCTTTGCTTCCATGAAATCTTCCCTTGACACAGCTAATTATTTTTAATTTAGAAATACCTTTATCCTTTGCTTCCTCTAATAATCGCAATCTTTCTAGTGTATTTTAATCGAATTGTGTTTCAAATTAAATTTCATTATAAAATTCTTTTTATTTCATCTATCCATACCCAGGAGGGGAATCGAGAGGTTCACCAAACACAGATAAAGCAATTACACCAATTTAATTGAAGAGATTAAATTTATTCACGTAGCATTTTTGAAATACAAATTTCATGAATAGACATGGTGTGTCAATATATACGCTTTTTAATTCTCTTGCCTGATATCCTCCTCTCTCATTAGAATCAAGAGATAAATATCCTAATTTCTTATATTTGATTTGATTATATTGTGGAGGTACATTCTTATCTGGCATATGAACATACAATTCAATCTAAATCTTAATATATGATACTTTTGTAGATATTTTGCAATGATGAGATAAGAATTAAACTTATCTAACTCTTGCAGCACTAACAAATTAAATTGCTATTTCTTGTGGATATTCACAATATTTAGGTGCTTGCCAACCTCTGCTTTATGGTGATTAAGTGAGCAATTCAGTCACAGGATAGTCTTAATCTTCACCTGAACAATACACAATCCTATATTTCAATTTAGAAACTCCTTTCATATAAAAATTATAAATATTTATTGAAAATAAACTCAAGATCAACTATCGAAAATATATTTGATATATTCATCAGAGGACATCTATTTAGATGATTGTATATTTTTTGGAATCTCTAAATTCAAATTTTATAGCTTTAATTCAACTGTTGTCTCTTTGGATTTAATTTCTTAATAATGTTTATAATATTTCTTCTATAAGTTTTATTATTATTATTATTATTATTATGGTTAAGATTAAACTTCAACATCTTTGGTTGTTTAAACACGCATATTTTAAAAGTTTGTTATAACATAAAGATATATTTTTTTATTATGCTCATCTAATTTTGTCAATGCATAATATGTGCGATTATTAATAATCTACGAATTAAATTTAACTTTTTCTTCTAATCTCTAATCTCCTTAGCTCTTATTTGCATAAAGTAATTCGATATGTGTTGATATTGGTTTGTAATTAATTTTATCAATTTAATAAACAGATTCAAATTCATTCATCTGAGTAATTGGAAAATTTAATAAATGAAAAGCTTCCTCTGTTGGTACTAAAATAACATCAAATTCATTCATTAAATTTTATAATAATAATAATAATAATATTTTTACATATAAATCAGATATCAAGTTATTTTATTTTATTTCTTATTTCAATGTAATGGCCATAAGTTAATCGGACAGGTTTGCCATCTGCAATTTATTCAATTTTAGAATCAACAGCAAATTCATAAGGATTCTCAAAACATTCTTAGATGAGAGTAGCCAATTAAAAGTATGTGATTAAATAATCAAGTAGTATTACACCTCCTTCTATATCAATAGGTAATAATTATTAAGTATCTTAAACTATTATTTTGGATTCGAGTGAATATTCAATTTCTTTTATTGCATTTCTTAAGATAGAATTCAAAATTATATAGAACGATTCATATTCAGTAAAATTTTCATCAAAAACAGCATCAAATTTTTTATCCATTGCTAATTATGATTTTTAATCTGGATTCTAGAGAGACAACCACACAGTATTAAATTAGAGAGTGTATTTTTGATTATATTAATGAATTGCTGTACATAATTTTGTATATTAGGGATTTTATACATATTACTAGAACTTTTCTAATCCTAGAGTATTTTGTCCTTACATAACTTCATTTAAACAATTTAATTTAATCATGATATTCTTATTCACTAAAAACAATAGTTTTTCTCTCAAATAAGGAGTTTGAACAAATCGATGTTTATCCATTAAAGCAGAAACCCTATACAGATATCTACAGAAATTCAGCTAAGCTAATATGATGTAATCATTCTTTTTAGATTCACTCCAATATTCCTCCTCCCTTTGATTTGAATATTCTTGATTCATCTATTAACTGATTTAAGATTCCTTCCTTGATTCCTAGACTCTTTTGATTGATTTTAATGGTTGCTACATGATAGATTATTATGATTATTTAACAATAATAGCATTCTCTTTACCATAATTGGATTCCCTTGTTTGAAATTAAATAGATTATTTATTTTGAGTATCTCCCAAAGGAGTTGCAACAGTATTATTCTATAAGAGTTATTGCTGATTGCTTTATTGATTACTCCTAAACATACTAGAGAATCCATTTCCTTTAATAGGTTAGAGTTCTTATTTTGACAACCATATATGGTTTTCCAATTCTTCAACTGTGGCTCTTCTACTTTCATCTACTATCAAACATCTGTAAATAAAATCCTTGCATTCATCTGATATATGACCTGGAAAATGCACTGGCACAGTGGCCATTCTTTAGGCTAATTCTCTCTCACTTCCTGCTTACCAGGGAACTTGCCCAAATAATAATTCATATAGACTTACACCCAAAGCCCAAATATCAGATTTTTCTGAATATCTGTTTTTGAATGCCTAAGGACTCATATATAAAGGGGATCCAACATTAACATTAGGCATGGTTAGAACAGTTTAAGGAGTTGTTGCAAATCCAAAGTCTGCTATTTTTGGAACTGATCCTTTAAGTAGGATATTGGCTGGTTTAAGATCTCTATGTACAATACCTAATTAAATAGATTATTTAAGTTACCTCTTTATTTCATTTATTTGTAACCTTGTATGATACCATAGAATACTTTTTGCATATTCTATTCTTTTTAAATTCCAGTTTTAGTTACCAATTATCCTAAGTCACCTGAATCACAAAATTCAGTGATTAGATATGTATTATTTTCAGTGTAGTAAACCTTATATAATCTCATGATATTTGGAGAATTGAGTTAGGATAAAGCTTCAACTTCAGATCTCAAAAGTTGATAATGTAGAGGAGTCTTAAGTCCTTTTTTATCTATGACTTTAATGGCGACAACCTCATTGGTTTCATCATTTCTCCCTTTGTATACAATGGAACTAAAGCCTTTTCCGATAGCATCTGATAGGGCATAACTGAAATTCTCTATAACTTTTCGTGCATTGCCTGGAATGGGTGTAGCAGGCATCTATCTTTATTGCTGTTAGACAAGCATAATAAATTGTATATTTTTAATTTTTAATTTCAACGGTAAGTGAATAAATTAATTATTTTCATAAAGGAAAAAATTCATTTCCTTTTATTTGTCAAATTGATTTTTTTTAATTTTTCTCTTTTTATTTCATCATAATCCAACATATCATCATCATCTTTGATTAATTTCATAAACATTTTCACTTTGGTCCCATTTACTTCCACATATTGTTTATTTTGAAGTGGTTAAGATTGGGAAGTAGATAATTTACTTTGATTTTACTGAGGTTGCAACAAAAATTAAGGAGGAATCATTGATACATTTAAAGGTGAGATTGGAGACATCATTTGCTATTAGGACAATATAGGAGATATCTACATCTAAGGAATTTATTAATATTGTTGCTACATCATCCAATAATTCCAAGGTTGAGGAGACCTTTAAATTCTATCAATATTTTACATCATAGGATAACAAAATTATTATTATAATGGTGACTATTGCTATTGTTACTATTTGTTTTTCATCATTGTTAAATAATCTTAATTTGGAAAACTCATTTTTATATAAAATATATAATTTGAAATATATTTTTATAAAATCTCTTTCATATTAAACACTTTTCTTAAATAAGATCCTTATAAATTTTAGTTCCTTCTAAATTCTCATCCATCAACAATCGAAACAAATTATTTGAACTAATACTTATTCCTTATTCCAATCTATCTACATATGCTTTATGAATCTCTTATCCAATCTAATTTGTAATTAAATCCTTCACCTTCTACTTCTTTTCTTCCAATTCTTTAAGTAATTTCTCAACTATTCTTTGAAATCTCATATATCTGCTTCTCAAATATGCATTTGAAATATCTACCATATCATAAACCATCTTAAAATGCTGTTATCTTCTAGATTCAGTTGTATTTAGAGTCTAAGGATTATAATTGATTTCCATAATATGGAGATCCAATTCATCAGTTAATAAGAAATCTGCTGCAAAGAATTCTCCTAATTTACTGTCTTTTGCAAATGTGTGCTGAGTACTTTTAATTGCATGAATAATCATCCTATCCACTTTAGGTAATAATTCATTTTATAACCATTCTTTGTTTTAAATTTTACCTTCTTTCAATAAGATTTCCTATAAATGATCTAATTTCCAATCTATAAATAAGGTATCTTCTTAACTATTTATTTCATCATTATTATCATCATCATCATTTTCATCACTATCATTATCATCATCATCTTCATTCTACATTTTCTTCAAAGTACTTTTTACTATAGCTGTATTACATACATGAGCCCCCTTTAATAGAGAAAATTTATCAAAAGGATATATACATCTACGAATTAAAGTTTTATCATAAGCATATGCTATAATGGGATTAGTGGATGCCAAAATCCAATACACTCTAAATTCAATTTTATGTCCTTTATACAAAAGAGGATTTCCAATATATTATTGAGCCACTTTAAATGTTTTTACTGAACCACATAATTCTCCTTTATCAAATTTCTTATTTAATTCTTCTTTCTCTTAAGGAAATAACATATTAATCCCTCGACCTCTATGTACTTCCTTTCCCATTTTTATAATAAATTAAGGACCATCTGTTTTAATTTTATCTTCATATTATTGTGAATTTATGTATGTAAAAAACTACAAACATTCATTCTCATTGAATAATCTATAAGTTTTAGGTAAATAGGTTGCATTAGCCTTTTATTAAAATAAAATTAGATACTATACAATCTGCATCAACACCATTTTGTCGCAGAACACGCAAATAGTTCATTTAATTTGTCATCAATTTATTTTTATGAGATAAGGATGATCTTTAAGGTAAATGATTATAATTTTAAAATAAGCATAAAGATTCTATAATTAATTATATTATTACATTATCCAACCTTAAATTAATGGATCAATTAATCATAATAAGTAAATGGTAATGTAAGTTTGAGTGGTAGTTTAAATTAATGAGGTTCTTAAATAATTAGGAAACATACTGTCTTTATTTTTTCTATGGAGATAAACGTTAGGCAAGACATCAAAAAAATATTATTATAATGCATCTTTTACAACACCTCTATATTCTCTAAAGGTATATGTATCATTCATAATAACTTCTGGATGGTAGTATTTATATGTATCTGATTTAATGCAATAATCATGTTAAGGCTAAACAAGAATGGTATTAAACTTAAAATTGAATTGATATTTACTTCTTTGGTAAATGCTTCAGGAGAATAATAATTTTATGATATAAACTGATTCAAGAAACCAATTACTATTTCCACATTCCCCTTATTTATATATGTAACTCTGGTCATGTATACATGTCCTAATGAATATATAAATATGAAAGAAATCAATAACGTAATTGTATTCACAAACATATTTAATAAATATTTTTATTTCAATATATTATTATACAAACATCATCAAATAATACATTCATCAACTATTTTTTAATTAGGTTCAACTGATGCTAGATTTCCTAAATTACATTTATTTAATTCTGTTGTATGTCCAACAGCAGATTCATTAGATAATATACAATGTTAAATAATGCAGCTATTTTAAATGTGATAATAATATTTACTTAGAATTAATGACTACATTTTTCATAATAATGGAATTACTAATTTTTACATGATCACCAATAGTACAATTTTTACCAATAATTGATCTCTATATATTAACTTTATTGCCAATTCTAGTACCTTCTCCAATAATTGAATCAGGACTAATACGAGCATCTTATGGATATTAAATTTAGATTTGAGAATCCTAAACTCCTTAATAAAGTTATATTCCTTTATTTCCTTTAATCATACTTTCATAATTTGCTTATTAATAATCTTTAATATTATTTAATCTTCTAGCATATTCTTAAGTTATGAATACTTTAATTGAAAATTATTATTATTTTCTTTCATGAAAGAGTCCTTATTCCTATTTAGATAATAAATTTAGTAAATTCACATTTTTTTAATGTTTTACAATATAAGGTAGAAATTCTAATTTCCAATTTTAAATTTCATTTTCTAATTTATTAAGTTTTTGAAATAATTCTAATACTTCATATTAACAAACATAAATATGTGTATCAAATAAATTTGTCATAATTTACACACTCTCACAACTTAATAAAACATTTCTACTAATTGAAAGATTTGCTTGATCATCATCTTCTTAATTAGTAATATGTAATAAACTATGATCTGAACCAATAAACATAATATCATACGATTCATCTAAATTACATGAAATAGGTGCTCTTCCTTATTTTTTATCTAAATCTTCTTCTTTAATTAAACAAGTAATTGTTGCTTTTTTTGAATAATGAAAATCTAATAAATCTAAAATATTCGCTCCTATCATACTATCACAAGATAAAAGTATGAAATCTTTTTTTATTTTTTCATGTGCTTCCAATAATGCAGATCCAGAGTCAGAATCATCACTAACATAAAATATTTCTGCTCTTCTCTAAACTAAATCAGCCACAGCTTAATGATCTTTAGTTAACAAAATTAAAATGTCTTGTGGCCCAAATCCAGCTATTTCTAATACATCTAATTAGTAAAGAATCATAGGTTTATTGCAAACAGGTAAGAGACTCTTAGAATAACTTTAACAAAGTGGGAATAACATGCTTCCTGCTTTTTATCCACCTCCAAGAATGATTGCTTGATATTTGATTTACATTAATAATTATTAAAGAAATATATATATATAAATATATAATCTATTTTTATTATATGAACCATAATCTATTTAGCCAATTTCTCTACTTACATTTTGCTAAATTTTATACTTTTGCATAAGAATTTATTGATTTAAATAGTAGTTTTATTCATATTATGCTTAAACATAAATCATACTATTTAATTAATTTAAGTATATTACAGCTGCTTTACTTCTCTAAATTCCAGCAGGTAATAAATCATCCATTGTTTTCTAATAACAATTAGATATTTATTTTTTACTAGAATAAATAATTATATTCATTATCAAGTTTAATCTTTTCTACAACATTCTACTTCAACATTACAGTATTGATTTAAACAATCACTATGGGTTGTGGTTTCTTTAATAGAAAATACTAATGAATTGTAAGGAACAATAAAAATTTGTTCATTTGGTTATTTTTAAAATAATAATATCTGAAGAAAAACATTTATTATTATTCCAATCATGCAATAATAGTCTCCAAATTTTAAATATCAATATTAATACCAATCAAATTCTTCTTAAGATGCACTATTTATAAATACCACAATAAAGATAATAAACAAAAGCCTCATATTTAAATAATTCATTATTAACCATATTCTAAAGAATATTATTAATAATTAATTGTTTTAACTTCTCTTAAGTCTTTCATTATTAAAATGATACGTATGTCATTGATATCATTAATAATAAATGCTTCCAAAGTTTATTAAGCTAAGATCTTGTTTCTCCCTTTTGAATTTCAATTTCATTTCAAATCTATCTCCAGAAGTAGAAGAATTACGATCACATGTCACTAAATTTGCTACAGAAGAAGTAGCTCCATTAGCTGACAAAGCTGATCAAGAAGGCAAATTTCCACCACATTTATGGAGAAAGATGGGAGATTTAGGATTACTGGGAGCCACAGTTGATCGTAAAAGATTAATGTAATTATGTTAGCTGCTTATGGTGGATCAGGTCTTTCATATTCTGCTCATTGTATGATATTGGAAGAAATCAGTAGAGCATCAGGTGGAATTGGATTAAGTTATTCTGCTCATAGTGCTTTAAATGTTGCTTAACTTTAAAGACATGGAAATGAAGCATAAAAGAAGAAATATTTACCAAAATTATGTTCAGGAGAATGGGTTGGAGCTTTGGCTATGAGTGAACCTAATGCTGGATCAGATGTTGTATCTATGAAGACTACAGCCAAAAAAGTAGGTGATAAATATATACTTAATGGAAGTAAAATGTGGATTACTAATGGACCTGTTGCAGATATCATTGTTGTATATGCAAAAACAGAACCTGAAAAGAAATAACATGGAATTACTGCTTTTATTGTAGAATCAGGAATGAAAGGATTTTCAAGAGGTAAAAAATTAGATAAAATTGGAATGAAGTGTTCTGATACAGGACCCATTTATTTTGACAATGTTGAAGTTCCTGCAGAAAATGTATTAGGTGAAGTAAATAAAGGAGTTTATGTTTTAATGAGTGGATTAGATTATGAAAGATTAGTTTTGGCTGCTGGACCTGTAGGATTAATGCAAGCTGCATTTGATATTTCAAGAGAATATTGTAATACTAGATAATAGTTTGGAAAACAAATTGGGCAATTTTAATTAATGCAAGGAAAATTGGCTGAGATGTACACTACTTTATAAGCAAGTAGAGCAATGTTATATTCAGTATCTCGTGCTGTTGATTCAGGAAATATAACAAATACAGTAATATACTTTAATCTATTTTAAGGATTGTGCAGCATTAATTTATTACACTTCTGTTAATGCCACTTAAGTTGGATTAGAGGCTATTCAATGTTTAGGTGGAAATGGATATACTTAAGAATATCCTGTTGGAAGAATTATGAATGATGCTAAACTTTATGAAATAGGAGCAGGAACAACTGAAATTAGGAAATGGTTGATTGGAAGATAATTGACTTAATGATTTTCAAATATAAAATTGTTAAGAATTTATATCAAAAGTTTTTAAATAATTCTATAAAACTAAAAAACTTATCAACATATTTGTTAGGTTTTGGAGATGTATTTGTAGATTGTGATTAGATTGTATTTACACTATTTATTAATTTGACATCAATATCCTCTTGTGAATTCTTAATTTTAATATTTGGTGTTAAACTATATAATATTAATAAAATCATTACTATTTAACATCTTGAACAACTTTTAGAGCTATATTTTTTTGTTTGATCTTCAATTTCAATTATTCATTTTCATAATGATTGAAAAGATTATGTGTCTTCATACATCGCTTAACCCATTTACATAAATATATTTATTATACACTAGGTCTTAATTCAGGATTTTTGATCAACAATGCTTGAATTAAGTTGATTAAGTCTTCACTAATATCACTTCTTCTAGAAATTATTAATTGATTCATAGTAATATTTTAGACTAATTCCTATTGATCATGTCCAATAAATGGGAAAGAACCATGCAATAATTCCTATATTATAAGAATATTTAAGTACATATAGGATAACTCCTAATGACCAAGAATCAACTTTAAAATCCAGTACTTATTTTGATACTACTTCAGGTGGCATATATTCAGTAGTACCACACATCACATTTTCAACTGGTAACTATTGAACCTTGATAGCCCATCCAAAATCACATAATTTAAGAGTTCCATCTTCATGTATAAGTACATTTTCAAACTACATAGTAATTTTAGATGATTACTTTCAAATCTCTATGTATTATGTTATTTTAATGAAGATAGTCAACACCACTTAGAATTTGATGGAAAATCTAGAATATTTCATCTTCAGTGAATTAAGTCTTTGGGTTAATTAGATGGCCTTTGCTACAATATTCAAGTAGAATATAGATGTTGTTTTAATCTTCCCAATATGAATATAGTTTAACAATATTTTTATGATTACAAGAAGAATGTATAGCAATCTCACTTTAGATCATCTATGATGCATTATAAATATTAATTAGATGTTTCGAAATCTTCAAAATTCTTAAAGTAATAATTACAATTTTGCATGCAAATTCATATTGAGTGTTAAGATCTTTGACCAAATAGACAGATCCAAAAGAACCAGAACCCAATTACTTTATTTTTTAGTAAAAGTGACCGCATCCAGTAATTATCATTATATTTTAATTAAATTAATTTTATATATTGCCCTCTCTCAGTAATATAGAGTTTTAATTTTCATAATGAATAAAGTTAATGTTTATTAAAAGAAAACCTTTTTCTAAATAAAATTTTATATATATATGAAATTTCTGAAAGTAATATTCATAAAAGCAATTTCAAATGTAATTTTAATAGTTTTGAATTGAGAACGTTGAATAAAACAATTAATAATTAATAAATATAAAATGTTTATAAGAAAATTTTAATAATATCATTTAATAGTAATAAACAAAAAAAAATTTTATAATCATACAGCCTTTATTCTTTCTTCTTCTAATTATTGGTTACTTGCATTACTCTAATTTGTATCTAGAATATAAAAATATTTAAATTACCATCTTTACTAGATCCTCCATTCTATTCATTATTATTATCAGAGCTTCCAGCTCCATTGCTCATTGTATTTTAATTTGTATTATTGAATTTTTAAACCATGTCTAAAATATTAATTTAATTTTAATACTTTGTAATTAGTCATTAGGAGAAGTGTTGGTTAATTTAAATAGCAATTAACACATTAAATCATTATAGGTTTGGCGCTTATTTTTTATAACACTAAATTCCATAAATAAAGAATGATAGGATTCAAGCAGCGTGGATTAAGTGTTTTAAAACTAATAGCATTACAAAATAATACCTATTCTACTTATTTATTTATGAAATTTGATTCTATATTGATATTTTAAATGTCTTATTTTAAAGAATTATATTTCTCAAATAAGTCTTCTTGAATTTATTTCACTTTGTAATTTTTTACTTTAATTGATTTTTCTTTTTTGTTTTTAATACCACCATTTCTTCTTGGTATATTGATTAATAAATGTCTAAATTAAAATAGTTAAAATACTCCATATTTTTTCTAAAATAATAATGACTAAATTCATTTTGATTATTAACATTACGAATTTTCTTGAATCCATACATATTTAATTATCTTATAAAAGAACTAAAATTATGATGTTTAAAATGAGTTGGTAGAATCTCATTACTTAATTTGGTTTGGTCTTTAACTACAAATGCATTTCCTTTATCAGTAAATCCAATAATATCTTCGTTTTCTGGATTCTAAAATTTATTAAAAATCAAATGAATATAATTAATAATTCGAGAATTTAATTCCTAAAATCATCAAAATTTCTGATGATCAATTTAGGAATATTCGTAGATGTATAAATTGTTTAATACCATAACGATGTTGTAGGTTTTGAGTAAAAAGTTTGGTACTCCTTTTTTCATACTTTTATTTTTCTTCTAGGACATTCTGAAGTGTTCTTGATATATATTTTGCAAATTAAAAAAATTATTAAAATATCTGATTATCTATGTGCCTTTTAGTCATATTATTATAGAATAATAAAACAATAAGTTAAATTTACCATAAGAGAACACAATATTCATATATAAACATAACTTTGTCAAAATAAATATCTGTTAACAAATGATTTTCTGAATATTCAAATTTCTTTAGTAAAGAATAACCTATATAAAGCAAGAGCAGATGTAATAAATGTTAAAGGATTAAGAAAGGAAAAATAATTATGGTAACTTCAATTAAATAAAATCGAACAAATTACTAGAACAAAATATATCGATTTATAATTAGATGATCAATCAGAATGCTTCTTTTTCTTTAAATGATAAAATATAAAAAAATAACAATGATCATAATACCATTTTCTCGAAATTTAATTCATTCTTTCTATTCTAAGTAATACCAAGTTATGAAAACAATTTTAAAAGGTTTGAAGTAAATTTAGCCAGATCAAGCTATATTGTAAATGTCTTCTCAACTTATATACCTTTAGAAATTTGTGTCATTAAGAAAGCTATCATAGTATTCGTTTTTGAGTTTTCTATAATTTTTTCATGTGGAGAATAAACTATGTTCCATTTCAACAATGATAAGGTCTTCATTAATTTCTAATTATACTCTATCTCTAAGAATCTTAAACAACACATTAAGAATGGATTATTCAATAAACCATTTTGAGCAATGTGTGATTATGCCATACTTTATGATCCAACACCATTAATTAAGCTATCATAAAAATAAATTGTTTATTAAGCAAGATTGATATTGATAAGAATAGTTTCTAATCCAGAAGCAATCACAATAGGTATAAGTATGATATCAAATTTATCAAATATTGTATTGTCTTTACCAATATGTTTAGATGTATAAACAGAAGCAGATTGATATGAGATACTATCAGGATTATTATATTCTTTAATTAAAGTCTTATAAAAAGTAGTAGATAGATAGAAAACCCTCAATTTTAATTATTTTAAAGTTCCTAATTATAGTGAAGATTATTTCTCTTCTAAATATCTAATATAGAAATTAAGTAAATTTTCAGTCATTTCTCCTTTATTTTATAATAGATTAATTTCTGAATAAGTGATTTATTTATTGTATCTTGAACATACAACTGTATTTTAAGGAGATGGTTTGAATTGTGGATCAATAGATTTAGATAAATTAATACTATTTTGTAGTTATTAATTTTAACTAAATGATTTAGAAACATTGAAATTAGGTTGTATTAATGGATTAATAGGTTTATTATATCGATCACTTGATTTACTATAGGATAATGATTAAATTTAAGGAGAATAGGGTACTTTTAAAGACTATTAACTAATATTATTTTATGATGATTCTTATTATTAAATATTTTATGGGAAGAGGGGTTTCAATTTTTGTAATGTTTATTCATTTAATCTATTATAATATTCAGTAACTAATTTAGAATATTTAGGAGGATCATGTTAATAATAATAATTAAGTAATTATTGAAATTGTATATATTATTGATATTGTTATTTCATCTATTCTTATTATTTTTCAAATTGTTTATTATTTATTTATTATTAATAATATTTTTCATATTATTATAGAAGTACTTACAATTATTCACCTTTTAATTTAACAACTAATTCATCTTTACCTTAATCATCTTTTTTAACCATTAAATCTCCATTCCCTTTTAAATATTTCTATAAGAATACAGTTGGATGTTAAGGTTCAATTTATTAAAGTTCTTAAATAACTTTCTATTTGAAATTGTCAATTAGACAATTATATTCTTCTTTTGATAATTAAATCATTTCATCAGTAACTTAACCATGTGCTTCTCTTGATATACTAAGAGATTTTTCAAATGATGCTTATTATTTAATAGATTTAAGTGATTGATTAGATGAAGGAGCTTCTCCAATTTTAGATTTATCTGGATTAAATTCTAATGATTTAATATCTTATTTAATGGAAAGATTGGGATTGGAATGTGTTTATGATTTACTTTAGTTCTATTAAATTTCCATTTATTCCTTGTATTGTTTATGTAATTCAAATAAGAATAAATCTATTACTTTAACCATCTTTCTCCATTCAATAGCCATTTCTTAAGTAAATTCAAATATTAATTCCTATTATTTACATATTTAATAGAGTAATTTTACCATAACAATAGTATCTTCTTCAGCAATAGTTACACTCTATTATATATTTATTCTTTAATCAACTTTGATTCCTTTTTCAGTAAATATAGTTTTAATTTTCTTTTATGTTGATTCACTAAGAACATAACTATATAATGTTTTTTCTTATGTTGAATAAATACAAAGAGACCATTCATCTAAATATTAAAAAAAATAAAATGTATGAGAACATTCTTCATTTGGTTTTTCAATATTTCCATGATTAAAATTCTCATAATACTTTTCATTTATCTTCCATTTAGGTATCATTGTCTTACAATATTGAACAATAAAATTTAGAATTACTAATTTAAGTTTCCTATCATCATCAATTAAATATGGCCAAACATCTCTAAAAAGAAGTTCAATTCCAAAAGCTTTAACAAAAATAGTCTTAGGAGTATGATATTCTATTTCTAATTCCATTTTCTTACGATCATACTCATAATCTTTATATTATTCAAATAACATATAATTTTAAATATTCACTCAAAGAGTGTGATATTATGAATACTTAGGATTCAAGACAATGTCATATGAATGTAGTCCATTTATCAACCCTTTAAAAAATTTGAGTGCTTGCATTCTTGCTAATCGTTCTCCCATTAATAATGCAAATTATTATTATCCCTTTTCTTATGCATCTTATCTTTAAACTCTTAACAATTACATTATTTAATTTGCTTAATCTTATGAATATACTAAAATATTATTTATTATTACATTCATAAATAGATTATTACATAGTAATATATGTATTCTCTACTTTATCAAATAAAGTAGATTCACTATAACAAAAAAAGAATATTGTCCTCAAAATTGGACTTATAACAAATGGCCAAAGTATGTAATATATTATAAGTAAAATCAATATACAAGTTAAACCAATACATTAACTTGTTATAGCTCTTGTAAAGAATTCTCCAAATACATTATTTTATGCTGATTAAACAATAGATGATGATTAGATTGATTAAGTGAAATCTATATTTTCAGGGAATAACTTTGTTGATCCATATATCCAAATTGAAAATATTACATGCCATATTAATCGTAATTTTAATATTTATCTTACTAATTTAGCAACACTATCATCTACTTTTGGTGGAGTCTTACAAAAATGTAATAAAAAATATTTATCACAACAATATGTAATAAATAAAAATAATGCTGTTGTTAAATACAATAATGGCATTCCTGAAGAATATAAGAAATTAACACAAATAACAGTTAAAATTTATGAGTATTTAAGTTCCACATTGAAATCTGAACCTGTATAATATTCATTTAAATCTTATTATGTTAATTTTCTAGTAAATTAACCATCTTATAAACCACATTAATCAAAACATTTCTTTAAACATCTAATTATACTATTAATAACTATATTTATTATTGGACCTATTACATAAATTAACATAGTCAATAACTAAATATAATATAACTATTAATTACAATTGTTGTTCCAACTTAATTAAACCATTAAACACTAATATCATCAAATTTACCATTTAATAATACTGAAAAAGATGATATATTTAATTCATTTGTAAATTTGATATTAATTATCAATATTACTAATGCTGTATTTATGTATTAAACAACAAATACTTTCAGAAGACGAGATGATAATTATTTTGATTTTGATCTATGACCTTCAAATTCAGCAAATTCTAAAATAAAATAATATAATTACTTGTAAATATTATTTAAATAATTTAATTTATAAAAATAATAACAACTACTATTAGAAATGGCCAACCAACAATTTTAACATAATCATTAAACCATTATTAACATAATTATTAACCATTACTAAAAGTCATATTTATTCTATTTATAAAATCTTCTTTGCAATAACATTCCAATAATCCTTTCTTAACATCTTTATTCTAATCAGTAATTACATCAGGTTCAGTAATATTAGGATACATAGTACAATTAGGTTCTGGATAATCTTATTAATAGGTTAATTATTAATATCTATATTAATTATAAATAATTACTTTAAGAATATAATAGCTGCAATAGTGAATATCATTAATATGAAAGTAAGCATAAAACTAAGTGTTCTACGTGCAATTAATTCTATATTTGAATATTATAAATTCATCCAATTAATATCATCTGGTGGAGGTGCAGGTTATGCTTTGATTATTACATTATCAATTTTCATTATTTCATTACAACCACAACAAGAAAAGAGATCACGTAAATAATCTTCTTAATAAATAAAATATGCCATATTTCTTTATTCAATTGTATCAAATGTAATCCAAGCATATTTTATATTCTCATTAAATTATTCTGGTTATTATATTTAATTATCAAATTCAGAAATTTAATTTTCTAATTTCTATATTTCATCTAAAATATCTTATGCATCTTCTTTTTATTATAATTAATTTAAAGACTATTACAATACAGCTGTTGCTAAATTTTATTTTAAATCCATTGAAGTTACTAAAGAAACCTTAAATTTATTTTCAAATCTTCTAACTAAATTATTTCTCTTTTTTATAATTAAAGCTCTTTCCTCACCTATTAATACTGATTTATTTCCTTTTGAAAATTAAATATCTACAATATGAAAACTAGGTATTTAAGGAAATTTCTTAGTTAATTATAATTCTATTTCTATTAATTTTTAAAATAATTCTCTAGGATCTGAACTTTCAGGAAGATTTCTAAATTCTAATGAAAAATTTTCTATAAATACTTCACTTTCATTTACATTTTTCATAGTTTCTTTTTCTTATCTCTCCAATCTTTAAATTAATTATATTTATATACGTAAACAGAAAGATTGCTGTAATAAGAACAATCATCAAATCAATATAACCACATATTATAGATACTGTATTATTCTTAATACTTATTGATCCAAGTGAAAATTCAGAATCCTAACAAAATGAATATGCATAAACCATATAATTATGCATATCAGGACAATTATCAAATAAAGATTCTCTAATTATGAATTCACAAGATTATTATCCAATACATTTATTTTCTATCTCTGCAAATGCTTTAGAATTAGTACAATTTATTATTGCTTAAGATGGTTCATAATAAGTACAAGGAATAGAATTACTACCTTCTTATACAAATCCTAAAACAAAATTTTAAGCTGATATAGTTCCAGAATTACAATTAAATGTTGTTTTCTCTAAAATAGTTGCAGTATCTAGTGATACATTATTCTATATATATAATGATATAATTTATTACATTCAATATTACATCATCCCAAGACATTTTGATACAAGAATCTCCTTGAAGACTCAATGATCCTAATGTAGTACCCATAAGTATTGAATTAAGTGTCAATGTATCTTGGACACAAGATAATGAGAACATCAATTAAGGAATACTCAGAAGAGCAAATAGTAAAAAGTATAAAATAATCTATATATGATATATGATGTAATACTTATTTGAGAAATCGAAAATATATAGTAATACCAGCTCCATATTAATTTATGTCAGATTAAAATTCAGTACTGCAACAACAATTAAAACCAACATCCACATCATAACAATTTGTACAATCATATAATTTATCATCAACATCAGTAGGATGAGTACTTTTCAAATAAGTATTTAATGCTTCTTAATTAACTGGAGAACGATCAAGAATTGTTTGCTTAGTCTTTAGTAATTTCTCTTCACTTCCAGATATATGAATTTAAGATTCTTCTTTTAATGTAGTACTGAGAGCTTGAATTGGATGAATTTGCATAAGTAAAATAATTAATATTTTCTTTACTATTATAATATAATAAAGAATAGATTAATCTAACATAGATAGCTTAAAATAAGTATAGATTAATAATTTTTGAACTTATATTTATTTAAATTCATCATTAAATTCTATACTCATTAAAGATCCTTAAGAAAAACTATCTATTTATTCTATAACAGTTCCATTTTTTATTAATTAAATTAAATCTAATGCAATTAATAATTTAATCTAGATATATTATTGATTCACAACTAATTACAATAGAAATAACCAATTCATTTACATTCATACCCATTTAACTCTTCTTCCACCTTCCCAAATTCCTTTCTTTTTAATTCCATTAGTATCTATATATATCCCTTCTCCATGTTATTGACCATCTTTCCACATTCCATCATAAACTCTACCATCTTCCCAATAATAAATTCCATAACCATGTTTAATATCATTCTAATATTCTCCCACATATTTCTTACCATCAGGCCATCTCAAAGTACCCTTTCCATTCATTTTATTTTGTATCCATTATCCATCATATACTTTTCCATTAAACCAAGTATAAATCCCAGTACCATGAATATTATTTTATTCAAATTGACCTTAATAAACTGAACCATCATAAAAGAGAATCTTTCCATCACCTTATTTTTTACCTTCAAAGTAATCACCTTCATATTTTGAACCATCAGGCCAAACTTCTGATCCTTTCCCATGTTATTAATCATCCTTCCATTATCCTTTATATACAGCACCATTAGAATGAATATATATTCCAAATCCATTAGCTCTATCATTTACCCACTATCCTTCATAAGTATCACCATCAGTATGAATTAATTTTCCAATACCTTATGCTACATTTTATTTCCATTCACCTTCATAAATTGAACCATCCTTATAAATTAATCTCCCCTATCCCCATTTCTATCCTTTCATCCATTCCCCTTCATATAAACTACCATCAAGCATTTCTATTTCTGGTAACTTAATTGGTTCTATGTTATTCATTGTATTTTTCACTAATAATTGATCTTTCTTATTTTTTATAGCAGCAACAACACTTTATTTTAAAGTTTCTCTTTTTCCAGAATTTGCAACTATATCTACTGTATCACCTTAACTTTCAGATTATTTTGTTAATGGTTAATTTGATTCTAATTTCATCATTTTCCTTATTCGATAACCTCGATAATAAGCCTAAATCTTAATGACCTTGACTATTTTTTCATATTCTTCTTTTCCTTCATCTATCGTAAAAGCTTCAACTATTTCTTAAGTAATCTTCCTTTCTATAATTATGACTTAATCTTTTTTGCAACATAAAGCTGAAATCTATCCCATTATAAAAATTATTAAAATTATTCTAAAATATTTTATAATTAAGAAAGTCTAAAATAATAGACAAAAGTAGAACATCCATAACCCAATATCTAAATAAATAAATAACTATAAAAATATTCTAGTTGTAATAATTATTATAATATGAAAATCACTTCAATTCAGGTTAAACTGATTTTAAGAAGGCTTCTAAATGTTATCCTTAATATTTGAGAAATTCGATTTCTTATTTCCTCTTCTATTCTTCAATTTAATTTCTTTCTTTTATCTTTTTATCTAATGAATCCTTTTTATTAAGTAAATCAATCCTCTGAATTCTAATACACATTCATACCTTTTCTTCTAATTTCTATTTCCTCTATTCTAATTAAACTATCTTTTCTTCTAATTCACTTTTCCCCATTTCAGCTTACAATTATTTTCTCATCCCAAATGTTACAGATGAATTATATAAAGTTTAATATGCAGCAATTGTCATTTTTAATTCATCTCTCACTCTCATTAATAATAATCCTATATTATTACTTAATAATAAATACCTCTCTCTGGACAATCTATTGTAACTTATCTTATAATCTCATCAAAACATTAACTTAATAATTCTTCTCTTATTGGACAGATACCAGTCTCTCTAAAATTATTTTATATATATCCCATAACTACCTAGCTTATCTTGCCAACAATCTTTCATCCAATAATTTTTACAAGTTACCAACATCTTCTCTTGTAGCTGGTACATGTGAAACATATTAAATATAATGTTTTCCATCATGATCCCATTCAATTGGAGGTAAAATTGCATTTAATATATCCTAAAATTTCTAATCTCATTCTTTACTTCTGTATTAGGCTTTGATTCTAAAGGTGAAAGTTATGATTTCTTTTTTCCTTATAAAGTTCTAGAGGCATCATTGACATTGCTAACTTCTATAGGATTTTCATATTTGACTAAAGATTCTCGAGGAGGTTTAACTTCTGCCATCTTATTTAAAATTATTACAATAATTTTATAAGTTTAAAAATAACTAAATGTATGTTTTTTTTATAGAAAAAGTCATCTAATAAATGAAAATTATATGGTAAGTGGAAAATCAAAAATTTATTTTCATTATTTGATTTTCTTTTTATATATTAGAAATCTATTCTAAATATTATTTTAAATTTGTGTAGCAATAGAATCCATTTATAAAAGTTTCTAATTGGAACTAATTTCAGTTGGTTTTTTTGTATTTGAAGTAGATTTTTAATGTTTACCATCCTTATTACTCTCATTAGGTTAGGTTGACAATGGTTTTTGTTCTATTTTGAATGATAATCTCCCTTATCTAGAAGGTATCTTTGAAATAGATGTATTATTTTGCATACTGACACGTTCAGTGATAATAAACTTATTATATCCTTAAGGGATAACATTTTATCTTTGATTTAAAAATTATTCATTTTCAGTTTTTTTAAAGAATTCTCCTATTTAAACTTATCTTGTTTATTTTGTAAGTGGTTATTGATTGCTAAGTGAAGGTTCTCGTTTTTAAATGGGTTCTTATGATCTAGTTTTAGTACGTCTATAAAAATAATTATAAATATTATTATATATACATTTTTTTAGTAATAGAAATATTATTTTAATTTTCTAAATGATTTTTTCTTGGAGATTATGTAATATGTGCTAATGTAACATCATTTTATTTTTCTTATTATTAATAAGGAGATTTACTCTTAAGTTTTATCTTAAATATATAAGGAGTATTTTCATTGATTTAATTATGGGGTACCTATGAAATAAGTTACTGTGTAATTTTATTGAATGTTTATTATTAAAATTATTATTGGGATTAAGGGTTTTTATTTTATAAAAGGTAATATGTAGTTGTTATCTAATTGTGTTTATTATTTTAAATCATTTCTATGATTTCTTATTAATTAGATAATCCATTTTGAACCATTTATTATACAATATCATTATCAATTTTAAGTTATTAAGGTATTGAATATTAACCAGCAAATTTGATGAAATCATGATTCTTAATTTCTTGTAATGTAATTCTTTATGTTGGATCCTTCATCAATAATTTTTTGAGTAAATCTGCAGCCTATAAACTAACATGTTTAGGTAAATGAAAATCAGAAGTTTTAATCTTTTCATATAATCTCTTAGTATTTTAATCTTCAAATGGGACACATCTTAATTTTAATAAAATTACAATACCCACAAATCATAGCATATAATATGATTCCACTGGACCAAATATCTGTAAATAGTCCATCATAAGAAAGTCCTTGTAACATTTCAGGAGCAGCATAGCAAGGACTACCACAAGGTGTTTTTAATTTCTATCCAGGTTGATAAGTAGAAGATAATCCAAAATCAACTACTTTTAAAGTACCTTCGTTGAGTAATACATTTTCTGGTTTTAAATCTCTATGAACAACTTGATGTTCATGAATATAAGTAACTGCATGTATCAATTAAATGAATAGTCTAGCAGCTTCTCTTTCTTCAAGACGTTTATTACGGACTATATGGTCAAAGAGCTCTCCTCCACTAGCATATTCAGTAACAATGTACAACTTAGTGTCACTTTCGACAATCTACTATGCAAATGGCTTACTTCAAATAATTGCACCACATTAGGGTGTCTTAATTTTCTTAGAATTGAAATTTCACGATGAATTCTAACATAATCAGACTCTTATTATTTAGTCTTGTCAATGATCTTTATTGCCACCTAAATTAATTTAAGTATACTCTTATACCTTTTCACCAGTTAGCTTATGAATCCCTAATTTTACCTTACTGAATGTTCCTTATCCTAAGTCTTTATCTATAATATATGATTTCATTAATTTAATGATTGATGTGAAAGGTGATGGAAATTGTTTGTTTCGTTGTGTAGCTCTAGCACTTCAAGGCACATAGAACACTCATCAAGAATTCAGATAAATGTGTGCCAATGTTATTTAAGAGAATCAACCTATATTCAAAGAAAAAATCCATTAAGGAATGCTTAAATAATATGATCCATCCAAAGAGGTCTTTGAATAATATATTGAATAAGTTTAAAATGGATAAATTATGGGAGGATTAATTGAATTATAGGCACTCTCTTTGGGATTAAATGTCTAATTCAATGTTGAAGGAATTGGTAATAAATTGTTAGATATTGGATTGTCTCATAATCCAAAAAAAGAAATATAATTATGTAGAATCAAGAATGATAAATACAAAGATGGTCATTATATGTTTAAAAAAATACATAAAATCAAAAGAAAAAAATGAGTATTAATTATATATATAAAATTATATGGGTAATAATTGCACTGGCTAATGTGCAGGATGTTATAAACGAGACATTGAAATATTAGTAATCCTCTTCTATTCTATATTAGAAAAGTGAGTAGCATTAAATATTATCAGAAAAACCTTATGAATCTTTAAGCAGAAAAAGTTCTAAAAATTATGTTTAAGATGCTATCCCTTTGGGTAGCAATTATGAAATCAATATTAAACCAATTACTAAAAGTGTTGTAGATATTGTTAGTGACAAATCAAAGAAAACTAAGGCTGCTATTAAAATTTAATCTTGTTGGAAAGGATATTCAGTTAGAAAAAAATAACCACTTATGAACAATACCAAAACTAGCGTTGAAACTGAAGGAAATAAAATAACAGGCACATATTTTGAAAGGTTATGCAATTTATCAAAATTACAAAAGTACAACAAACTTTATTAATTTTAGATTAGCAAAAATGTATAATGGATAATGGTTGGGAAAAGATAGACATGGAAAAGGAATACAAACTTGGCCAGATGGAGCTATATATGATGGAGAATGGTAACATAATACAGCTCATGGTAAAGGATTATTTCGACATGCTGATAAAATTGAATATGAAGGAGAATGGAAATACAGTAAAGCATGTGGTTATGGTATAATGAGGTCTCAGAATGGAGCATATTATGAAGGGGAATGGGAAAATGATTTATAACATGGATATGGTAAAGAATAATGGGCTGATAGTTCAGTATATGAAGGTCAATATTATTAAGGCTTAAAACATGGAAAAGGGAAATATGTATGGAAAGATAATAGTTATTATGAAGGAGAGTGGTAAAATAATAAAATTCATGGTTTGGGAGCATATCATTGGATAGATGGGAGAGGTTATAAAGGAGAATGGAAAAATGGAATGATGAATGGACATGGAGAATATAGTTGGAGTGATGGTAGAAAGTATGTTGGAGAATATCTTAATGATTAAAAACATGGATATGGAGAATATAAATGGGTAGATGGTAAGGAATTTAGAGGATTGTGGTAAAAGGGAGTATAACATGGAGAAGGAGTTTATGTGACAGTTGATGGTAGAACAAAGAGAGGATTATGGCAAGAAGGTAAATTAGTTTAATGGTTGAAATGATTAATTACTATTTTTAATTTTATAATTTAACGTTTATGAGTTTATATTTTGAAGAGTGTGCACCATAAAATATGAGTTAAGATTTTATTAAGAGGAAATATAGAGGCAAAGAAAATATGTCATTGAATCGTATTTCTACTAAGATGAATTCTATCACTTAAGTTATTGAGAAATCACAATAATTCCAGAATCTAAAATTAAATATTGGAGAATATTGGGGATAAGTTAAATTAAATAAAGCTAATGGAATAGGGTCATGTCATTTTAATACAGGAGGATTTTATTATGGAGAATGGAAAAATAATACAATAAATGGAGTGGGAATATATTTTTTTAATATTGGTGGATATATAAAAGGTGAGTTCTGTGATGGTAAAGCAAATGGATATTGTGAATTATGTTATCAAAATGGTTAGTTATATTTGGGTACATTTAAAGAAGGAAAGCAATAGGGAGTAGGATTGAAAACAAGTAGAAGAGGAAAAGAAGTTGTATAATATAAAGATGGTATTCGAGTAAATGTTACTGAAGAACCAACATAAAAAGAGGATATTAATTAGTTGTTAAAAATCTAATTGCCATAAATATATATTCATAATGATAGAACTGTTTATGGATTGTAATGTGATTTAACAGGTTTAGGTGTTATTCAATATAAAAATGGCAGAATTGATATGGGATAATTTCAGAATGGTTTTTTAAATGGTAAGGGAAGAATAATATTCAAAAGTGGAGATATTTATGATGGACAATTATAAAATGGACATTTTTAAGGTTAAGGTAATGAATTATTTAATTATAAAGGGTCTTATTTAAATTACAATTCAAAATAAATGACAGAAGGGATTTTTGAAAAGAATTAAATAGTTTCTATTTAAAATTAAATCATTTAATATCCTCCAAAAGGAAATGATGAATAAATAATAGTTGATCAAAGAATCTTAATAAAAAATGTACATCTCAAGACTCGAGGTATTAATGTTAATTCTTAATATAATTCTGGGAAAAAGACTACAAAAGTAAATAAGATATAAAATTTGATTCAACATATGCTTAATCCAGTTAAAAATAGTCTCAATAGTGAAACTGGTTAACATGAAGTTGTTTTGGATAATCTATTATCTAGAGTATAATCACCTTAATAAAGAAAGAATCTTGAATAGATTATTAATTAAGTTACATCACCATAAAGAATAAGATGAATTCATTTAATTTATTTAATATATAATGATTAATAATAATTAAGAAATGATTATCATAAATAAAACTATTCACATTTTGTCAAAAAACTATTTAATCTTCTACTTTTTAAGATTAGCAATAGATTATTAAAGATTTTTAGTTTTTAAACTTTTTTGTTTTTTTTATTTACCTTCATCATCATCATCATCATCTGAATCATCATTATCATCATCAGAATCACTATCAGATTCTCCTTCCATATCTATTTCTTTTTAAGTTTATTTATTAGTATATTCAAATTCTGCTTCATTAACTTGAACTTTAGCTGATTTTCTTTTATTGACAAAATCTGCAATATCATAAAATTTAATTGAACTATCATGTGACAATGAAGCTGCAATTTTTTATGTTCTATCAACAACTATTTTAGTAATAGGGAAATAAGAATTATCTTCATGTTAACCTAATATTCCTGTTATCATATTTGGAAAAACAGAAACTCCTCTTACTAAACCATCTTCACCACCTGTAATTATTGAATGTTCATCTATTTTACACTAATTGATATAATATAATAATATACAATTGAATCAATAGAATTAGGATGACCAATTATTCTATCTTTAAAATCACCAAAATAATCCCATTTAAATAATAATAAATTACCTTCACTTGTTGATATACAAACAAATTAACCATTTTTGACCAAACAAATATCTGTTAATTCCTCTTCCATACAATCACTTTTTGCATATAAACATTTTTCATTAGTACTTTAGAATCTTAAATCATGAACACTTAAATAACCATCTAAACTTGATGAAAGTAATAAATTATTTGATGAATCTATTTCAATTCCAGAAATAGCTTCTTCAGCTTCCTTTACTTTAAATACACATTTATTTTATCTTAAATCCCATATTTTAATATTTCCTGTATCATCACCTGTTGCAATAATACTATCATTCAATTATTTAAGAGCATTAATAGGATGTCTATTTAAATAAATAATTAATATACTTATGAGCTTTGAGTTGATGTAATACCATTTTACCATTATTATCTAATATAGCAAATGAACAATCTTTGCTAGCTGTTATTAAGTGTTAACCATCTCTAAAGAATTAACTGATTCTTGCAGATTATTAATGGTGTGTAAAGGCTGCTATTTCTACTACATCATCAGATGAATATTTCAATCTTAACTTGTGGATAAAAATGATTACATATTCACAACTCCTGACACTTATGCACAACAAACAACATCTTAAAAAGGATGAAAATTTAAGTCAAATAAATGATCTTTAGCAAAATAGAGAGGTGGTTCAATTACTATTTCTTATTGCTATTAAATCATGGTAATAAATTATCTTAATTTATTTAATATATATACAATAAATTTATATTATTGATTAATATATTCATATCACCATGCATACTCAGTTCTAAAATCGACCATTTTACTACGATCATTACTTGGATAAGTCTTTTATGAAACTGTAATCAATCTCTTTATTGCTTGTATGTATTTTCTCTAAGTTTCATCATTTAAAATATGAGCTATTTATGAACTTGATATCTTTGATCTACCAGTCCTTTCATGTATACCAACCATAGTAACACCCATAGCTAATATATTATAATATATTTTTACGCCATGGTGCATTTCCAATTGCTAATTCCAAATATTTATCATATGCTCTTACATATTCTTTATATACACAAAATCTTATTATAAGATATAATGCATTCAAGATTTCTTCATTAATTGATTATACCATTTTGGCTTTCTATAATTATTCTGTTAATGGTTTTATATAATCTAATGTTTATTTATAAGAATTAAATGCCTAAGAACCTTCTAAACTTCTTTTTAGTGTTTCTGTATTAAATTTATCCAACAACTTTATGTTCCATTCTCTCAACATTTTTTTACACCATAAATAAACATCTTCACATCTTGTCAATAGTGATACTCCATCCAATAATTGTTATTCAATTTCTTCTTTTCCTTTACATTAGAATACAGGAACAAGTGCAGTATTTGGATCTAGATTTCTTTCTTTAATTTTATTAACAAACACTTTGATTTCCTCTTTATCTTCTCCTTCTAATACTTTGATTTCTAATTCCCTTTAATGATTTTCTTTCTTTTCTTAAACAAATTACATCAATCTTTTATATCTTTGCCAATCACTTTCACCAAAATATGTAATAGGTTCTCCCAAATCTCTTAGTCTTTTTTGTACTTCCTTTTTTTCAATCGGTGGAAGATCCTGAGGTATTTAGATTTCATCCTATTAAATTTTATCACGTTCAGAGTTTATACATTATTAATCTAATCTTTTTATTTTCACTCTTTCAATGTCCTTTGTTTTGTAATATTCATCTTGCATTTTCAGTTTCTTTACTAACTTTTCATGCTAATTTTAATGTAATAATAAAATACTTTTTCTCTTTCCCTTTCACGTTATTCCTACAATAATCTTTGTCTTTCTTATTCAATTTTCTACTTTTATTCTTAAATTGTTAATGAATTGCTTTGCTATTATTTTTTTTGTTCGATGAGTTTTTTTAATGATTAAAATTCTTGCATTATAAAATGCCTGATGTGAGTTAAGTATATTTTTAATATTTTTTTTAAGATTTTTATATACATATGAACACTCATACAATTAGTCAACCAAAACCATTAATTCGACTTATTTAACAAATAAAAACCGATTCTGTGAGTGTCTCATCTACCTAATCATACGATTCACATTTCTCTGATATTGAGAGACCAGAAAACCCTATGATCAAGAACTTTATAGACAACTATGAAGATGATCTCGACACCTTCTTTGATCAATTGGAATGAAAACTCTTAACCTTTGATTTGTGTTATTTTGTGTTATATATTAACTGAATAAATGTTGTTAATTATATATTTATATATTCATACTACCAATGTTTATTTTAGAGGTATGAGTTACTCCATTAACCTGTCTCTATTATTCCGTTTTTAACTATAATCTCTCAATTTCTCAATTATCAACTAACATAATTAGTCATTTTTTAAACACAATTTATTAGTATGTTTGATCTCTAATTATTCTAAAAATCATTATTCTTCATCCAATAATAAAGACTCATATTTTATGTTATAATGTAAAGACTCCATGCTCTAATTTTTACTATAATTCACAAAATTTAATGATGAAATCTTCTTTAATAATGAAACATTCTTTAAGAATTTTCCATTCAATTTATTTTAAATGTACAACTATTTCTTCTTACTATTTTAAGGTTCTTTTAAATAATATTAATTATTATTTGTAATCCTAATTTTTATGATGAAGATCAAAAAACTATAAATCTATATTAGTTTAATTGGTTTCACATAATTCGTTAAGTTCTAATAATATAGTTCCTGGATTCTTATTATTACATAAGATTTTTTGATTATATTTTGATAATTCATTCAATTATCTTTAATAAAGTAGATATTAATTGATATTATTCTTGTTTCAATATCCTGTTCTTTTCCTCAAGTTCTTTTAGTTTCATTTATTGATTATCCATCAGATTATCCTTCTTATAAGACATATCTGTTATATAATTAACAAGAAAATATTAATAATTTATGTGATATCTATGATATTCTATATTAATTATATAATTAAACTTGAAAAACATCCATAACTGCTTTACCAATTTAGTTATATTTGTTATAATACTTAATTAATTATCTAATTACAATCAATATATTCTCTATTATTACTATCAATTTTTCTTTTTATTTAATCAGCATTTAAATTCTACTATTCTTTATAATCTCTATTTATTTACAATGTTTCGATAAGTATTTTAAAAGTATCTTTAAACTATATTCATATAAGAAGTCTTTGTTCTCAATAGGATTATAATAATTAATAATAAGTTCTTATTTTAGATTCAACTAAATTTCATGAATTTCTAAAATCTTAAAATTTCATAAATACCTTATATAATATAAAATAGCTATAAAATGATTATTAATATATTAATATATGTTTATTTCCCTTAAATTTATACATAGATATATTTGCAATATAATTTTCACAATAATATTTTATATTTCTCAGTTGTTGGAACTGTATTTATTATCATATGACCACTATAACCTATTGATGCTAAAACCCATGCAGTTCCTCTTGACCAACTTAATCCATAAATTGAATCTTCATGTTCATCAAACTATTTAACCAAATAATCATCTTCCTTATTTAATTAAGGAACAGAGGAAACTGATGTAATATTATATAATGAAATAGTGCCATCATCAACTAGATATATAGATATTAAAATTACATGATAATGAAACTAATTAATCATGGAATTTATTAAATTTTGCTTATAAAACTGAATTTTATAAGTCTTCAAATGATTTAATTGCATATTATGTTTTACGAATATCCCAAACTTTAGCTAAACAATCTTCACCACCAGTTATTAAATAATATTATTTATTAGGATTAAAATCTATATCTAATATTTAAAGACTATGTGCTTTGAATTTAGTTACTCTAATGATTATATTTTTAATTACTTTTTTTCTCTAGTATCTTAAATGCATAGATAATTATTTTAGGATCTAACAAATAAATTCTTATGATGTGGATCTTATTCACATAAATTATAAAGATCATTGTCATCAATAATATTATCAAATGATTATTTATTCAAATCAAATTAAATAATGGATTTATTGGAACTCAAATAAATAATTGGATCATCTTCAGGACAAATGACACTAATAAATTAAAATTAAATATATTACTTAGTCAATCCTTCATACAACAAATCAAAATTTACTTAATATCTTCCATTATCAGCCAATTCTATACAACAAAGTTTTGTCTTTCTTTATTATGCTACATTATAATTTTAGTTAATACGATCAATATAAATAACATATAATTATTCTTTTTTTGCTATGATTTTCTCTACCATTCCATTTATTGGTATTTTATGCAATTAGACAATCTTTTATTCTAATTCTAAATATTCATTCACATATATCTGTAAATATAATTAAAAATTTATTGTTACTTCATTATTTTTCTTAGCATTCCAAGTTCCAACAGCGAATACATGTCTCTTATTGAATACAATGTTTGAAACACATCTGCAATTTTATTCACCAAAAGAAATTTACACAGGCTATGTTTATTAATCCATAAAATTATAATCATTAATTATTAGAGTGAATAAATTTTGAAATATTTTTTTTATTATTAAATAAATATTACAAATAATTAATGTCCAATTTATTTTGAACATATTTACTAAACTTATATGTCTATTTATAATTGTATATATATAATATAAATTCTTTTTATATAATTTAATACCATTATAATAAATCAGTTTTGAACATTATTTCCTAATTGTTTTTTGTTTTACATTTTTTTAGTAACATTTTTTAAAGGCTTATCAACATGCATCCTTGATTGATGTCTTCTCAAACCAGCAATATTTTTACAATGCTTTTAGCACATAGGACATTATAAAAAATTTTAACTATTCACATTTTATTTATTTTTCTTAATTTTTTTTGTTTCATTTTGTATTGGTTTGGTTCCTTACTCAATTTGAGCATCTTCATCTGTCACCAAACTAAATAAAATTAATAAATATTTATTACTCTATTTCCACAGGTGTCTTACAACTGGATAATGGAGTATTGGGTTTCTATGAACTAAAATCTTAGATCTAAGAACCCTCTGTATTTTGTTCTTGCATTATTCTTTCTTAATCAAAAATAGGAGCAACTGTAAAATGATTAACTTCTGTATTAAAAATGTCTAATCCTTTAGCTAGTCGATCATGCTTCTCAGATAAAGCAGCACATTATTAATAGAGTTAGGCTAGAGCACTCAAATGAACTGTTAAAGGAACGTATTACATAATTTATTACTAAGAGAATTATTGAGGAACTTGTTTTATTATGTGATATCCTTATAATATTTTTCATGTATTTAAAAACTATTTATTTATTTTTAAATATTGAAAACTAATGATTATATAAGTATACATTCAAAAGCTGAATCAATTATTATTCATAGCTTCTTGATAGATGTCATAAAAAAAAGATGATTTATCATTTAATAGTTCATTTGTAGATCCAAATTCTTTTAATTCTCCTTTACTTATCACTAGAATTCTATTAAATTTATATTAATCTAAATTTACTTATCACAATGCAATATAGTATTTATTCTATGAGCAATTGTAAGTACTGTACAATCCTTGAATAATCTCTAAATAGTTTATTATATTTTTTATTCAGTCTCTATATCAATATTTGCTGTGGCTTCATCAATTAAAACTATTTTGCTTTTTTTCAATATAGCTCTTGCAATACAAATCAATTATTTTTCACCTGCACTCAAATTATCACCTCCCTCATTTATACGTGTATCTAATCCATTCCTATCATTAATCAATTATAATAGACAGCATTCTTCAATTACCTTCATTACTTCTTAATCACTACATGTATTTAATGGATCTAAATTTTATCTGATTGTTCCAGTAAAAATCACTGGATCTTATAGCATAGTTGTAATTGATGATCTCAACTTTTAAATTTATACTTTTGATATATCAACATCATCTATTTCTATATGACCTGAAAAAGCTTCTAGAATTCTTAAAATACACAGAGTTATAGATGATTTTCCAGCTCCAGTTCTACCTACTATACCTATTTTCTCTTTAGAATTTACAGAGAAACTTAAGTTTTTCAGTACTAAAGGCAGATTATTTCTGTAATTTACTGAATAATTAATAAATTTAATTCTTCCTTCATTTGGCCATGATTCTTCGACAGTTTTAATTTCTGTCAAATTTTCTGGTTCTATCTTAGTATATTCCAAACATCTCTCAAATGATATCATGTTATTTTCTAACAAACTTAAAGAATCAACTGTTTATTGAACATTTCTATCCAAACTAGCAGCAAATGTTAATATCAACCCTGCAAATGAAGGATTATTAGTAAATAAGATGCAATAAGCAATTGCAAAAGTATTTACTATTAGACTAGCTAATCCCAAGATTTAGAGAAACCATGAACTAGCTGCTGTTGAAAAATAGACAATTTATTTATTATTATCTAATTTCTATGAAAACTCTTTCATAACAAAATCTGTTTATGAAAAAGCTCTTATAGTTGTTAATCCCATCAAAGATTAAGTAAAATAACTCAGAATAGGACTTCTACTTATAAGTTCTAATCTTTATAACTCTCGACTAGCTTTCATATATAATCTTTAGATTTTCAAGCATATATAAAAGAAGATAATTAAAGGAAAAATGAGTAAGTATGTACTAACATAAATACTTAATAGATTATTACTAAGTATTTAGCTTATTTTAGTAGAAAATTATGCAATATTAATATGTATTTCAACATCTAAAGAATTAATATCTTTAGTTAATCTATTCATAATTCTACCAAGTGGTACTCTTTCAAAGAATTAACATTGAGGTGCAAACATTAAAGAGTTGATCATATCATTATGTATTTGGGAAGATGATTTTATACTTTATGATACAATCATTGCAGCTCTAAGATAAGCAAATAAAGATTGTATAAATCCTAATAATAAAAACACCCAAAAGTAAGTAATCTCTTCATAATGATCTCGTAATGAGGCATAACGACTAGTCCATTCAGTTATCCATAAATTGGCTATAATTTAACTGAGAATCCAAATTAACATAACAATAAATAGAATAAATTAATGGATTAAATTCTTTTTGTATTACAAATATTTAATATATACTTCTGAATCTATTTCTCCTTTCTTTCTTTCTTCAACAGTCATTAAATCAGATTTAATTTTATTATTATCTATAATTTATTCTTAATTTTATTCAATATCCTTTTCATCAATTAATTAAATATTATTCTTTTTACTATATTCTTAATTTTCTTCCTATTAAATATCAAATTCAAATTTCTTTTCTATTTCTTAATATATTAAATTATTCTGCATCTTCTAATAATCTCCTTCTTCAATGATTTCTCCCTTTTACATTAAATAAATATAATCAGTATATTTACAATAATTTAATGCATGAGTAATTAAAATTCTTGTTTTTCCTTTCAATAGATTAATAAAGCATTCTTTTAATATAAAATGACCAACTTGAGCATCAACAGCACTTAATGGATCATCAAATAAGAAGATGTCTGCTTTACTATAGATGGCTCTTGCTAAACTTATTCTAGCCTTTTATCCTCCAGATAAATTAATTCCTTTTTCTCCAATCATAGTTTGATCTCCATTAACTAATATTTCTAAATCCAAAGTCAAACATGAATATTTAATAGCTTAATCATAAAGTCTCTCTTCATATGGTTTACCAAATAAAATGTTTTCTTAAACTGTTGCATTTTAAATCCATGGTTTCTATCCAACATATGCAATAGGACCAGACATATTAATTATAGGTTTATTATCATCCATCATATTATAGATCATCTCTCCTAAAAGACATTAAATCAATGAGGACTTCCCAGATCCAACATCTCCTATTATTGATACAAATTTCCCCTTCTCTACACTTATATTTATATTCTTTAAGATTAATTATTCTTAATTACAATCCTTTCTCCAATAAAAATTACCTTAATCTATTTCTAAAGCAGAATTAGCAACTTTTTTATAATCACAATAAAGATCATTCATTAATTCATCACTATCTAAAAAATCTTATATTCTTTTAAGAGATACTTTTGTTTCTAAAAGATCATTTAATGAAATTGGTAATAATTAAAGACTTGCTGCTAAAATAGATAATAATCCAATTATAGGAAAAGTCATACTTGGAATTAATTAATTTCCCAACAATACATATAGTCCAAAAGTAAAACTTAATATCATTTAAGGGGATAGCCAACCCATAAATACATTTATAGAAAAGTATTATAGTCTGTCTTTTATACATTCTAATTCAATCTACCTTAATTTGTATATTTTATTTAGAAAATATTATTCTAATGCATTAATTTTAATGAATTTAATTAATTAAAACATTTCTGTAGTTTCTTTAACTCTATTATCTTTTGACTTTAATACTTTTTTTTAAGCCTCAACAATTTATTTACCAACGTAATTATTCTAAATTATACTCAAAATTATGATTATTATTCCTACAAGTACAGATATTCCTATTGCTTCATAGATGTATGTTAATGTTATACCTATATAAAAAGAAACGGTTACATAATTATATTGGAATAATAATCATATTAACAACATTATTTGGAACCTAAATTAGTCTTTATACATCAACTTAAATTAGATTAGTAATCTCTCCTATTGATTTTTCAGTATTACTTAATAATGAAATCTTAAGACATTTATTCATAATTTCCAAACTAATTACTGACATTATATCATAACCATAGATTTTCTTAATTAAATCAATAATTTTATTTACCATCATAAATCTAGAATGAGACATAGACAACAAATTGATAATTCTAATTAATATCACTAAAAATATAAGTAAGAAAGCCTAATGATAATTCTTATCTGTCTCATAAATAAATGCAATAATATATTTTGTTAATAAAGGCATAGCTAATTGACTAAAAAGTACTAGTAATTATATTAAAAATCCTTTTAAAAAATATTCTATCCTTCATTAATAAATATTTACATAAATAATATTACAATATCAAATTAACTAAATTTTTCTAATTATTGAATTTTAAATGTTCAGAAAACTATTGATGTCGCACATATGATTATTCTGATTTCTCAAGTTAATTTATTTAATTTTCATCTAATTCTGATTTATTAGCTTTCTAAAAAGGTTCATTCCAATATATTACCTTCATTATTGGATATATATAAACAAAGAATAATTATTTAAACCAAGATGTTTTCCTTTTTATCAATTTTTCCTCAAATATGATTGTTTGTTGATTATCCAAAATCATTGAGGCAGAATCCATTATTAAATTAAATTAATTTCTAAACAAATTTTGTATTAGATTATAGTTTGATTTCTTCTTATTTATAGAAATTAGTATAAACAATATAAATTATATACACTAATTAAAACCAATATATAATTAAGAAATCTTTTAAGAATAAAAAAAAGTATAAATAAAAAAATAAAAGTAAAATACATAATTTTGATAAAGAATTATAGGACTAAATGTTAAATATAACATATTTTAAAATTGACTAATATTTATATTATTTTGACATTTGAATCAAATTCAGATATGCTCCTTGCTTCTTAATTTGGAAGAGGGTCTTTGTTAAATTAGTATATATATCATACTCTGTGAACACTTCACTTACAACTTCAAGACCTCTATCTATAAGATTGACGAATTTCTTATCTTCACTATATACCATTAATGATATGAACATTGCTAAAATAGCTAAGACTAATAAAAATATCTCAGTAACAACTGTGGATGATGTCAATCTATTAATATCAATTTAATTTATTTTACTATTCAAAAAATTTGCAAATAAATGGAGTAATTGTAATACCAAAATTTTATAGACAAACAAATAAAGATAGACTTCTACCATGTGTATTTGGTTATGTCAAATATAACACTCCACTCCAAACTGTTGTATAAGATAATGAAAATGATAATCCTAATAAAAGAAGTCCTTCGAATGGGGATTGTAAGAGTACTAAGATATGTGCCCATATAGCCATCAAACCTGAAAATATTGTCTATAATATAATAATTATTATAATTACAAGTGAAGATCTTTATCCATATTTATCAATAACAAAACCTAATAATGGTGTTATAACTCCTGAAAATAACCACATAAGAGTTACTAATTTCCAAGCTAATGTTTCTCCATTGTCTATTGCTATCAACCATTTATCATATAAAAATTCTTAAGCATAATCTACTAATACTAAAACAGAAGTAGATGCAAAAGAATAAAACCATAATAAATACCAATATATGGAAGGATATTGATTTTTATTAAAAAATCCAAAATATTTCTCAAAAAATGTTTATGGTAATATTTCAGAATAAACTTATTCAACAGCCATTTAATCTTCCTAATGATTCTATTAATCCACTTATATTTCTTCTCCTTCTATTTATTATTATTATTAATGTAATGTAGAACTTTTTAGTTTCTCATGATGCTTTTTAAAATACTTTGCTCCTTTATTTAATATTGTTGATTAAGCATCAACATCTATATCAATAGCAACAATAGACATTAACATTCCTAAAGTTGTTGCCAATATAGCAATAGTATTTGATGCTCCTACAGATGTGATTTATGGTGCAAACCAAATACAAAGTACAAATCCCAAAGTGTAAACAAATTGATACATACCTAATACAAAAGTCTAAAAATATACTAATACAAAATTACCAAATATGTGTATTTATAATATGAACATATAAAGGATGTTAATACTATTAAAAGGGATTCTATTCCCCAACCCAATAAAATTCTTCCAATTATAAATACAATTTGACTTCCAGATGAAATACCAAAAGTAACAATAATTTAACCAATTACACATAATCCATTTTGAAATATGATGCTCTTTCTGTCTCCATAGAAATCTCTTATTAGACCAGAGAAGAAAGGTAAAAATGAATTCAATAAAAAGTGTAATGAAGTTAACCAAGTTAAGAATTATTTTGGATCATCAATATTAAATGCTTCTCCAATTTAAGTTTACATTTGAGCAGGTAAAACCAAACAATATGAAGATGCGATCAATCCAAATGATGTCATTAGAACCAAATGCCATTTAGATTTGTGTGACTATTTATCCAAATAAAACAAATTTTCCTCCATATTCGTTTTTATTAAAATATATATATATATAAATATTTTAAAAGATAAAATAGAATTAGTAATTAAAAATACTTATACTAATTCCAATTATAGTAATATTATTTAAATGATATTCACTATTACGATATTTAAATTTGAATAATAATGTTAAAAGCATTTATAGTATTGAAGAATCTCAAATTATTAACTAATTATTCTGAATAGATTAATATAAATTTTTAGCATTTATTCAAATTATCATGTACAAATGATTATACTATTAAATATACTTTTCAATTTTATAAATGTATAATAAAAATGATTATTGTTTTTAAATGAAATTCATAAATTATATTAGGATGGATCATTATAAGGTATTCAATTGAATGTCTTAAATATTTCATTTTTTATATAAATATTTTAATTAAAATGGCTGAATTCAGTTCTTTGAAAAGGAAGTTTGAAAGTCTAAGGATAGTTGATGATGAATCTCCAAAAACAATTAAAAAAACCTTTATTTAAGATGTGGATTTGTATCTATTGGGAAAAAAGATTTAATCCATTCATTTGGTTTAGCCTTTGTAATCAGTTATAAAGAAACCCGATATCTATTAGGCTTGCTTCATAAAGAAGGACTGTTACAATCCTTTTTTATATATTGATCGACCTATCAAAAAAGAAAAGGATGAGTCGTGATATATATTATTATAAATGATATATATATACTTTATTAGGTTAACAAAAATAGAAAATCATTTCATCGTACTCTATTCAAAAACAATTAAAATTTAAGGTTCATTCATAATTGATTTAATTTAAATTGAATATATGTTAATCGAGAATATTTACACCTTCAATTAAGGTTTTGATTTAAAAATAATATTTAGTTATGAATATAGAATATAAGGAATTTTAATAAAAATAAAATGTATAGTTAAATAGATATGGATGATGGAAATAATTTTGATTCTATTAAATTGCTAGAATTAGTAATAGGCTTTATAATATTTATATTGGATTTATTTTTACTTAATATTAATTATAATATAATATAATTTTACATAATATAATGGAACAATTTGAACAAGAAAAAAAGAGTGAAATGGTGGAATTAGCTTGTGAAACAGTAAAAAAGAGAATAAAGAAAGGTTAAGCAAAGAAAAAATAAACTAATGAATAACCACTTGAAAATTGTAGTATCTGCTATGGTGAAATAATTGATAAAGTAAATTAATTAATATAATAATAGGGTATCATTTAAACATGTAAACATACATATTGTTTTTAATGCATTGAAATTTGGGCTAAAGAAAAGTAAACTTGTCCTCAATGCAGAGTTAAATTTAATAAGATTCAAAGAGTATGGAAATAAGGAAAGGCAAAAAAATAAAAAATGTACAATTATCGTTCAAATGAAATGAACTTTAATGATGGTAATCTAATTTCTATAAATTTGATTTATCAATAAATTATAGCGATGCCCTAAATCTCTTTTATGGACTTAGGTTTCATAGAAATTAGTTCGGATTCAGAATGAATAAAAAATTTACATAATGGTATTTTTACTAATTGAATAATCTATATTGGTGAATGTTTAATTCATTATTATGATTATTTTTTTTATTTTTGCATTAAAATATATATATATTAACTATTACAGGAGTCAAAAACCTGATAGGAATCTATTCTTATTCATTATTTATCTAAATATAGATGATATCATTTACTATAATTAATTCAAATAATTTAAATATTTTATTGATGAATAGCACTTAATATATAATAAAGGAAATAATTATTAAATAAAAGTATTCTAATAATTATTAAAAATATTATATGATTTTTTTAACTAAATATCAAGTTATTAATTTATATCAAATAACGTAAATTTTGATTTAATTGATTATTTTAATCATAAAAATTATAGTTTATATCAAACTTATTCAAGATTCTTTAAGTTATTCATTATTTTATTTACAATTTTATATTAAGTTTGATTTTAATTAATCTGAGTAATAGAAAGTAGATGTTGTTCAATATCTTTTATTTAATTCTGTGATTATTTCTTATTATATTAATAGATTCATACTTTAATAATAAGAGAAGGTTACTTAGATAAATGATTTTAATCTAAAACTTTCTTCAATTTTCCTATCAATTAATATTATGGTAATTTATGTGATTAAGGTGATTCTTTTTCAAATATTATATCTCCAAATTCATCTTCTAAATTTCTTATTGATATCTTTTTTTCACTATCTTTAAATTATTCTTGTATAGATTGAAGCATAGCATACTATGGTGTATATATTGTAGCATCTTATTTTTTGTTTACATTACATATTTATGGAGTAGAATATTCAGGTTTTTTATCATAAGTTTATATGCCACTAAAATATTTCATATATCCACAACTTCCAACATCATTTATAATTGATTTATTTATTTCTTTATTCAATTAATCTTATTCTTCATTATTATTCAATTCTCTATATCTTTAGTTATCTAAATTGAGCATAAACCATTCATGTTTTAATGCTTCTTAAGGATTTGGTCTTTATGATGGTCGACGATTCAATAATAATTTTAATAATTAAAGACCTAATTTAAAAATTAGAAAATATACATTAAATAGATATAATTGATTCTATAGATTGATAATCAACTTTACAATTAAAATTACGCATTACTATTTCATCATATGTAGATCCCTTAAATGGTGATTTACCAACTAATAATAAATACATTAAACATCCAACACTATAAATGTCTACTTTAGAATCATATAATTTGTCCTACAATATTTCAGGTGCTACAAATCCAGGAGTACCACACCTTTAAAACATATAGTTTCCTAAAGGATCATAAAAATCAGCCAATCCAAAATCAGCAATTACTAAATCATCTAAAATTCCTTTTTTTCTTAATATCATATTTTCTGGTTTAAGATCTCTGTGTATAATATTCTTCTTATGTAAATACTCAAGAGATTTTAATAAAGTGGCTATGATTCCAGCCACAATATTTTCTGGCAGTTTTTAATTTTTTTTAATATGCTGATATAATTCTCCTCCTTATAAATACTCTTAAACTAAATAGATATGTGTCTCATCCTCATAGACTTCATGTAATTTGATAAATCCCTTGTAATTCAACTTTCTTAGTATAGATATTTCTTTCAATAAAGCCAATCTATCTGTTTCAGTATTTATCATTTTACTTTTTTCGAATACTTTTACAGCAAATTACTATTTATCAGATTTTTTGTTACAAAGATACACCTAAAAAATAGAAGAACATTCAAATACTTTTGCAAAGTTTCCTTTTCCTATCATTTTTTAAATATCATAATCATGTTTGAATGTTATCTATAGTGACTATTTTTTTAATTCTTCCCATATTTTTTGGTTTATTTCTTTTGATCTTGAATATAATTCTCTACATCTCTAATTTCTAATAATTCTGATCCCATACTTCTTCTAATATATTATTTATAAGATATTATTACTCTATTACAACTCTCCTTCTCTTGATCATTTTAATATTTAATTTTTTCTATTCTACTCATATTAAGATTGATTTAATGGATTGTTTGTTTATTTGGCTTATATATAAAATAATATAGTTTTACTCTCAGCTTCATTAATTTAGAATCATAAATTATATAATTTTTACTTACCCAGAATCCAGTTTTTTAACTTTTCTCAAAAAGCATAAATTGATGTTCAATTTTTTCAATATTTATTTAGGATATTGACTTTTACCAAAAAGAAGAATCTATAGTCTATTCATCAAAAAATGACCTAAATGTCTTAGATTACATTTAATAATTAAATATATTTTTAGTAATTATAAGTCACTATTTCCTATTTCCAATTCGAGAATTTATCATTTCATTTAAAATCTCCAATTTTTAAGTCATCATCTGATTAAATTGCTCATTCTCACCTTTTATACTACCTCTACTTAATGGTTCTTTTATTTAAGAAGGAGTCTCCACCTTCTTTAATTGATTCCTAAACTAACTCAATGGAGTAGATTACTCTTCTTCTATTGTAGCTTCAATTAAAGGTTCTGCTGATAAATATTTCTTATTCTTAGGAGAAGGAGATTTCACCTAAGCCTTATCCAAATTATGAATAATTGAATAAAGTGTTCTACCTATTTATCTACTTATCTCATATTGAAAATTATCATATTAGAATTGAATATTATCATCAATATGTTATGATTATTGAATCTTTTCATATTCCATTGAAATAGACTTCTTAGCTTCAGTCAAATTCTATTTATTTAAAATACAATCCTTAAACTTTTAAATACTTTCATTAAAAATAAGTTGCATCTCTTCACAAATAGAATTAATCATAGTTTAAATTGTGTAAGCCTCTTCTTCATTTAAGTTAGGAATTGATTCAGATTTCTCTCTTCTATAAGAATTATTAGAAAACTTTGTCTAAGTTGATTTCATTGAATTAACATTCTATTATTATTTTGGTTTGAATTTATCTGGTTATTTAACTCTTACTTCTTCTATTTATAATGTTTATATCATAAATTATAGAGTATCATAATCTTTGCAAACATCAAATACTGTATCTTGATTCTATAATAATATGATAAAATACAATTATACTTTATTTAACAGTTAGATATTAGCTTTAGCATTCAATAATAAAGCAACTGTCTCTAAATTTCCTCTTTACGCTGCAATCATCAAAGGAGAAAATCCTTTCTTGTATATACAAAATTAAATACTTTGTCCTACTAATTTACATCAGCACCATGATTCAACAGAAAATCAGCAGTTCTACGATAATTATAAAATGAACAAATCCACAATGGTGATTAATTTAACTATATCAATCTATATAAATTACTCTATTTGTCTTATTTATATCTGCACCTTAAGTAATTAATTTCTCGATCATCGGACCATCATTCTTACGACAAGCTATTGTCAAACAAGTTTATCCTGACTTTGTATTCTCAAGATCTATTAAATTAGGATGTTGTTAAAGTATTTCAATCACTTTATTAACATTCCCTTATTCAACCTTTAAAAATAAGACTTAAGCAGTGCTATTCATTAATATTATATTGTTATTATATATATAAATTCAATCAGTAATAATAGATTCCCCTTTATGAATCCATCTAACTCTCTTGCCTTATTCCCATATTCCTTATTTCTCAACATTCGATTCTCCTATATAAACTCCTATCCCATGTTATTTACCATTCTACCATTATCCACGATAAATCTAATCATCAATATAAACATTATACTCGTCCATCAGGCCATTTGAATTCTCCATATCCATCCTTTTTATCATTTCTATATTCACCTTTATATCTTCTACCATCTATCCATGTAAAAATCTATTACTTATATATATGTATATATACTCCTTGACCATCCATTTTATTATTTTTCCATGCTCCTATATACTTTCTACCATCAAACCAAGTATATTCTCCATAACCTTATATCAGATTATTGTCAAAATCTCCAATATATTTAGAACCATCTTTCCATTAGAATTCTCCATGACCATGTTTCTTCCCCATTTAGTATTAACCTTTAAAAATAGAGTTATCTGGCCAAGTTTCTATACCATCTCCATGTTATTTATCATCTAACCATTAACCTACATATTTTGCACCATCAGCATGTATATAAGTTCCCCTATTATCCATAATAAATTACATATCCATTAGCTTTATCATTCTACCATTCTCCTATATATACATCTCCACCACAATGAATTAATCTACCTATACCTTAAGCAGAGTTCTTTTGCCATTAACCTTCGTATATTGATCCATCTATCCATATTTGTGTACCATAACCATGTTTCAATCCATTTTTGTATTAACCATAATAGACTGTTTAATCATTATATTCATATGGTCCTAATTTTGGTAAATCTGGTTCTAAGATTTCTTCAAATGGACCTTATTCATCATGTACTTTTTTAGTTTTTTCAGTAAGATAATTAGGCATTCTAGATAATTTAGCCACCATGGTCAAAGGTGCATGTTCATTATTACAATGATATTGATTTTTCATAGATTTTAAGTCTTTTCTAACCTTAATTCCTCTGAAATAAGATTGAATTTTGGTGGCAGCTCTATCAAGTTAAAGAGAGTTATTTTATTAGTCTGTAACTAAAATAATTTGTGGGTTGTGTCGATCTAACATTTAATTTCCATTACAACAATTTCCCATTATATTTATAATATAATCATATATAACAGTCAATATCATTATAATAGTAATGAAAATAAATTTTCAACAAAGTTATGATTGACACAATAATTAGTGACTTCTTTAGCAAACATTTCAAATTTAAAAGTACCTCCTCTTTCTTCCATAATTAATAATACAGGAGCAACAATTTATAACATTTCATAACTCATTTATGATAAGTCAACTTATTCAGTATTTAATTCACCCTTTTATTCCTTATCAAGCATATTAAATAATTTTTTCAATGAAGCTCTCCAAACCTATTAAACAACACTTTAATCAGCACATGGTAAATTCAATACATAAGAATTATTATTACTAAATTTGTTATCCTAATTATAATACTCTGGTGTTTTATTATAAATGTCTTTGTAAGTTTTGCTGACACTCTTCTCATTTAAAATCTCATGAGATCTCTATGTAGTCTTTGGATGATAAGTGAATGACTTATTTTACTGGTCTTAAGAGTGTTATTTCTACATTCTCAATACTTGTAACTTGATTTCTTTCCTTTTACCATAATCGAGTAATCTTTGTTCTACACTATTATCTAAATTTTTTTATTTCTATAAATATTGTATCATGGCTCTTACGATAATCTATTCAGAATTTTTATTGATTTATGGAGTGAATGTCAATTCGTTCTCATCTCTAGGCTTCAACTATTTGATTTCTCTTGCACTATTATCTCTCATCATCTTACTAACTATGATATAAATTCATAATATTATACCATCTTATGAGAAATCTCTACAATGTGATCTACTACTTATTAAAGGACTTTTCTTTTAACAACTTTGAGTTGAAATCTAACTATTCTATTTATAAGGAGTTGAATTTGTAGAATTTCTGAAATAATTTGATTTCTGATCATGGATCATTTTTTATTCATTATTTATAGTGTGTTGTGCTTATTATTTATGTTATGATATGCTATCAATCAATTTCAATAGATAACGTCCAGGAAGGTCATGTTTTGATGCAAATGCTATTCCTAAATCTCTTGGATCATCTTTTTCATAAATATAAATCTAATCTCTTTCATCTTGTGTTATCTCTACTGTCTATAATCAATCATTGTAAATATTACCATGATAGCTAATAAAGTCCCATTATTATTTTGCATTTTTTAATATATTATTAATCTAACTTAGATTTTATATTCATTTCTAAAATAATTCAATCTAAATCAACCGCTACTTTTAACAAATTTCAAAACTATTGGAGTAGTTATCACTCCTATTGCAATTAATCCAATTAAAATAATACAACACATTTTCTAAATATATAAAAGTCATCTTTTACTTTACGACTCTTCTTATGGATCTCTTATTCTTTAGCTAATTTTTTCTCTCCTTTTTCAATATAATTCTTGGCTTTATTCAAATTTTATTCTACTCTCTATCATAATTCAATACCTATGCTCTCTATTTATTCTCCTTATTAATTTACTAAAAATGCTATCTCTGATAACATTTGAAAACAATACTAAGTACTCTTAATATTCAATATATATATAATACCTTCTCTAACTTTTATATATCTTAAAATTTATCTTAAATATCTTAAACTCTATAAACTAATTATAAAGATGGTTAACCTAAAGTTTCCTTTAACACCATCTTTTCTAATCCTTAAGGATCTGAAATGATATCTGTTTTCTATTATTCTGTCAAATTAGGTTCTAATATTTCTAACTATTTAATATGAATTGAAATACTTATCTTTTCATCTTCTTTTAAATAGTTTTGTTATAATTAAAGAATGTATTCTAACCAGATTATAATATAGATGCCACTTCCTATTATATTGCCTTTTAATTATAAATCATAGCTCTGGTTTCTGGTTCATCAGGATCACCTTCTTTAACTAATTTATCTATTTCTTCAAATAACTTTTTTATTTCTTTTGTATTCTTATTTATTTATACTTGTAATTATTCAACTTTCTTCATTGATTCTATATAGAGATGTCAATAAAATATAACCTTTCTCTTTTTAAGTAGATGCTGATGTTTAAATAACTTCAGTTAATCTACTAATTTCTTCATTGTTATTTTTTATTAATTGTAATTTCATTCTAATCATTGAACTTTTCTTTTAAAAATCAGGCATCATTTCAGCTATTGATTATCTATTTGAAGGTATCAATTCTATAGTTATACCATTCTATTAAGCTGTCTAAAGTAATTAATTAATGTTATTACTTCTTTTAACTAATAGTATAGATCATTCATATATTAATAATATATATAAATGTTGGATTAGCGTCAAACATTAAGTGATATTAAAAAACTCAGAAACACTCCATACATTTATTACAAATAATACAAATATAATGATAATAATTAACAACAAGATTCAAAATAAGCAAAAATGATAGCTAGACCTAATGTTAGGTATCAGATTTATTTAATTATTGAATGTAGATCCTCTCATTTATCAACAGACATCAAAATCTTTCAAAATTATAATAAGAACAAAACGATTTGAGATAATCAAGTAAATAACGTGAAAGAACTAAAACCCCATCAAATTATAGACCTTTCAGTATCAATTAAAAAGCACCTTCTAATTCTAAAAGTCAACCTGATTTGACTGATGATAATGAAACCATTTTCGTACCTTATAGACAAAGAAACATTTCATAAAATAGTATATCTATTTCATATGACACTTCTAACAAAAAACAGAGCTTTTTACCAAATATGAATCAATAGGATCCAATGTTATAAACCTTTGGGAAAGAAGTGTTTATCTTCAAACCAAAGAGATTTCCTACTGAAATATTTTAAGGAAATGTGAGCAAGATGAAGAAGCAATTCTAATAAAATTATTGAAATATTTATTTATAACTAAATATAATGGAAATCTCCTTTGATTTCGATCTTAAACTATTTCAATAAATAGGTCATGGTGCTTTTAGTTAAGTATTTCTTGGAGAATACGATTCTAAAAAGGTAGCAATCAAAGTAATAAATTTATGAATTTAAATAGGTAATGGATCCTATATACATTGAATAATTTAAAAAGGAAGTTGAAATTTTGGAGTCTATTCATTATCAAAGTTTTGCTTAATACTATTATGTATTAAAATATTCTATTTAAAGAGCAAAGAGACTGAAAATTCTTTGTACATTGTCTAAGAATATTTGGAGGGCAAAACACTGACTTAATTCATCAAAACTGTTGAAATGGAAGAAAATCATATCAAATAAATCATAATAGAATTACTTAATGCTGTATCCTATTTACATTCTTAAGATATTATCCATCGAGATATCAAACCAGGTATTGTATCTATTCTAATAGATAATATAATTATTACAACTGAAGGATAACTTAAACTTATAGATTTTGGACTGAGTTCCCATTCAGAATCCAAACTATCTTATGATAAATGTGGAACCCTTTTGTTTATGGCTCCTGAAATGATTTTTAAACAACCATATCTTAAATCTGTAGATATCTGGAGCTGTGGCATTATTGCATATCAATTAATCAATAAGAAACATCCCTTTTGGGACCCATCAGAATCTACCTCAACTTTTGTTCAGAGAGTTTAATAATTCAACCCTAATTTCTATGAAATGAATGATTATCAAAAATCTTTCTTTTTAAAATGTGCTGCTTATTCACCTGAAGCAAGAATGAATGCAAATCAAGCTTTATAACATCCTTGGATTTCAGGCAAAGGAGAATTATGGCAACCTATCACAATGGCAGATATGAAAACACTTTTTGATAATAAGATGAAAACAATTTAAACAATTAAGGCTTTAATGATGATAAAATTTTTATGCCAAAAATTTGGAACTATCATACCTAGTGAATTTAGTAATTATGAATTCAATGATTCTACAGCAGATACAAATACAAATTTTAAATTAAAACTTGTTAGAAGTAGTTCTCGAAATCCTTCATTCATTAAATAGGTTCGTAGCACAAGTACTATATTCTTTGAAAGCAATAATCTACCATCCCCTATTAGATTTACACATAATAATAAAAGAGTTTCAATCTCTCCAAATAAAACAATGTTACATTCTGAATCAATATAATTTAGTTAAATTGCCAAAAGAAATACATAAGTTATAAAATTGCCGTAATTTATATTTTATATTATAATATAGTCCATTATCCAATTCTCCTGTTTTAAAAAAATAAAGAAAAAGCAATTTAAATTTTAGATTGAAATAGTATTGAATTTGTTTATTGATTAAATTTAACTATGATTTATAAAACAAATATATAATCATTAACATAATATTATAAAAGCAACTTTGTACATATAAATATTTATGATTAATTAATAATAATAGAGCATATATCATATATAAATAAAAAACTCATTTTTATAAATAATTATATTTAATAAACTAATTGAATACAAAAATAATGGATAATTATAAACTTGTATATTCATCTATTGGTGGTAATAAAGGTTTTGGCAAAATAAAAATCTTGAAGAGTTTTAATTCGTTTTCCAAATTCATTTGATGTTTAAGGATAAGAAGAGTCATGTGAAGAAGATCTTAATTGAGTACTTATTAATGATCCGATTTATGATTTAATCTTTAGACAGACTTCTCTATTAGCTTAAAACTATTAAAATCTCATTCTTCTATAAGATTTTAACACTTAACATTCAAGTGCAAAATTATTTTAGGAGATAGATTTCTATAAATTAATTGGCGGAATAACACTGTTACTTTTAATTTAGGACTATTTCTTTTATTTCAATAATTCAATTTATTTTTTATGAAAGATAAACATATTTTCAGATTATGGTGAAATTTTCTTGCTAATTAAATTATTTGAATTAACAATATCAGTAGTAGTAAACATATTTTTTTATTGAGATCTCAAAATCTTTTAATTTAATTTGCTAATGTCTCTATATAATTCATCTACAGTAACTCTCTCAGTGTTGGTAGAATCAGGATACTGTAATTTTTCCATTGCTTTGTCTTATTTTTGAATATTTTCGAATAAATACTTCTCTCTTTTCAATAAGTAAGACCTGATCACAAAAGATTTCTCTTTCAAAATTTTAAGAAAATCAGGATGGTTTTTCCTGACAATATTAAAAGCATCACTCTCCATATAATAAGCGAGAGTATTATCAGAAGTCATGCAAGAATAAAGTCTAACAGGATTATTGTCTATAAGTTCTGCTTCTCCAACAAAAGAATTATCTGAAAGTTATGATAGAGTAACTTTCTTTTTAGGTTTTATCTTTTATTAGAAAATAGAGGGTTCCTTAAGTTTACCATGCAAAGCATCTTCATCATAGGATCTATAAATTTCAACTCTTCCTCTAACAATTAATAAAAAGAATCTAGGTTCATCTCCTTCTTTCCATAAAATAGTTTATGGTGCAAATTCAATTTTTTAAAAATATTAAATAAACTTGGTAACAATAAATTTACTGACACCCACAAAAATACTTAAAAAGTACTCAAAAGTTTGATTCTTTTCTTTAATAGATCTTTCACCAACACTTTTAAAATCTTATCTATTCATAGTTAAAACATGAAGTTCATCAGATAAAACTAAAATGCTTGCAGTTCGTGGTTTATCAGAAGATAATGCCATATCACCAAAGGCTTAACCTGAGTAAAATTAAAAGACTTTTTTATAAAGACATATTCCATCTTTGAAATACATATTATTGATTTCAAATGGATTCTTTTATGAAGCTAGAAGTAATTCCGATTAAAGATCTTAAGCTCTTTTTTTCTTCTTAAACACAGTTTCATAATCTAACACTTCTTCTTCAAATGGGTTCAAGTTACTTTTATATGTTTCAATAACTTCTCTATCATTTGAAATTTCTTCTTAAGATCTAGAAACAAATACTCCAACCTCTCCTAATAATATCAAATAAACTTTGTCTCCATATTCCCCATAATTAAAAACTATTTATCCTTTACTAAATTATTCATATTTAAAATATGAACAAGCTTAAGCTGTAAATTCTTCTATTTTAGTTCCCTCAGGGCAATTTTTTTTTAGAAATTCAATTTATGACATCATAGGAGCAATCTCCTCTAAAAGAGATTATTATGTAATTCTTGTATAAGAACGGTATAAATTAAGAGGAATCTTCAAGTTCTCTTCATTTTTCTTTCTTTATTGATTGTCATCCACTTTTTGATCTTAAATCACAGACTTCTTCATGTTTTTCATTGATTGATTCATTATAACAATAATAAAAATTATCAATAATTATGCAAACTATATTGATTCTCTTAGACTCTAAATAGGCCAACTTATTTTCTCTTCATGTAAAATATAACTCCACCTACAATCAATCCTCCTCCAATAATCACAATCAATAATATCCACCACCAACTATAATTAAAAAATAAATTAAATACTTGGAACTACTACTCTCATCATCATTAGGAGGTTTAGGAGGAGGAATAGGAGCATCAACTCTAATGATATTAAATTTCTCTTCTTCTTTGTTGTAAGCATTACTTGCCATTATTCTAGCTTATTATTTATCTTTCAATTTAGAAGGATTCAAAATAGTAAGACTTGTTTCTAAACTTATTAAATAACTATTCAACACTTTTCCTATCAAATTGGTATATAATCTTTTATTTTGACCTTCATTAAAGGCATAAACTATAAATAGTCCATCCTTTACTTAAAATACACTATCTTATAATCCATAAACCATATTAATAGAGAAATCTTTATCATTTAATTCATAAATGGCTAAAACTATATCTTATTTATTAGTATAAGGAATAATTAATAATTTATCATTATTAAAATAACCTTTATTCATGGCTATCCAATTTTAATATGGATTGAATATATTATTTAATTTACTATTTATTACTAACTTATTATTATCCAAATCTAATTACAATTTAAAAGATGCAACATCATTAGAAATGATTATATAATGTAATTAATTATTTTGTATTTCTTAAGTTGCAAAAAGTTATATATAATCAGTTGTCTTAAATGCATATTAATTGTTCTTCTTAATCAAATCATACAAATAAATATTGTTCTATTATATGATATTAAGCTTATTCTATTTAAATTCTGTATAATAAACATTTAAATGATCAGCTTAATCGATAAAGCTTAAAATATAATTTTAATTTTCTCCTTCTTTTGGTATACCATATTTTTGAATCACAAAATCTGTTAGTCCCTTATCATTGTATATAATTTAAGTTAATGAAATACTCCATTTTGTTAATTCAGGATTTATATTGAGATAATAAACATAAATTTTGCCAAAATCTTACATTAATAATAAATTGTTGGGTATTACTACCATTTTTTAAACTCCATTTAAATCTAATATGTCTTATGGGGTATCAATATTACTACATTTCTATTCCTTATTGCATACAGTTAAATAAGCATGATAAACATTATTATATTTACATAGTGTTACAATATATTTAGCATCTTCTTATATGGCAATTAATTCACAGTTATTTGGTGATTAAAATTCTATTAAATTGCTTACATTATCTTTATAACTTATAGATAATAATTTATCTTTTGTAAGAGCAATATTGTATAAGGAATTAAAAGATTCAATATCTAAAATATTTGTAGCCATATTTTCATTTATTTTCTAAATAGGTAAATTTAATTAAATGAGATCTTTGCATTATTCACAATCAATACTGATATTCTGTACTTATCCTTTATATAATTAATCGAACTTAACTGTTGTATTTTATAATGATGAATTAATTGAAATATCTTTCTATTAATTTAATGCTATAGGATATTTTGTATTTAATATAAAGATTGTTTCTAAAATCTTTTATGAATGTTGAGAATTTAAAATAGTTAATGTTTTCGTTACGTTTACATAATAATCTAAGGTATTTAAATTAATTGATTTTATGTATAACTTAGATTATTTGAGAATAGCAAAATAAGAATGATGTGTTCCATTATTGAAATAAAAATGAGTTTTTTGATATCCAGAAGCAGACATCATAAATTTGTCATCCATATGTACATCAATTATTCTAAATAACTGATCATTGCTATTTTATGTAAATGGTTGATATACTAATATTTACTATTATTTAGTTAAAATAAATAAGAATCCATTATCTTCTGATTGTGTAATTAATAATGGAGTCTTAAATTCATGATTATAAACTTATAATTATCTAATTAAATAAACATTATTTAAATCTTCTAATGAATATTCTAAAATTGAATTTTACTTTATCATAAAAAAGGATTATTTATAAATTGTTAATTATACATCATCTGTATTTAATATACATTCTACCATATTAAGTTGATTATTATAAATAGTAATTAATATATTATCTGAATTACTTATAAATAATAAATGACCATTATATTTTTAATTTCCAAATATTCTTTTAGGACTCCAACTCTTTATCATTCCAAGAGACTTTACTGTTGGTTCATCAATTTAATCTAAATGAGTACCATCAATTGATTTATATATTCCTATCTTTTTACTCTTTTCTATTAATATATATATTATTCTATCCAATTCTAAAAGTTGTGTTATTGTTTAACCTATATAACTAATCTTTTTTATCTTAATTAATTCTTATTCATTTATTTTCCATAATTCTGCAGTAGATTCCTAATCACAAAATATAACATAGGCTTATTCATTATCAATCCACCATTAAAAATGTAATTAATCAACCAGAATATTAAAACTGCTACTAAAATTACTTGTATTTACAAATTAAATACATTATTCAATTAAAGAGAAAGAATTTTATTTACAATTATAAATTTAAACTTCTTTATTCTTTAATTAAAATAGAACATAAACTTGAGTATCATTAAATTATAACATATCTTAAAAATGAATATCTGATGCTTTAGGCCAATTTGTAATAATCATCTCTTCTAAAGTTTCAAATTCCATATCTAAATCATCACCTTAATTTTCAAATTAAAATTAAACATTAGGTCCACTCATAAATTAAATAACATCTTAAGTATAATTTACTGATGCCAATACATCTGTTATAACTTATTGTGGTTTATCATTAAAATACAAATTAAAATCATTTTAATTTAAAATTTAAAGAGAAATCTCTTTAGTATAAGTTTCACCTTTTGAGACAGCTTAAATATTAAAAGATGTTTTATCAATAGCTGTATTACCTGATTTAATTTATAGATATCCATCATTTATATAATATCTTCTTGTTACATTATAACTAATTGATATCAAATCTGGATAGATTGGATTAATCAAATAAAAATTAACTTATTACAAAGTTTTTTAATTAATTAATATCTTATTATAAATTGAATACTAATAAACAGTATTTTCATCTTCAATTATTATATAATGATCAGATATTTTTACTTAAGAGTTTTATGATATTTTTTTAGACAATTAATATGTAGTTAAACCTTAAGAATTTAAATATAAATCAAATGTGGTATCTTTAAGAATTACAAGTATACTAAGTTTATTTCCATTGTCATCTACAAAATAAACATAATCAAAGGCTATAATATTACCATACAATTTAATAAAAAAGGTAGAAGACCAATCTCCATATTTATCAAAACTCATAGCTGCCACAAATAGATTATCTAAAATGAAAATTTGATTATAAACTAATTTATAATCAATTAAGTAAAATTTATAATTATCTTCTAATTAATCTTTGTAAAGAGTCTTTAAACTGTTAGTGCTTATTTCAACTGATTATTCTTCAAAAGTAATGGCTGGAGTTATAATTTTATAAATTTAAATGATAGAATCGGATTATAACAAAGATCCTTAAAATAAGTAATATTATTCATCTTGAAATAATAAAGTAATTTTTCTTTTCCTCATTGTTTTATATCCAAGGGGATTGGTTACTTAATATTATTGAAAACTTTAATCTTTGGCAACTACATAGAGTTCATTTTATAATGGTTAATCTGTAATTTAAAGAGCACAATCCACAATATAATGAGTAGAATCAAATTATTCTGCATCGAAACAAATCATATTATTTTTATTGGTAACTTATAAATGTTCATTAAATTTAGGTGTAGCAACATTTTCTTCTTGAGGACTAAAGAGAATTAGAGATATAAATACTTTTCTGAGTAATGTACATTAAATGTTCCTTTATTGTTTTCTAAGAAAAGGAAGTGATTAGTCCAATGTCCAAATTAATGTTATGCTTTAACACTAATGATGACATCTGCATCTAATAATGATAATCAGTTTATATTACTTTAGTTATGTTTCTGTGTATCTGTATATAGATGATATTAGGGTATAATTGTAGCATATGAATTAGTATCTACAATTGTATAAGTAGGATTTTCTAGATATCCAAACAATTGAGTTAATGGTAATTAATAAGTCTCATTCACATAAATGATGTATGAATAAGAGTAGGCAATTAATGTAAATATATAAAACATAATATAAATAATCAATTTATTTTAAATTAATGATCACCATATTTTTCTTTATTCGCTCTATATTCTGTATTGAATTTCAAAGGCTTAGAAAGGTTTTTATATGGGAATATCAAATNTTAATTAATATCTTATTATAAATTGAATACTAATAAACAGTATTTTCATCTTCAATTATTATATAATGATCAGATATTTTTACTTAAGAGTTTTATGATATTTTTTTAGACAATTAATATGTAGTTAAACCTTAAGAATTTAAATATAAATCAAATGTGGTATCTTTAAGAATTACAAGTATACTAAGTTTATTTCCATTGTCATCTACAAAATAAACATAATCAAAGGCTATAATATTACCATACAATTTAATAAAAAAGGTAGAAGACCAATCTCCATATTTATCAAAACTCATAGCTGCCACAAATAGATTATCTAAAATGAAAATTTGATTATAAACTAATTTATAATCAATTAAGTAAAATTTATAATTATCTTCTAATTAATCTTTGTAAAGAGTCTTTAAACTGTTAGTGCTTATTTCAACTGATTATTCTTCAAAAGTAATGGCTGGAGTTATAATTTTATAAATTTAAATGATAGAATCGGATTATAACAAAGATCCTTAAAATAAGTAATATTATTCATCTTGAAATAATAAAGTAATTTTTCTTTTCCTCATTGTTTTATATCCAAGGGGATTGGTTACTTAATATTATTGAAAACTTTAATCTTTGGCAACTACATAGAGTTCATTTTATAATGGTTAATCTGTAATTTAAAGAGCACAATCCACAATATAATGAGTAGAATCAAATTATTCTGCATCGAAACAAATCATATTATTTTTATTGGTAACTTATAAATGTTCATTAAATTTAGGTGTAGCAACATTTTCTTCTTGAGGACTAAAGAGAATTAGAGATATAAATACTTTTCTGAGTAATGTACATTAAATGTTCCTTTATTGTTTTCTAAGAAAAGGAAGTGATTAGTCCAATGTCCAAATTAATGTTATGCTTTAACACTAATGATGACATCTGCATCTAATAATGATAATCAGTTTATATTACTTTAGTTATGTTTCTGTGTATCTGTATATAGATGATATTAGGGTATAATTGTAGCATATGAATTAGTATCTACAATTGTATAAGTAGGATTTTCTAGATATCCAAACAATTGAGTTAATGGTAATTAATAAGTCTCATTCACATAAATGATGTATGAATAAGAGTAGGCAATTAATGTAAATATATAAAACATAATATAAATAATCAATTTATTTTAAATTAATGATCACCATATTTTTCTTTATTCGCTCTATATTCTGTATTGAATTTCAAAGGCTTAGAAAGGTTTTTATATGGGAATATCAAATCCAAAATGAAAATTGCAATGTAGTCAATGATGAGTAATATCAATAAATACAATCCAAAAATGGGACCATTACTTTAACAAGCCTTGATTCTACCCAATAAAGATGGATAAGGTGATGATAATATTTTATTGTAAACAGTTTCAGTCCTTTCTGCCACCATATGCCAACTGTACATCTTAGCCACTTGTTCATGGTATTAATGAGATGGTACATTCTTAGCAATAGGAATAGCTACTGCTAATTTCTCACAAATGTCATCTGGATCAGGCTTTGCAAAATTAACCATATTTTTAGGTAAAACCTCAACCACTCCTCCAACATTAGTTGAAACAACAAATAAACCACAAGATGCAGCTTCAACAATAGCAATACAAAATGCTTCAGTTAATGATGTATTCAAAAAGATATGACCTCTTACAAGTACTTCTCTAACTTTATGTCCAGGTACTGATCCTAACTATATGGATATTTTCATTTATACCATCTCAACTCTGTCTGTCAATCCATGTTTTTTTATGCTTTCTTCAATAATTTTTTTCTTTGGTCCATCTCCTCCAATTATGAAATAAACTTAAGGAAACTTCTTGCAAATTGTTGGTACAACATCTACTAATAGATCTACTCCTTTTCGAAAAGTTAATCTGCTAATAACAACAATATTGACAGTATTGAGCGGATACCTTTTTGATGGATCTGGTTTGAATCTACTGCAATCAACTGCATTAGGGATAACACTTATGTTTCTAGGATCTAATGATGCTCTCATACTTAAATTCTCCTTGCTTATATGAGACACAGATACTGCATGATCTACTTCACTCAAAATGAATTTTAATATTTTGTTAACATGAAATGATGCAGCATCATTAAATGCAAATAATGAGTGATCTGTAAATACTGTTTTGTATCCCAATGATTTTGCATGTAATAATAATTCACCTCCAAAAAATGAAGTGGCTGCATGTGAATGTACAACATGGATTTCTTCTCTTAATAATATTTGTCTTAATAATGCCAAACTCCCCATATATGTAAATAGCACAACTTATTCATGTGCTGGAACGAAAGGACAGTAATATACTTTTAATCCATTAGTCATATATCTAACACCAGCCCTATTGTCATATTTATGAGTAATAATAATGACTTTGTGACCTCTCTCCATCAAACACAATCCCAATTAAAATATATGCATTTCAACTCCTCCTAATCTTGGATAAAAGAAATCGCAAATCAGACAAATGTTAACCATTTTTTATATAATTTTAAATTTTATATCAAAGTCATAAAATATATTAATTAATTTAAATATGAAATAAATCCATAATTATAATCATTATCCTTTTTCAAATCTTTATTATTCCTTTATCTAATTCTAAATTGTTTCTATATTGTAATATATAATGAATCAGATACAATATAATTAAATACATTAATTTGATGGCTTTAAAATCAAATAGAAAATTCTAACTAATTCTAGTTAATTCTAATCCGGATTTTAATTGCCATAAAATTGATCTATGAAATTTAATATATGAATTATTACAATATACTAGGCATCTAAAATAACTCATCTGAAGAACAAATCAAAATTGCATTCAGAAATCTTGCAAAAATACACCATCCTGTAACTTATATGTTGTTATTCAAGGACAAGAATCCATAATCAGTATAATTTAGAATAATCTCTCAGGCTTATCGAATCCTCTCAAATCCTCAATTAAGAATACGATATGATCAGGCTTAAAGACAATATGAAAAATAAATCTAAATATTCAATTTGATAAGAAATTTTATCAATGCAAATGACAAAATACCTCTAATTCATTAAAAAGATCTTGAATCCAACCAAAATGAATCTAAGACTCTTGATATATAAGAAATTTAGAAAAAAAAAATTCGAAAGACTTAAAATTGAATTCTCATTTATATTTTACTTATTTCGTTCATGATTAAATCTAAATAATTTTATAATATAGTATGCATAAGAAATAGCTGATGTTAATTAAATGGCTAGATAAGAAATAATTAAAAGTTTGCTCAATTAACTTTCAATTTATATCATTAGTGTTATTAAGAATATCATGATATTATTAATAGGAGAAGTATGGAGATGTTAATAATCCCAATAAAAATTGAAAAAATAATTTATTAAAATCTGAGATGAAGGAGAAATAATTAATGAATTATCATAAGACCGTTGGCTATAGATGCTGAGATTGACTTAGAATTGAAGATTCAAGGATATTAGAATAATTTAGTGTTAATTTTTATTAAAATTTAAACTTCCTTCATATTTTAAATATTTTTCATTCCTATTCTATGAAGATTTTGTTTAATATGACAAAAGTCTAATGAGAATTTTTTAAATAAAGAAATTTTGATATATTGACAAAAGGGAAATATTTGAAATTTGAAAATAATATTTTATTATTATATCTATATCAAAAAACACTATTTTAATAGTACATTTTTCATAATATAAGAAAATATTTTGAAATAAAATATTAGTTTTTTTAAATTGAGGTTTCTATAACTTTAAAAATTTCAGATTTTTGCATATGATTGTTATTTGAGAATAATATTAATCATTTATTACATAATTTAGAGGAAAATTATTTTCTAATATTATCAATATGAATTCAACTCCATTTACAGCTTTTAGGTCTATTAGTCAGGTTTTCATTATTTTGTTTTAAGAAAGGTAAGAAATCTAAATTGAAAACTTTCACTTAATCATTAAAAATAAAAATTTAATTCAAAATAGAAATATAAATAAATTACATTTAATTACATTTTTTTAAATAATAATAAAATATTTTTAACAATAACGTTGATATCTGTGTATAAAATGATCACTTTATAAAATTCTCAATGACAGAATATATTGCTTTTGGGTTATCAGCTGGTATCATATGACCTGCCCTATAGATAGTGGCACATGATAAGTTTTCATATGTCTTGATGTAACCATGAGTTTCAACCTTGTTTTCCTATCCATATTTTGGAAAGGTGATAAACTTTTTTTATGCATTTTTCCATTAAAATTTGTATTTCCAATCTATTTGATAAATCCAATTCCATGCTCCTGGTGTATTAATTATATAATCTAGTTATCCATTTATTAACAACACTTTATATTACCTATTTAATAATAATTGAATATCCTTGAGTCTACTTTTCCCTATATCTTCTATGAATGTTTTAAATATTTCAGGATTGAACCTCTCAAAATTATTTATTTCTGATGAAAATTGATTGATATAAGTTTTTAAAAAATCAACCCAAGAATAATCATAATCATCTAATCCTTTATATTTTCTAATATTGTATGCATTAAGACCTCCAATCTATTCAATTAATTTATTCTCTGTCATTAAGCCTAATTATTCTGCTCCTTTTGCATAATCTTCATCTATAATGTATTATTATCCTTATGCTCCAATCTTCTATAATCTCTCCAAATCTTATTAATTAATAGCTCCTAAACTATATAAGTAACTATGGTAATGATTCAATTAATTTTGAGTATCAGTAAGTCCATCAATTATTGCAATCCCTTTTAAGTTAATTCTTTTTAAAATATCTTTATGTTTCAAAAGTCTTATAGCAAATGCAGGTATGTAATGACCAGCATAACTCTCTCCAAATATATAAGTGTTGACTTAATCTAAACCATTCAATCTTGTATAAATTTAATTAATGGTTTCTATGAAGTAGCTCGCTGCTTGATCAGTATTTGTTACTGTGGTTTCTTTCTCAGCCTTACTCATTCCCGTTCCAAATGGCTAATCAATAAAAAGTAAGTGCATGACCTTATTCCATGAATATTCCTATACGAAATATCAATTTGATTTACTCTTTTAGTAACTAAAAAAGGTTTGTCCTTAGCTTCTTTATCAGGATTTTTTGTTATGACCCATGGGCCAATTTCCATATAGTTACCAAGTTAACTAGATGATCCTGGACCTCCATTCAACCATATAGCTAATACATCACCTTTCTATATTGCTTCAAGATTTGGCGTTCCTTCTTTCAATATCAAATGATAATATATAGATCCTATGTCTTTAAATTTAACGTAATCAGTTTCTGTGTAATATGGAAGCTCTTCTCCCAACAAGTTTGCGAAAAAACCTAAATTAATTAAATGTTACTAGTTTAATCTGTGCCTCTGACAAACATCAATGATGGAATTATGAAAACGAAGATTATTTTCATGAGTTAATTTTAATTTTATATTACATATGGAAAATGTTGTTATTTAATATTATAATTTAAATGAGAATCTCATATGTAATCATAAAAATAAGTTTGCTAAAACCAATCTTTTTTTCTATCTTTTCATTACTTTTGTAGCATCTCTTCTTTACATTAAATTAAAAGTACTAGGTATTTAGAATAATTCGCGTATTTCTTAGTTTTCAAAATCGATTTATTTATAATTCTGGAAAGTAACAACGGCATCAATTGTAAAATTTATAGGGATTTCGACTCTCACAGGAAATCCATTATCATTCAAAACTTATTTTACTGTTTCACTTAATAATATTTCTTCTAGAGATTATAACATTTCATTTCCTCTTGCTAACATTTTTATTATTGGTAAAAATTATCTAAAATTTAAAGGAAATTCTTAACTTATATATAATTAGCACAACTTTGATTATTCTATTTTATATTGTAAATACTTTACTTTTACAAGTTCCATCATTCTAAATGATTTCCTATGCCCAAGGTTCAAAATTTATCTTATCTTATTTGGAATCTGAATCAAAATTTTATTTTATATATTATTCAAAATTCATAGTATAATGAGATCTCTATTTTTTACGAAATTATTTATTTGCTTGAATTCGAAATTCATATTTTTAACAAACTTGATTATTAATTTTTTAACTCACATAATTCCCAAAAATATTTTTCCTTTTTATCAATTCACATTATGTTACTTTCATTTCACCACTTACACTATCACAATTTAATAGATCTAAAATAATTTATTCTTTTTCCTCAATATCTATCTCTTACTAATATAATTTGATTATATACAATTGGATAATAATAGATTTTTTTTGTTCTATTTAATATGGTTACAAATCTACAATTTGAACAATTTTCCTTCCTTTAAGAGGAACCAATCATTGGATTATACAATACACTGATTTCTCTCCTTTTTGTCTTATAATTTTTAGTTCCTGCGAAAGTTGAATCTAGTCTTAAAGATGAACCTTAAATCAAATTCTGATCATACCTCTTTTATATATTTTGAAGGTATCATTTGGTGTTATTTTCGAGATAAATGGTATCAAATTAGACTTAAATTCCCATTTCATTTCAAGATAAAAATCATTAATTCTTAACAACTCCTAATCTATATGACTTCTTTCTTATTAAATATCAAACATTCTTTTTTAAACTAAATGATCAAATAACAATGAAGTTGTCAATACATCCATTTAAGCTACTGTTTCTTCAATTGGACTCCAACCATTTAAATCTTTTATTGAAGGATCACAACCACTTGATAACAAAAGTCTAATAATTTCATACTAATTTTATTAATGGGATAATTTTATTGCTAATAAAAGTGGTGTATTTCCATTTAAATCCTTTTAATTAAGAATCTCTGTTCTGTATTCCTTCTGCAAAAATTTTATCATTTGAATTAAAAAAAAAATATTTTTAGCAAAAATTGCTTCTATTATTTATTGTTATAAATCTTTATCTGTATGTTTAGCTGATTATTGTCCTAAGGAATCACAAGGAATATCTATAGTGTACTAGCTGTTTTCTTTTATTTATTATAAAGATCGGTTGTTTATGACATGAGAACTAGTAAAATTATTATTGATTTAAGTATTGTTAAAATTGAATTAATGATTGCTAGGTATGTAAAATATAAGCGGAGAGTTAATTTATTTTAGGGATTACTCAATAGAGTAATCATTAAATTCTTTTATTCTTCTCATTAAACTAATTGTGTTGTGATTACTATCAGAAACTGATGATTATTATCTCATAATTGATGATGATTTTATAAATTGAACTGATGCATCATCTTAATTATCCTATGCTTATTGTTTTGGCCAAATCTACTTTGATTTTATTTCATTAAACACTTTTATTTTCTCATTAAAAAAACTATTCTTATATTCACATAAAATCTTTGCCTTCTTATTATCATTTATAATATCGAATTCTGAAAAATATATTTCTGAGAAATCATTGTAAGAAGACTCAGATACTGATTCTGATGCATCTTTTTTAGCCTATTTATTTGCTAATGACAATTTTCTATTTTCCCTAACATTAACTTTTAGAGAAATTGTTGAGGCTTTTGGCTTTACTGATTGAATATGTAATTTATCAAGTTTTTCCTTAACAGTACCCTGCTAATGTTCTTCATCATTTTTATCATAATTTAGCATTTTTATAAAAATATAAATTAATTCATCAATTTAAATTAATTTGCCCAAATAATCACTTAAAAAAAGCTGTAATTAATAATAATTAACCCATAGTTTTTAAATTGTTTGAAGTTTAGTGATATTTAAAAACACATATAAAAAATGTTTTAAGTAAATTGAAAAATTAATATCGTGTTTTATTGATAAATTATGATATGAAAAAATAAGCATTTATTTTTTTATGATTTTAGAATTATTTCTTTATTTCACAATAGATTTCATCAGATTAAACATAACTCATGAAACTGAAGCATGCTCAAAAAAAAAAATGGATTGTCAATTAAATTTGAAAAACTCTCAAACCAGACCGTGGTATCTTTAAGTTGTAAAGAGATATTGGTTTATTTGTTATGAAAGTAATTTAGTATTGAATACGCCAATTAAATACTTTTATTTATAAAATGCAATTCTTTAAAAAATGAAGAGAATAATTCTTTATTGAGGTTAAAGTATATTTTTATTTTGAGCTAAAAATATCAATATTTACTTCAAAATAAATAAGACTCACAAATCAAGTTCATCATTAGATTAATTATTGTCTTAATCCTTTAAATTTGGTTAAATTATTAGTCAAATTCTAGTTTCATATGATTTAAAATCTGTTATTAGGATAATTTTTCCATAATGAAGAAAAAGTGTATAATTTGGAATTATAACCAATCAAAAATTAATAAATTATATTAATTGGGATTACATTTTTTTCTTATTCCTTATTTCCTCCATTTTTTTTAAATATTTGCACAAATAAGGAATAAAATATTTTTTATTTGATATTCATAATTTTAAGAAAATAGATAGTGAATTATGATCCTTTATCAATTTATCACATTAAAGTTCTAGACTTTGCGAAAAAATGTATTTTTGTCAAATATGTGCAAATTAATTTGAGATTTGAATTTCTTGTACTTAAAATATTATAATTTATTAAGAGAAAAATATATAATTCATTCTTCAAAATTGTATAATAATTTGAACTTTCTAGAATCAATTTTATAGACTAAAGTCTTCTTAAGAATAAGAGTTAATTTGCCAAGAGCACATGAACATTATTTAGCGCATTTAACTCATATATCATACAAATTTTATTCGGATGATGCTCCGAATCTAATATCCAAAAAGTTGGCAATATTCATATGTTTAAATATGTCCCAAAATTGTAATGAAGTTTTGGTTATTAATAAACTTGCCAAAACTCGACATTTTATTTTCTTAATACTTTTTAGTCATCACTTTGCATCTTTAGAGCGTTGTGATAGCTGAACTTGTTCTGATTTTAATTTAATGCCCTTAAAATGATTCATTTTTAGCTAAACCTAAAATGCCTATTGCTGGAAAAGGTTTACGCATAATAATTTATCAAATTATTTAGTTATATATTGCAATATATGGATATAAAAGTGTTATAATATAAAAAAAAAATAATGTAATTATGACAAACATCTCATTATAATTCAGTATTTAAAATCAGTTAATTATATTTAAAAAAATTGTAATATTTATTCAGTTGTATATTTTTAATAAATTTTTATGTAATAACAAAAATATCTCCCTATAAATCAAGATTTAAAGTCAATGATATAAATTTATAACATTCTTTATTTAANTGTAAAGAGATATTGGTTTATTTGTTATGAAAGTAATTTAGTATTGAATACGCCAATTAAATACTTTTATTTATAAAATGCAATTCTTTAAAAAATGAAGAGAATAATTCTTTATTGAGGTTAAAGTATATTTTTATTTTGAGCTAAAAATATCAATATTTACTTCAAAATAAATAAGACTCACAAATCAAGTTCATCATTAGATTAATTATTGTCTTAATCCTTTAAATTTGGTTAAATTATTAGTCAAATTCTAGTTTCATATGATTTAAAATCTGTTATTAGGATAATTTTTCCATAATGAAGAAAAAGTGTATAATTTGGAATTATAACCAATCAAAAATTAATAAATTATATTAATTGGGATTACATTTTTTTCTTATTCCTTATTTCCTCCATTTTTTTTAAATATTTGCACAAATAAGGAATAAAATATTTTTTATTTGATATTCATAATTTTAAGAAAATAGATAGTGAATTATGATCCTTTATCAATTTATCACATTAAAGTTCTAGACTTTGCGAAAAAATGTATTTTTGTCAAATATGTGCAAATTAATTTGAGATTTGAATTTCTTGTACTTAAAATATTATAATTTATTAAGAGAAAAATATATAATTCATTCTTCAAAATTGTATAATAATTTGAACTTTCTAGAATCAATTTTATAGACTAAAGTCTTCTTAAGAATAAGAGTTAATTTGCCAAGAGCACATGAACATTATTTAGCGCATTTAACTCATATATCATACAAATTTTATTCGGATGATGCTCCGAATCTAATATCCAAAAAGTTGGCAATATTCATATGTTTAAATATGTCCCAAAATTGTAATGAAGTTTTGGTTATTAATAAACTTGCCAAAACTCGACATTTTATTTTCTTAATACTTTTTAGTCATCACTTTGCATCTTTAGAGCGTTGTGATAGCTGAACTTGTTCTGATTTTAATTTAATGCCCTTAAAATGATTCATTTTTAGCTAAACCTAAAATGCCTATTGCTGGAAAAGGTTTACGCATAATAATTTATCAAATTATTTAGTTATATATTGCAATATATGGATATAAAAGTGTTATAATATAAAAAAAAAATAATGTAATTATGACAAACATCTCATTATAATTCAGTATTTAAAATCAGTTAATTATATTTAAAAAAATTGTAATATTTATTCAGTTGTATATTTTTAATAAATTTTTATGTAATAACAAAAATATCTCCCTATAAATCAAGATTTAAAGTCAATGATATAAATTTATAACATTCTTTATTTAAATATAATAATATTTCCCTAAAAAAGATTAATACTTTATTTAATAATAGGGGAAAATAATTTTAAGACTTACAATTTTTTTTTAAAATGTGGGTCAACAAAGACTCATAAAATTAATAGTAATAATCCATATTAGAAACCAAAGGTTTTAAATCTAGTATTTATACTATATTTTAAAGACATTTTAATTATTAAACACAGTAATTCAAATAAATTCTTTCAGAGATGAAGTACGCACATTCTTGAATTAAAGAGTTGAATGAAACATTGATATCCTTTGAAGAATAAGACCCCAATTCGATTGAAAATCCTGTACTTTAATACTTTTTTTCAAATTTTTTTTTATATTCTTTTCTTTGTTGGAATGTCTTATTATTTGGTAATTAATACATAATTCTTTAGTTGCAAATGAAAAAGTTAAGAAAAATGATTTAAAGTAGATTGATTTAAAAAGTTTAATTAATTATATTAATGTATTTTGATTTAATGTATTAATCATATTTTTTTTTTCTAACATCATAGAAATATTGGAATTTGTATTCATAATTAAGTGTCATTTTCTTTAAATAGTGAAACAAATATATATGGATTGATTAGATGTAAATTGGTAAGAAAAATTTGTTAATTGAATTCTAAGAATTCTTGAATTTATTTAATTATTACTAATGTTTATGAACAAACTAACATGCTCATCAGTTTTAGCAACTATCGTGTTGATAATCGATATATATTTTGGATAGCACACATACAGCTTTAGTAATTGTATAACAAAGTATTTATAAGAGTAATTTGAATATGGTTAAGAAAAAGGGGTGTTTGGTATCAATTCAATATAATTATAGAGTTTTTTTTTTTGATTTTTTCAACAGCTGGTGATGCGATTGTAACTAACATTCTAACAATTCTAATATGGTTTAAAACTACTAATAAGGTGTAAATATTGAAAATAGTTACTATGAACGTTGTTGCTTCATCGATAGGAAATTTAATAAAAATGATATCTGCTCAACCCAGACCATTTTATATAGATGATTAAATAAGATTGGATTTTTGCTATACAGGATATGGGGATCCAAGCGGTCATTCATTAAGACCATTTGTTTTTTTTGCTTTGCTATTTGAAACAATACTTTGCCAAAAGTATTTCTATGAAAATAATGTATTTTTGAATTAAGAAACTCAATTTCAGAGTCATCTTCCATCAAATGTGATTCAATAATCAATTTCATGGTATTGCTGATTAAATTTATTTTAGTCGATAGAGATTTTAGTTGTTATATCCTAACTCTCCAATCAGTTTTAGATAATGTTAAATCTTAATGGGAATATTTGTCTTTATGATCGGTATTGGTCGACTATATTTTGGAGTTCATTTTTTAAACCAAATTATAGTAGGTTGGATCCTAGGACTATATCTTTTATATATCTATTATTACTGCGGATTAGAAGACTTTATTGATTGTCTATTCAATGAAGCTAAAAAAATTAAAAGTTAGGCTGTATGCAAGAAATTAACAAAGTATATAAAAATGGGTTTTATAATATCATTCATTTACTCTATGGCTTTGGTTATTTATTACTTTAGACATAATTCTGAATAAATAATTGGCGAAAAGGAAGTATGGAGAAAATTTATACTAAAATAAATAAAATGTCTGTATAATGGAAATTATAGTTATGAGACAAAATTTGAAACTTCAGATGTTTAACATATAACAATAATTTTTTTCCCTTTATACCTGTTTATTCTTTATGAGCAAAAGACTGAATAAACGAAATTTAGTCCATTAAGAGTTTGGTGTTCTTATAGCAATATAGGAAAATTAGCAATTAACTTATTCTGTTTCTTAATTAAATGGAAATAGATAGAGATTTTTCAATATTTTCAACATATATTGCCAAGATTAATGATTACTTTATTTTTTATGCATATCTACTATTTAACATATGCACTCATACTATTAGTATTAATCCCCTTGATAACAGCAGTAGGAGAAACAATCATATAGTTTTATCANAACATGCTCATCAGTTTTAGCAACTATCGTGTTGATAATCGATATATATTTTGGATAGCACACATACAGCTTTAGTAATTGTATAACAAAGTATTTATAAGAGTAATTTGAATATGGTTAAGAAAAAGGGGTGTTTGGTATCAATTCAATATAATTATAGAGTTTTTTTTTTTGATTTTTTCAACAGCTGGTGATGCGATTGTAACTAACATTCTAACAATTCTAATATGGTTTAAAACTACTAATAAGGTGTAAATATTGAAAATAGTTACTATGAACGTTGTTGCTTCATCGATAGGAAATTTAATAAAAATGATATCTGCTCAACCCAGACCATTTTATATAGATGATTAAATAAGATTGGATTTTTGCTATACAGGATATGGGGATCCAAGCGGTCATTCATTAAGACCATTTGTTTTTTTTGCTTTGCTATTTGAAACAATACTTTGCCAAAAGTATTTCTATGAAAATAATGTATTTTTGAATTAAGAAACTCAATTTCAGAGTCATCTTCCATCAAATGTGATTCAATAATCAATTTCATGGTATTGCTGATTAAATTTATTTTAGTCGATAGAGATTTTAGTTGTTATATCCTAACTCTCCAATCAGTTTTAGATAATGTTAAATCTTAATGGGAATATTTGTCTTTATGATCGGTATTGGTCGACTATATTTTGGAGTTCATTTTTTAAACCAAATTATAGTAGGTTGGATCCTAGGACTATATCTTTTATATATCTATTATTACTGCGGATTAGAAGACTTTATTGATTGTCTATTCAATGAAGCTAAAAAAATTAAAAGTTAGGCTGTATGCAAGAAATTAACAAAGTATATAAAAATGGGTTTTATAATATCATTCATTTACTCTATGGCTTTGGTTATTTATTACTTTAGACATAATTCTGAATAAATAATTGGCGAAAAGGAAGTATGGAGAAAATTTATACTAAAATAAATAAAATGTCTGTATAATGGAAATTATAGTTATGAGACAAAATTTGAAACTTCAGATGTTTAACATATAACAATAATTTTTTTCCCTTTATACCTGTTTATTCTTTATGAGCAAAAGACTGAATAAACGAAATTTAGTCCATTAAGAGTTTGGTGTTCTTATAGCAATATAGGAAAATTAGCAATTAACTTATTCTGTTTCTTAATTAAATGGAAATAGATAGAGATTTTTCAATATTTTCAACATATATTGCCAAGATTAATGATTACTTTATTTTTTATGCATATCTACTATTTAACATATGCACTCATACTATTAGTATTAATCCCCTTGATAACAGCAGTAGGAGAAACAATCATATAGTTTTATCAAAAAGAAAATGAAGCTATTTAGGTTGACTAGAGTGAAATTGAACTTTGAATTATGGTAAAAATATCATTATAATTAAATATATTGATTAATGATAATATATATTATAAGTTATTTATAATTCTTATAAAAATTACACAAAGGTATTACTCAAAAATTATGATTACAATAAAAATAATTGAGTTTTGTTTTAGAAGTTTTTGGGACGATCTTTTTCTGTTAAATTTTATTTTCTCAAGTAAGAACCAAACTCCTGAATTTTAAAAGATGTATTTCACACCTACTTCTGAAACCTTTGATCTGTAGAATACTTTTTTGGATTAAACTTTTCAACCTAGATCACTCTACTCCTTTAAGTATTGCATTTTTTTAGAGACTACTTAGATTTAAGAAAACAAAAAAAAGTTTAATTACTTGCACTTGTTAAATTGTGATAATTAAAAAAAATATTTTCCTTTTTAATTTCTTTAATTAGCCAATTTTGCAATTAAAACACTTAATAGATAGTGATCTGCTAAGATCTGTAAAAATTAATTGTAACAATAAAAAAATGATTTATTATCCAATTTTAACATAACTCTAATCTAAGAAGAGAACTCAATTTATTTGTAGAATATTCAAAGAAAATAAGAGTGATAATAAAAAGGAAGAATTCATACTAATAATTAAGATGAGATAAAAGAATAAAGAGTTTTATAAATTAGAGTTAAAGATGCATTGATATGATGATGAAATAATAAAGATAGATTCATTAATCATTTCTTTCATTACATAGAAGATTATTTGAAATACAAATGATTATTTAAGACCTTGATAAGTGAACGAAAAGGGATTTGTATAATAAGGAAAAATTCTTAAGGAAATTAGTGAGAAATTGAATTCTATAGGCCAAGTTGGAAAGAGAATGGTATAAAGTTATTTTAATTCTACTCCAAGGGAATAGTTTTAATTATTAATAGTATCCTTATCGAAACCTCAGACTGACTAAAGAAGTATGTTTGAATTTAAAATGTTCTCTGAGAAATATCCATAGGTTCTAAATTAAATATATGATAATATCCTTTATTGAGAGGCTGTAAACTTCATGTAATTTTTTTTGTATTGTCAGTTTAATCTCATGATAACAAGCATTTATTTCTATATTGCAATTTTGTTACTTATTAATGTAGATTCCAATTGATTTTTCTGAAATATATATAAATTTGAAATTCGAAAAATACAACAACATTGTAGCAATATTAAGATGTTCCTATTCTTTTGATATCGGAATATTTATTTTCTTATGGAAAGGAGGCTAAATTTAGTTTTTCAAATACTATACATATATCATCAACTTTAATGAAAATAGCGTAGAATTTATTGGTAACCTAATTTAAAATAATTGCAAATTTTAGTTCTCTTTTATAATTAACACTCTATTTTTAAATTTCAAAAATAAAATTTAGATTAGATGATAAAATAAAATACAATAAAATTTTAATAGTTTGTGAATTGAAGAATATTTATTTTAGTATTTATTAAATTGATTGATATAGTTAAAATTGTGATAATCATAAAATATAGTAAAAATCTTGAGATTTATAGATTTTGATAATAATTATATAACAAAATCATAAATAGGATAACTTATAAATTTTAAACTCTAAGTCCCCAAAGCTCCAAATAACTAAATATCTACCATTATTGGTTATGTTACCATAAAATGTATTTTTATTATTTATGTAAAGTTTAGATAAAGATATAGGTTAGAAATCTTCATCAACGACAACAAAATAAACATTGCCATCTTTTTTCTAAACTATTAAGTTGTTATGAATAAAATGAAAAGTTGGAAATAGATATTATTCATCATTTTTAACAATATCAGTTAAATCAAGACTTTGTTGTGATATTTAAGAAAAATGATTATCAATCGATGAGCGAACATAGGTGAACTTTTAGAAATTTTTATACAATACTAGCACATCATTGGATATAAAAGTAATTATATCTCCAAAATTAATCTAAGATTACTAAATTATTTATTTAATTTTCAATTTATTTGATATTTTTGCCCAAATAATTATTTATTAATCTTTACTCATTGAAGCAATTTCAGTTTCTTATTAATTCATACATATATTCAAAATAGTATTTTTATGCATTATTAACTACTAATCGAATTTAATAGAAGTACCATTAAATTTCCAAATGATTATAGACTTATCCTGACTGCCTGATATCACTTAATCTTCACATTAATTAAAAAGAATGCAAGTAACCATTCCTGAATGAGACATTTCATTTGAAGAATCTGATGGATTCCATTAGCCATTCTCAATCTCATTCCATATTCTAATATTATGATCATAACTTCCATAAACAAACAGATTTTTTCTTTTACTAAAAGTTATGCAAATAGCAACATCGACTTCTGATTTCCCCTTTAAAATGATCTATGAATCTATAAATTATCCATTTTCTATTTTCCATATCTTTATACATTCATTAAATCCAGCAGCCATTATAGAATCATTCTGATTGAATCCAATAGCATAACATATTTCATTTTATCTTATCTCTTACACTAATTTATTAAATAGTTTGTTGAAAAATCTTTGACTTAATTATATATTTTCTTTTTTAAGTTGCTCTTATTCTTATTCCTTCTGGGATTAGTTAATTAGATTTTAAAAATGGATTATGATATTAGCATAAAGTAATTCGTGTGCTTTTACGATATTCTAAACTTAATGTTATATTTCGTCAACCATGAATTTTAGATGGAGACTATGATCTTAATCAATCAAATTTATTTTATTTTGAGAATCCAAATATTTCTCTTGCACCCATTAATTTTCTTCCTTATTTAAATTGGAAAGTTCTTGTATTAAACTATATGTATAATTGTCATCTCTAAATTTTATTAATTGATCCTTCCATAATTTTATTCTCTATTCAGAATCTTTAATAAATTAATCAATTTTTTATAATACTCTTATTATGTTTTCTGAAAATTCATCGATAAACTTTATTCTTTATTTGATTGAGTAATTTAATTCACTAAAATGTCTATTTTATTATTTTTCTATTCTTAATTTTGCTTCATCAAATGAGATTGTGTTTAAGTCACCTTTCTTTGTTTATAGACATTTCTCACAGTATAGTCTCTATTCATTTTATAAATCATTTTCAAGCATAACTAATAAACTTATTTTATCATTATGTTATCCTATACAAGTTATCTTATCAAGATCTTCAATCATCCTACATCTTCCCAACATAGATTTCATGCAATTAAAAAATAAATAAATTTTAATTAAAACAGATGCAATTAATTTATCATAATTAAAACTCAAAATATGAGTTAAAAAATATTATTAATATCATTTAATATTTTCATGGATTGTATATTGAATATCAACATAAAGTATTAACAATTAATATAATTATTGTATAAGAAAAAAGTAGTTTTTTAATTAAATGTAAATTATTCATTTAGATGATCTTAAAATAAATAATATAATATTGTTGAACTTTAATTTTCATTTTTATAAACCAATTAATAATTCAAATTTGATGTTCTCATTAACATTGATATCTTCTGGATATACCTCAAAGTCATAATCATACGATCTTGCTCCACCCAATTCTTCAGGTGATAAATTAGGTAATGATTACCAAGCATCAATCACAACTTTGGGAATAGAACCTGGTCCACAATCAAAACGACAGAAACGATGTTCAGGTACTATTACAGCTACCAATCCTTCTGGTAAATCAGTGACCTCACTTACCATTTCTCCTAACACCATTTTGTATTTGATTTCTTGGAGATCATGAGGGTTTTAGTATTCATAATACATACAATAAGTTCTTTTTGGAAATGATCGATGAGGTATTTTATCATAAATTTACTTTTCAAAATATTCTTCGTATGCCTTCCCAATCTATCCTGTGTTTGGATCTAATTCTTCTTTCTAAATGATATTCCTTGTCAATCCAACTAGAATGAAACTTGGCAATTCAACAACTGTTAGTTAAGGTTTTTATGCTTACATATCCATTTATATTATGATATATTATTTTTAATTACTACTTACTTCGAAATTCGATTATAATTAATGTATATATGTAATAATCTTTGTATAAATAAATTGAAATAGAAAAATGATTAAACTAAATTATAAAAAAATATGGTTTATACTATTTCATATAGAATTTTATCTCTATGTTTTTAAAGATAATTTTTAACTTTTTGAAAGAGAAATCTAATTCATTTGATTAATACTACTTGAAATCATGATAGATGTAGAATTTATCATAAATACTTAAACTTTTTCCATCATTACATTCCTAAGTATGTAATATCCTGAATATATGTTGTAATAGGGATACATATTAAAATTTTTTGACTTTATGATTCAGATTCAAGCAAACACCAAATAACCTTATTGAATTTGATGGCCATTATAAAATATTCTTACCTGATCACAACTTTGCTATTTAATATTTTTACTTGTTGAATAGAAATTAATCACTTCATATCAACCTACAATTATTTAATATTGAAGATTAACTTAGTAACGACAAATCACAAATTAATTTGAGTTTAAATTCTTGAATTATCCCTTATTTCATATAGATAACTTCTAATTAATTCTCAGAAATCATTCAAGACATTTGATTAAAATATGAATTATAATTATCTTATTTAGAATTGTTTTTGGTTAAGTAAGGATAAAAATATATATGATTATTTTATCACTATAATTTTTATTTTTTTCAGTATCATAAAGAATTATTTAATAATCTTATAAATATGATAAAGGTATTAAAGATAAACATTTCTCTAATGACAAATATATTGTGTTGATGATAATATATAATAATATATTCAATAATATAATAAAATTTACATCTTAACCTGTATTTAAAATCTTTTAAGATTATGTATGGCAATAGTTAGATTCATAAATAGGAATATTATTCTTGCTTTAATATTATTATAATATCAAGTTTTTTATAGACTTGAATCTTTGCAACTCTATTATGAATTAATATAAATTCAAATTTTTATTAAGTTTTAATAATAGAAATTGAATTACGCATTATTTTTTATTTAAAATGATGCCTTTATTTTTTTAATATCCTATAATATAAAATGAAGATTCTTTCAATTGTTTTTTGGCTTTTGATTCTGTCCAAACAAGCAACTGTTGTTCCATATGAGAAATATTTTAAATGCTCATGCATAAATGCAATGCGACAATTAGATTGCTTGACAGCTTATTGTGATTGGGATGCCGATTCATCAAGTTGCACAAATAAGCCTTGTTCTGAATTTTCATAATCTGATTGCTAAATACTACCAGATCCATTCAATTGCATTTATAATTATACAACAAATAAATGTGAAAATTTTACAAAATGCTCAGATTACTCTTTTAATATAGATAAGCTATCACTCTGTTATGAATTGATCAATTGTGAAGCAGATCTCGCTTCTATTGATAGTTCTGGAACTTTAGAATGTAAAGATAGAACAGTGAAAGCATTTAGAAGTGCAGATAATTGTGGTTTAGTATTATATAGAAATTGCTTTTGGTATTAAACACCTGATGGTACTTAATGTGTTTAGAATACATAATAGTAAATTTGTGAATCTAAGTTAATAAATAAATGTTCAGATTACATAACAAATGAAAGTTGTAATTCTTTTGCTTGTTATTGGAGTGACTTTAATATTTGTACAGAAATAACATGCTCCATTTTATAATAAGATAATTGTTTTATGTATTCATCTGTTGATTTAAAATCAGTCAAACTTTGTTAATGGACTGGAAATGCTTGTGTTGATTTAGATGTATCCACTTTAACATAAACATAATGTTTGACCGCAACTGATTTCACATACGGATGGAATACGGATACACAAAGATGTGAAATTTGCGAACCTCCAGATATTAGTTCCAGTTCATATATAATCCTATTAGAGACTATCATATTGGTAATCTTAATAAATTGAGATCAATTACATTAAAAAAAATATAGAAAATATATTAAAATTATTATTTATTTAGTTTTTGATTTATTTTTGACATATCACTTCATTATTTTTATTCTTATAAAAAATAAAATTTAAAACCTTCTATTTCTTATTTTACATATAATGGAATTTGAAAACAAAGTTTTATTAATTACCAGATTAAAATATTTTTTGAAATTGATTATATGCTCATTTAGTTTGTTTTAAAATAAACTTTAAAAGGTACCTAACAAAATATAAATTTTAGGTTTAAAATTTTAATAACAAATTATAAATTTCAATTTTTTTTAAAAATAATTTCTTCATTTTATATAAAAATAGATATATTTAATAATAATAACATTTATTATAATAATTTCTATAATATTTATAAAATATATTTAAATTGAAACATCGTTTATGAAATCATTCATTCAATGCTTCAACTAAATACTGTCCACTATTTGATGTTGATCTTAGATGAATCTTTATGTTAGTAGTTCTAAAATTAGTTAATGAATATGTATACCTATAATTTGATGACTGAATTTTAGATTAAGATTTAGATATCAAATATTCTTTAAGTTTTTGGAAATTTCTTTTCAATTTCTATTTTCTTTCATTCTCTTTAATTAGATAATTTCCAAGAACTTTAATGCATTATTTATTTAAATTTAAAGATTTGAAACTTTAATGAATCTTTGTTAAAATCAAAAAGCTATATTTTTGATAATAAACAGTAACAATATTGAAAATGAATGGATAACAAAGTCTTATCAATATAATAAGTATTAATATTTATAGGAATACTGAAAAAAATTAATTATTTAAGTTTTAACTTTCATATTTAATTGCTGCTAGAAATATGGCAATTGAGCAAATTTATCCTGAAGCCAAATCTAAATTGTTAAACTTTGAAATAATGTAAGGTTTATTTTTAACAGCTATTGCTTAATAAGAGAGTAAACATAGTCCTAATAATGATGTCTTTAATAGAATATTATTTTCAAAGTAAGTTGTTATTAAAATTATTATTGCTTTTTATAATAATTTAATCTATTCCCAATAATAATTGTTATCAGTGTATTCATTAAATAAATAACAAATATGTCTTCTAAATTTAATTTTATCAAGAATATCTCTTTTAATATAAGTTAATAAAAATAAAGAAAATGGTATTATGCAACCATAAACTACTAGTAATGGTAAAATTAGAGAATATATCCACAATTAATGATCCCTTGTATCATATAATAAGGATACATCTCCTTATATATAATTTATATTCGATATTTATCTACCTGACAAGGATGAACAGAGCCTAATTATAAATTCAATATAATACATTTTTATCAATCCTCCATAATTAAAAACATATAAATAAAGCAAAGTATTTGAGAGTAAGCTATTGTCCATATTATTTTTAGTTATACTATGATATACAAGGGATAGAGCAAGTATCAAGTTGAATTATAATAACATTAATATTAAAATTACAAAGATTTTAATATAGATTAACTGTGTTTATAAGTCTGATAAGTAACAATCTAAATTATTGACCATAAAATAAAAGCTATTGCTAGATTACTCAATAAATATAAAGGAGAACGAAAAATTAATATTGAAAGTAAAAATAACAGAAAATATCCATAAATAATTTAATAATAGTTTTACTAATATGCCTTCATGATCTAATTATTAATAGAAATTATTACCTTAACTCAATTTAAATATTAATTTACTCAATCTAAAAAATATTTTTAGTGAAGAAAATAGTTAATTTGATTTATTGATGCTTTTTAAGGACAAGGTTATAGATAATAAAGACCTATAAATTAATAATCTTATATACTAAAATAATGCAAATAAAAAAGGAAGGACAATGTTATCATTTTTTGAACATGATTAACATGAAAAGTTCTATTATTCCTTAAAAAACTTTCCATCCCCTTTTTAATTATAAACATCACACATTTCACATAAGGCACCTTTATGTCCCAATATACATGTACTATCTCCGACACCCCAACCTCCTTAGCAAAATTATGGATTTTTATAACATGATTCAGTATAATCTGACAAATAGTTAGGTCTCCAATAACCCTCATATAAATTAATCATATTTGATGTTATATTTTAGAATTTTTATTTATCATATATGGAACATTTAATTGCATTATAAGTGACACTATAAAATCCTTAACTCCAACTGCAAATTTAACAACCATTCTCAATATAAAATTCACCTAATTAACATTTAAGACTTTTTGCATTAAGTATATATGTGAATTCATTTTAGGAATATGAAGTTTTGCAGTTGACTTGAATTTTTAAATGACTATAATCTAATTCGTAAGGATCAATGCTAAAAGCTAAAGCTCCTAACTCAAAGTTATTATTTAAAGATTCATATGATAATATATGATTTTTAGTTAATCCTACAACTTCTCCCCCATCTTTTTTAATCAAAAAACTGGATACATGACATGTTGAGCTAATTAAATTAAAAAGTAATTCTCCTTTACTGTTTTTAAACTATAGACTCATATTTTTAATATAGCTTATATATAAGGATCTTTTTAAAATAAATAATTAATAGACATTGATTTCTTGATTACTGGGAATCATGAGTTGCTTTGTCTCAATATATTTTCCTTATTCAATTATTTTATAAGGTTTAATCTTGAGAAAACTTATTGATGTAGTATCCTTCTATTATATTTCAGCAGGCATTTCTTTTGAATTAATAAAGAGTGCTAAATGGGTTGGATTTTCAACAAGATTATTTCCATAATTTAATGCTTAATTGAAAAATAAATAAGAATAATAAAAGTTCTCTTTATTCAAATTATGATCTTTTTCAAAATAAATTCCTCCTCCTTCTTATGCATGATTATTTATAATCAATGTCTTTATTATTCTAAATAATTTTGATGTTATTCTTAAATATAAACCTCCACCTTAAGTACTTGCGAAATTGGAAGTAATTTTACAATTTCTTAAATCTAAAGATATATCAGTAACTTTAATAGCAACTCCTTTAGTTCCGTTATTATTAATAAAATTTGAATCCTTAATTTAAATTCTAGAATTAACTGAGTTATTGCCTACGAAATGAAGACATCCATATTCTTTTATAAAATTGTTATTACAATCTAAATTCTAGATTCTTAATTTCTAAAAAGATGCAACTTCAAAATAAATAATTCCATTTATACTTGTTTGAAAATTATTATACTCTAATTTTATCATATCTAGAAAAATATTACTTAAATTTGATTAACTTTTTATATATATGATTGAATTTTTTATTTATTATGATTTTTACAGCTAAATGATATTGCTAGAAAGATAATCTTCTGGTTATTCAATTAAAAATGAATTATTCATAATCAGACATCCACCTATAAAATAATCAGCATTAAGCTTAGAAGACTGAACATATGGAAAAGAATTTGATGTAAGTAAAAGTGCTTCTCTAATATTAATTGATTTTAAATAAATAAAAGATTTAGTTTGAATGGTTTAACTAATATGAATTAAATCTTATGATGTTATACTGAGTATATTTTCAATATAACAATTAAAGATCAACAAATTTTGTACATTAATTAACTTTAAAACAGGAGCAATTAGTATTCCTTCAACTATTAAATCTCTTATTTAAATGTCACAATTTTCAAAAAATATTAAAGCATTATTATTTCCTGTTATTTCTAATATCTCAGACAAACTTATTAATCCTACCTATTAAAAATAGGTAACCCATGCTTATTAATCTTATATTATCTTAATATTTATGAATTAAATTTAATTCAAAGCAACAATCTAATTAATGAATTAAATATCAATTATCTAATTCATCAATGAAATACAGTTGATAATATATACATTTTCGATAATTATATTATTTTGAAGTAATGATGGTATTATTGAGAAAAGGGATGTGGACATTCTATTAATTACATTTGAGAATCTAGCAGATGATATAGATAGAGTTAATAAACTATTCTAAGAATTCAAAGTTAAACATCCAGAACTTTCAGCCTATTCAATCTAACTATATGTAGTTGAATTAACTGAGAAATTTTTAATTAAAATAATTCCTTCATTTGAAGTAACAATATCAAAAACTGAACTTTTTGCAACTAATATTTCTTGAAATGAACAATTTAAACATTAAAATTTGCTAGTTTCAATTTAAGCTGCTCCTCCTATTACTTTAATATGATAAATCTACATTATAAAGAGATTAATTTCTTCTTAATCATTTTCATTCTCTAAACTTATAGGATAATAATCTTTCCAAATATTATATGGTAAAATGTTATGATTTTTGATCAATATATTGCTCATTATTAACTATTTAGTTGAAATCCTGATAAAAGAATTAGATGAATTAGTCAAAGAATTTTAGATACAATTTAAATTATTAATTGAAATATAACTTAGAGCTGAAGTAATATAAAATAAAGTAGCTGATTACTTTAGAGCACTTTCAGAATATATATGCATAAAGTTATTTTAAAATTTCACATCTTCCATTACAACATTAATTTACTTATCTGAAATAATGGCTAATAATGAAAAAGATTAGACTTAACTAAATAATTGTAAAAGATTTCCATAAAATTCAATGTTTTTTATGACAATTAAACCAAATTATTATTTTGATTTACTAGAAACTATTTCTATTAGTGATTCATCAACACTTGATTATTTTATAATTTTGCATTTTTCTAATTAAATCTAATCAAAACCCATAATTAATATTAATTAGTTTTAGAGATTTGATCTCTATAAACAATTCTTTGAAACAGAGACTTTTTGATGAACTATTTAATTTTAAAAAATTAAATTGTTGAGTTTTATATCTTCATTATCATAAAGATTAATAATACGAATTTCTTAGTTATCGCTAATAAAAAAATTATTTAAATTTAATGTTTTACTATTAATATTTAATATTTAACTTGATTAATCTGTATTAATTGATCTAATGTTTTATTAGATTTGAACAGATGAAATAGAAATTAACAATTTATTTGAATAAGAATTTGAAAATATATGAAATAGATTAGTATTTTGAAGTACATTTTTTTCTACTATAAGTTCATAGATAGAACATTAAGCGATTTTATCATTTGTTACTTCAATTGTTTATAAGAATTGTGATTCAATAAATAGATTTCCTTTAATTTGAATGTAATTAGCAGATAAACTATAACTAAATCCAAATAATATTGAATTTTCAATTCTATTAATTTCCAATATAACATTATTTAAGACTATATGAATAATTTATGAACAAAATAGGAAATATGAAAGACGAAAATAATTATTTTTAATAAATATATTTTTCATCTGGAATGTTGTTACTTTTATGTAATTTAAATAAAAAGTAAAAAGTGATGCATTTTAGAATACACATGAATCTAAAGTTAAATTTAGAATTTGAATATTTTATAAGCTTTTTGAAAATTAGATAAATTAGGAATCTATAAATGTACAATTTACAATAAATAAGGAATCAATAGCCATTTATCCTTGTAATTATAATAGTTGTAAATTAAATAATGAGGAATTTTTAATGGTTGTATTTATAATTGAAAAGTTTTATATATAGATTGAACCAAATTATTCAGCATAAAATACAGATGTAACATTAATGATACTACTATTCATTATTGTACAATTAATCAATGATAAATCAACATGATTATGAATATTCAACAAAATAATATTGTTTTACAAATTTTCTTCAAATATAAAACCAAAATTAATAAAAGTCACTTTATCATAATCTTCAAATAATATTAAATTGATAAATACAAGAAAGAACGGATTCAAAGCTTTTACATTAATATTTATATTGTTTAGTGTAAAGATATCTTATTTTAATGATGCCTGACTTTTCATTGTTGGAACTATTAAACAAGAATCCACTTATAAATCAAAGTATAAGTTAAATGTAAGTGTATTTATTCCAATGTGGTTACAATATTCTGAATTGATATTGAAGTATGAAAGAGTACTTGGAAATCTATTGAAAAAGCAATTAACTTAAAAAAATTCTAATTCAAATTCGTGATGACAAATGCCATCAAAACAATATTGTGTTATTTTTTGATAGGGATCATGAAAAACAAATGGATCCATAATTGGTAAAAGACATTATTATGTATATATAGAATTTTCTTAAGTAATTTAATATAAAGGATTAATAGTCTAAATATATATAATATATTAAATTACTTTAATATCTTAAAGAGGACGTGATTTACAAATTTGGCAAAGTCGAGGACATTCAGGACAATAAAGTCCAAACTAGATTTTTATGGGATCTTCCAAATAGTTTGACCTACATTTTTCACAAAAGTATTAATAATCATTATTTTTACATGAAAGACAAGAATATCCACATTTTGAAGATTTGTCGTTAGGATAATCTAAACTTTTATTTAATTGATATATTAATAAAAAGGCTTAAATTTACAAATCCCAGATATCTATAGAATAATTAATTTTAGATTCTTCATTCATATAACATTATCCTTCTTATAACAAAAATCCAATTTTACAGTTTATACAAATTATAACTGATTGATAATAAAATGCGCATATTTCACAATTTAAATTATAATCATCACAATTATTAATTACTCTTGAAACTTCAAAATTATTCAAGGATGATATTAAACATTTTTCATCTAATTATTTTATATATGATGTTAAACAATATTATATTCTTGGTACTTAATTAACACATAACCCAGAGTTAAAATTAAAAATATAACCATCTTAGCATTAAACACATCCAATTTTAACATAAGAATTACTCTCTTCTAGAATATAAACTTTAGCTTAGGAGAGTGAATTAGATTCCTCATTATTATTATAATTATATTCAAAACATTATAAGCAATATTTAATAGGACATATCTTGCATTCTCTAGTATAAGTTGTATAATAAGGAGGTTGACATTATTTATAGATATAAGGAATTTTTTTGTTGAATATACATAATCCATCAACTACAATATAATCCTCTTCACATTTTAAACAAACTATTCCTTCAACTTAAATTCCACATAAAATACAAAAACCAACATTACAAATTGTACATTTTTACTCTTAAACAAAGTCTATTAAAGAAAAACAAAATGATTCAAAACTATTAAATTTTTCTACAAACAATTTATAAATGGCATCTTCATTTTACAATTCTTGTTCATAACCCAGTTCTAAACAATTCTCACATATTATTAGATCAGATCCATCATGGTAATACTACAATGAATAATCGTAAAGAATAGCATTTTCAATCTAAAAAGATAAAGGAAAATAAATATATTCTTCACATATAGATTTAGAAGCCCAATCCTTTCCTTATGAAAAGCATTCAAAACATGTAATCAAATCATCTTTTACTCTAGAAGGACTATGAAGAATTATTTAATAATATACCATCTTTCACAATCTCCTTCTAATTCAAAATAACCTGCTTTACACTTGTTATTAATATTTTATTTAACTTTTAATAATAGGTTTGAATCTTCATAAGTAATGCATTTATTATCATAATCTATTGTAGAATATGGACAAAGGCATTGTTTAAATTCAGGAATGTATATCCTCTACTAATCAACTGAGCATGACAAACAATTACTCTTATTAGAACCATCACAATCTAAACAACTAGAATGGCATTTAGTTATCCTTTCATCATATTAGCAATTAGTAAATTAAAATTTTCTTAATTCTATTTTTAAAAAGTTTAATGAATTCTATTATATATTTCCATACTATAATTTAAATTAACAATTATGAAATTATCTTACTTATAATTAAGCCTCATAAAATTAGATATTACTTTAATAATCATAAAAAGTTATTTTAATATTAAATTAATTATCTTCTAATTACAAAAACAAATAATGCCATTACTTTAGATTATCCTTTTAAATCTAAAATTATTTCTCAATTTCCTATGAAACATCTTAAATCTCTTTTATGGCAATTGGAAAATCATAAGTATAGGTTTTTATTATTATTTTGGTTGAAAGAGTAGAGATCTAATAAAACATTTAAAATGTAGCTAAGTTCTCATTAAATATTTGTTGTTTTCCTATAAATACTGTCATTTTAATAAATTAATAAGTAAATTCTTCAGATTTCTACACTATATCTTTTACTTTGAACCACCCACTCAATGCATAAAAATTACAATTAACATTTTCTGAAATATAAATCTTGTCATCAAGAACATTTAAGCCAATGTCTTCTAAATCCACTTGTTCATTGTTTTAACAATTACATTATGTTAGACTAGAATATCCTTCAATTATTTGTTATTAAAAGTCAAATGATATAGGGATTATATCTATTAAGGGATGATATACAACAATTTATCCTGGAAATAAAGAAAATATCATTCCTTATTTAATTTAATCAATCCTAGATTCAATTACTTCCAAGTTGTCTCCAAATGTTAATAATAGTTGTTATTCTTTGAAAGGCTTAATATCAGTTATTAGTTCTTTGAGTATTGTTTTATCTTATTTTATGATGATCAATTCTAATCTCCTTAACATTGGCCATGAAATCAACTAAAATTAGTACCAAATGTTTTCAAATTCATATGGATCAAGAGCTTTGTCAAATTGAATTGATTAATCTTAATCATTTACAAATTATATTGTTTTTACTATTCTTTTTGTTGAATATTCAAGACAGACATAATAAATAAAATATAAACTTTAAGTTGTGTATTCCATTACATTTATTAATTAATAGCAATTACTTTAAAACATACCAATTTGATCTTTAAAAGCTTTTATATTTAATGGACTATATTTAGACCATATTCCAAAAGTAAAACAACTCTCCTCAGACAATTCAGCTTCATTAATTGCAAAGATGTTTCTTAAACTCAAATTATCCATATTCAAAGTTGTATTTTGGAACTACTATTAAGTTGTTAAAGAAAAGCATAAAAAGTATGTAAATATCATAATTCAATTTTTGAAAATCAATTTTAATTTCTAAATTAATTGTAGTATTTAGTGATACTTATAATTTAAATAAAGTGTAATTTTGTATAAATTTCAATCAATGAATGACTACAATGAATAATATTGTGACTTAAAACAAAACACATAGAATTGTAAAAATATATTCATAATCATCTTAATGAGAATTTATTATTTAATTAATTATATATTTTTATTTTTGGGTTTTTATGATTTTTTGAAGAATAGAATTTAACATTGGTATGTTACCTAAAAATGATGAATATTCCAACAGTTTGTTTGGAATAAATCTAAGCAGAAACATAGTTAAGTTGTTTCATTTCTATTATATAATGAATAAATATTTGTTAGATTCCTCAACATCCTTTCTATTATCCAATCTTAACTTTAATACAAAAAAACATTAATTTATTATCTGAAACAATTAAGAATAAAATCAATTTTCAATCTAAAGAAATGAAAAGATGATTAAAACCTGATTATTTAAAAATAAACTTAAAAATAATTATATTTCTATTTCTTTACTAATTAATATGCTTAGTTAAAATAGTTGAATGTATATATGGATTTTTGAAATAATAATAAAAAATATTAACATAAATTTATTATATAAATAAATCTGATAATGACTGATATACAGTTTTATAATTACTTTAAATATTAGTATCATCTTAAAACATAGGATGTTATTTAAGTATATAATCCACTCATTATCATAGTGAATATAGATTAATTGTATTATTTGGAGATTTAATATAAATCTTTATGTTATGAATTAATTATATAAGATATTTATTTCGAATTTCCTCTTAAAAAGTCGAATATTTTAATTTATTAAAGATTATTATCTTCAATACTTAAAAATGAATTTTTATAAACTCCATAATCATCTTACGATATATTACCTGAATTTCCAACAAGATTCTTTATTCTTCTTAATAATTTTCCACTATTTAATAATCTAACAGAATATTCTGTTTCATAAATATCTTCTTATTCAATAATCAGACAATTTTTAAAAATGATTAATTATTTTCTAACATCAGTTTATTTTTTTCTTTATTTAATAACTTTGCAATTTTCAAGATAAATTATATATTGGAATAACTCTGTACTTATTAAGGCAAATTTCATTAAAAATGATTTGAAATATAGGATGAATTTAAAATTGAATTTAAGATATATTTCTTTTTCCTATTGCAAATTGATCTATTCTACATTGATATGAAATATTTTATTATTTTTATTTATATAATAACTATTGATTGTATCCATCTAAAAAATAAAACATGTTTCTTCTAAATTATTAAAGAGAAATTCTTTCTTCTATTAAATATCTATTATTAAATAACCATCCGAATACCCTTAACAAATTAAAAATTTTGAATCTTTAGAAAAATGAAAATTTATATTAAGAAATCCTCTGCATAATAAACTACTTTCAAAAATAACTTTGTTTGATTTTACTTCGTATAATTTTATTCTTAAATCACTTTTTTAATTCCCTTTGAATCTCCTTGATGTATTATTCTTTTTTCTGATTTTGTCTTCAAAAATGGCTAAATATTAAAGATCATGAGACAATCCAAAATCAAATATGTGAAACAAATCATCAAAATTATCATACTATCCCTGAATTGATTGATTTTATTTTTCTACTTGGTTATTTTACACTTCTTCATTATAAAACTCATATTTCCACATAACTATAGCATTCATCATTCTATTTTTTAATTCCATATTATATATATTAATATATTAATATATTTAATATTTAAATAAACTTATACTATATATATTTGACAAAATAATATTTTAAATAATGATAATGATTATTTTTAGATTCTTTTATTTGCATACTCTTTGAAATCTTAAATTATTATTCTAAAACAAGTAAAAATGATTGAAATCAATTCAAATCACCTATAGATTAAGTAAATTTGATTAATTCATTACTTCTATTGTCTATTAATAAGTTCATAGTAAATATATTATTATATATAATTAACTTAAAGAGATGCAAAAATAAATAATAACTCATTTTTCAATCTTGTATATCATTAGCAAAGAGTAGTTATAAAATTTCTTCAAAAATTAACATTAATAATTTCTAATAAATTGTAAATTCGTTAATATTATTGAATATAATATAATACATTAAATATTGATAAAAATAATTAATTAAAATTTAATATTCTGATCTAAACACAGAGGATTTAAATATATTCTTTTAATATGAAATTTATATATTATTCTACATATTGAATATTTCTTAAATCAAAAACATTGATACTTTTTATTCTGAAATTAAGCACAATACTTAAAGTTAAATTCAAAATTAAAAAATTAAATATCTTTATATCACAATATATTTCAAACTCATCTTACATAATTCAATTAACTTTCTGTATTTATTTAGTTTAATTAACAATATTTATAATCAATATTACAACCTTTCATGACAATATCAGATTTTAATAATAATTTCAGTTGTAATATTGTATAAATTACAATTAAATGTGAAAAAGATATTCTATATATTTTCATTTCTTTTTTATTATTACCATGGGAAATCAAAAATCAACATATAGGTGGTATAATTCACAAAAATCAGATTTCTAAAATGTACTTGCAATAAACCATGATAACTCTGTTCTTGTAGTAGGTATTAGAGAAGAAATCTAAATTTTCAAAATTTTGCATTATAAAGAATACAATGTTGAAAATTTAACTGAAGAAGAGGAGGAGGAACTTTATGCAAGTGAAGGAAAAGCTTTAACAAAACTTTTGATTTATGATGGGATTATTGGTTAAGTCACAACTCTCTAATTTTTAAAATCTGAAAAACATGCTAATTTCTTTCTTTCTGGTTCAGAACATTTGATAAATATTTGGGCCCCAGATGATTAATCAACTCCAAAACGCTGGGAATCAAAATTTAAGATTGAATGGACCCGTTCTTAAATTAATTGTGTCGTCATTCATCCCAATGAAGACCTTATTATTAGTGGTGATAATGAAAATGTGAAATTTTGGTAATTACAAGATTAGTATGTTTGTAAATAGATAATAAATGAGCATAAAGTGCCTATATATGGTTTATCAATAAGCCCAGATGGAAAAAAATTAATTTCAATTGGAGCAGATAAAAATCTTATTTTAATGACAGGTTTAGAAAAAGAAACTTGGTAAGTTCTTTAGAAGATCTAATTTACTGAATAACTACTTCGGATCTGCTTTATTACTAATTAAATTTTTACTCTTCAATCATCTAAATCATCTACAGGATCAAAACATTTATAAATATTCAAAATGGATTTGAATGAGAAATTTTAGATTGCCAAAAATATTTCTTTATAAGGAAAGGGTCAACTTGATATAGGGGATTGTCAACCAATTTATGTTCCTTCTAAATAAATATTAATGATTAAGAGTGGTTTTTCTATAAATATTATAAGGTTTATTCTATACAATCCATAATTTAAAGGTTTAGATGGGGAATTCAATGTTTAGTTAGAATAATAAATTGATTTTGGTCATGATTGGGTATTTGGAACAATTAGTCATGATGGATAATTCTTAATTACCTGGGATACTAAATCTCATAAGACCTAAATAAAAAAATATTATCAGAAGATGGATCAATAAATTTGACCAAGTAATATTAAAAATAATATTCAATATAAATTATAAAGAAATTTTTTATTATAAAAATAATTAAGACATTGTTTGGATAATTAATATCATGAGTTTATTAAAAATACTTTTAAATTTGATATATTTTATCAAATATCTATTTATTCAATATCCAAAATATTATTAACTGCTGCAACCTAATTATAGGTTATTTAATTAATTTAAATTCTTTTATCACTAATTATTATTATTAATTCTTAATGAGCTGAATTTGTTGGTAAATATCTTGGAAAATAAGATATTTAATTAATTTAATTATTGCAATTATGACTATATATATAAAATTTCTAAAAAGAGCAATTATTGCATTTATTAAATTAACTATTTATTTTCTTAGCAAATGAACATTTTATTATGACATTTATAAGCACTGGAGAAATGGATTTGTCAATAATTGTAGTAAAAGTACCTATTTAATTAAAAACTTCATTTGTTTATGGTAATTCTGCATAAACTGTAGGTCTATTTAGAGCTTCTAAATCAATTTTTTATGAAATTCTTATGGTCTAAGTTTGTAGTGGTTGATAGAATGTATTTATCACATATGACATCAAAACTGTTAAATGGGTATGCTTTACAAGTTTGTCCCCTATATTAATTATTAATTTTTACAAGAATCTACTTTACAAGACACTGTTGAGGCAGTATAAGTGTAGGTCCATCTAAATTATAAATACTAGTTGTTATCAAATTGGAATCCAACAATTGGTGTTAGAATCCATTTATTTGTTTATAAATTAAAATTTTAGCTAGTGTATATAAAGAACATGTTTTAATAAAATCAAAGATTTATGTAGAAAATAAAGGTCGAATAATATAATTATTTTAGGAGTAAATCAAATCATCATTTGATTTTACAAATTGAAAAAGTTTCAAAAATAAGAGATATCTTTATATTAGTAATTATTTAGTATTATGATATATTCCCATATCATTAAGTAAATAGAGAAATAAAAATATTAGAAAATTTGAGTTTTTCATCATTGTATATTTGAATTACTTCCTCATTTAAAATCTCCTCTAAGTCCCTCAAAAATCAATTCTTTATTGCTGCATCAAAGCTAAGAAGTCTGATAATTTGTACCTCTCACATATCAATTTTGGGTCTAATTCATTGATGCTATCTTATATCAATAGGTCACTTCATTAGACAATTAATCTTTTACAGATTGGATTAAAGGATTAGGTTCTAATTTGATTTAATGCAAAATTAAATAATAGATACAAGTTTAGAGTTATGGATATCAAAAATCTATTAGAAGTGATAAGATGTTTGTTTTTAACCAAAATCATCTCATAATCTTTAAGTATATTAATATGACCATTATCTTTGTATATATATTAAAAATAAGAGGATATCTGTGTTTTGGAATTCACAAGAATATAATTGGTAGTACTAATAATTATTATTCAAAACTGGACATGTCTTAAATCTATCTATTTAGATTTCAAATAAATAAAGAAGAAATTGTTGAATTAATCTAAGAATAGATCATCAATTTTAGCCCAAATTAATTTGGACAAGGATGTATATTTGGGACACTAAGTTATAATGAAGATTATTTAATTACTTAGGATGAAAAATCTTAGTAAATTTAAATAAGAAAATATTAATTAATAATCCTAACAATTAAGTACTCTTGATTAAAAAAGCAAAATATGATTATTAATAAATTAATCTTAGAAACAGATATATCATAAATTGGCTTTATATCATGTCATCCTTTTGAATTTCTATTATATCCACAATTTGGTATTATATTTGATACAAATATATAAATATTAATATATTACATAAAATATGTTGTCAAACAGAAAATTCATGAAAATTCTTATTATTCATGAATATTTCATTTCTAAAACAAAATAGGTAATAGCTGCCAATCAATATATAATTGATCTTCAGATTCAGTATAGAATTATATCTACTGCTGTTGTAAAATTGACTTTTGAAAAAATCTATATCTCTCAAAAATTTATAAAGAGAATTTGCAAGAGAATTATTTTTAATAAAGAAGATAAAAATACTTACTCTTCAAATTAGTAATAAATAAGATTAAAAACAAGTTTAATTTAATATTTTCTAATAAATAAAATAAGCATAATTTATATAGAAACAATAATATTTTTATTATTTTTTTAATACAAAGATAAAAACCTTAAAAAACAATGGTGTTATAATTGACTCTTTAATACTGTAAAATCCATTAGTTTTATGTATAATTGCTGATATATAAAAAAAGTAGAGTCTTTGATATTAATTGGAATGGATGATATAACTTGAACATACTGAGAAATGTCATTGTCTTTTTCAAGATCATTAATGTAAATAATCTTTATATTATTAAAGGATATCATATGATAAATCATCAATCTTTATCTATTATCTTTTCTAATGTTTAGATTATATTTTTTTCATCATATTAATACTATTATTGATTATTTGTAAATTATTATTCTTAACAAAACTTCATAAAATTACATACATGATATCCACATGAATAACTATTAATTTATTAACCTGATTCTTAGTGAATTTATTGTAATTTAATATTTATCTTAAGGACATCTGCCAAAGTATCTATTAAATATTAATTGTGTGTAAAAAAATCATTTGAATATGATGTAGAATTAAAGATCTAAACTAATCCAGCTTCAGCATCAACAAATAGAAAATACCAATGAAAATTTTTGTTAATTGGAAATCCAAATTTTTAATAAATTCTTGTTATTTCTAAATCCATTTATGAATATTCAAGTAATTCTTATTCTAATAAATAAGTTGCTTTTTGTTTATCAAAGTTTTCACCAAGGTTTGTGGTTAAACTGGTTGGTAAAAATAATATACGTTTAATCTTCTATCTTTCTTAAAATTTAAGATCAAAATATTAGTTATCACTTTCTAAATTAAGTTTAAGAACATAACTATCAATAATACTACTATTTATCCATCTTTAATTTTTTAATAAATTCAGATCATTATTTGATATTAATTAATTATACTTACACCAAAAATTTTAGACTTAAACTTATTATTTTCTATTGTGATGCTCAGTATTATACTATATTCCTGTTGTCATATCTGTAATAGTAATTTTTTAGTTATTTCTTTTGGTCTACTAATTATTATTCTCAATATTAATTGTATTATTTGGTTCAGATATATATTCTCCATTTTTAAAGTTTCCAATATATTTTATAAATGTTGATTTTCCTTAATATTCTTCACCTTATCCATTTAATAAAAATTTTCTTTATTTCAAATTTATTAAGAACAGCCCTTTTTATAATTTAAACTTTGGATTCCAATTTTTATCATATTCAGTTAAATAAATAAATCCCTCTATTTTATATATATTAATGTCTTGATTTAATGAATCTTTTGTTTTTCTAATTATTTGACTATAATAAAACTAGATGTTTTTGAATAATAGAAGATTATTATATTTACCTTTTATATTTTTAATAAGATCGTAATTAAATTTCTTGTAATCTTCAGTCCAACAGTCCTTATTTTTTTATAGAATGATCAATTTTCTCTTTATCTTTCGTTTTTTAATTCTTTGTATTCTTTGTTTGTGAATCTTCTTAGATTCATCTTTGATATTTTTTTAATAAGACTAGGTTGAAAGGGTTAATTTTTAGTTTTCTTTAGGTTTATCTTTAACCCTAAGACCAAAAAGATCTTAAATTAATAGAAACATTACCTAATATGCATCCCATTGTTTATAATAATAGAAATATTATTTATAAATTATTATACGAATATTAATTAAATTTCCCTTAAAATCTAGAGACTAAGAATTATGAGCAATATACTTTTATGAAGGATTTATTTAATACTTGATTAGTATTCAAAGACATTGAAATTTAGGATTTTAACAGGTGATCTGGTAATATTTATGAAATCAAAATATTAATATTACTATATAATTGTTAAAAATTTTATTAAAACCTTATCTTTCATTTCAATTATTTACAAAATCCTTATTATATTCTAAATTTATGCACGATATTATTCTAAATTAATATTCAAATATTAATGTTATTAAAATCTCAATATTATTATTTTATATAGACAGTATCTTTTATATAATTGTTAAAAATAATATATGTTAAAAGTATCTCTTATTTTCAATAATTCATTTTCTATATAATAAATATCCAAATTGTTTTTATATGTTTTTTTTATAGTAATTTGAATGATTCTCATTTAGAATGCTATCGAAAATACTGAAAACAACAAGTAAAATTTCCAATAAGTAAAAATGACTTAATCTATATATAATGTCCAAGATTTCATTATTTATTTTACATGTTTTCCATCTCTATGTTAAATAAATCTATAATCAATAAAAAAAATAAATTTGTTAAGCGGTATGATATCCTTAATTTAAAATCATGATTATAAAACAATCTATTCTTATTATATAAATCTATAATCTCAATCGTCCATATATACATATAAATACTTTAGATAGATTTTTATGAATATAGAATTGATTAAATTATTTGTTCAATACTAAAAAAAATGAATAATATTAAGTGGTAATTGAAAAGAATCCTTAGTAATAGTTAATAAGCTCTGATGTTCGAAAATCGAACTTAAAAGGGTAATAGAATATCCATAAAGTTGATTTTTTTCATTTCTTTGGTTTGGCAGAGGAACATTACATTATGAAGATCAAATTCACCTAGCTCAACCTTCTGAAGAGATTTAGAGTACTTAGCCAAAGATTGTTTCTAAAAAATTGTTATAGTTAAGGATCAAAGTGTAAGTGCTGTTTCTGCTTTACTAGAATAGAATTTAAACATAATTGCGTGTTTCCTAACTTATAGTACTCCAGTAATTAAATGCAATTAAATTAATATTAAATACTAATAATCTTTTAATGAAGCCTATAATACTGGATTTAATATTAGACTACTTGCTTTGGTATATTGGAAATAAAAATAACTAAAACATTTGATTTTCTAAAGAAAAAGCTTGAAATTTAACATGGGAAAATGTATTCTAAGGGTTTTAGAATTTTAATTAGGGCAGAAGGAAGGTTTAAAAAGATGATTTAATTTGACTGAAATATTTAATTTAATCTGTTCATATATATAGTAGCAGTAGATAGAATATCATTACGAATTTATTTGGAAACTGATACTAGCAAATTCGCTTAATTAGTCCCTGACTAAAATTAATCCTAAGAAAACTACACTAGAATATAATAGGAAAGAATACTTTAAATTTCAATTGGTTAAAAAAAAAATATCATAAAAGGTAATAAGCTATCAAATGTCTAATGTGAATATAATTTTGGTACCTGTCTTCAATAATTTATTTGATTGGGAAATATTATTGCAATGTTTATCCTGTGGAAACGAGTTCATGCTGGTCTATTATTTATGATAATATAGAATATGAAATATATCATGATAAAGTAGACAGTTACTGCTTAATCTCTACTCCTGTAATTACTAATGATATGATAGTTAAAATTAATTTTATCAATTTTATATTGATTTAGCCTTTTATATAATTATGCAACTTGGGATAATATTAAGTGATTAGACACAAATTATATCTATACACTTCAAAAATCTAAAAATTATTCGATTTTTGAAGTGTATAGATAAATCAAAAAGATTAAGATCCTTGACTGCTTATGATGATCAGTATCTATTAAAAACATTAGAGTGTGCACTAAAGCATATTAATTTTAAAAGAGAATTAAACCTAAACCTTAGTTTTTGTAGGCTTAAAATTAAGATTTAAACCAATATTTACCATATCAAATTTAAATAATCTAATAATTGTAAAATTGAAATAAAAAATGAAAATTATCAGATTATAAATTAGATATTAAAATAATATTTACATTAATATTTTATTTAATGATTTTTAAATATAATGTATATTTTTAGATTGGTATCTCTTTAGAAAGAATATACACAATGCATTTATGAGTATAAATTAATAATGATATTCTATATGATTCAAATTAATATATTTAAATATGATTAACCAATTAATTAAATATTTAACTGTGATCTTTTAGATATGAATTATTTGAACTTCATTTATAAATAATAGAATTTTAATGAAAAATTTTAATTTTTGTAATGGTATTTAGTATTTGAAAATACATATTTTACTCAATTTAAATTTAATTATTTATAAAATACTGAATTTTTGTTTTAAATTAATCAACAATTAGTATACGAATGTCTCCAATTAAATAAAATATTTGATTTCTTAAATTTCTTAGTTTAATTCAAGATAATAACAATAAAAGCCTAAGACTTTTGAATTACATTTTGTTATTGATAAATTTGGACAATATACACTCCCTATATTAGAATACAATCTATTAAAAATAGTTGTAATGAATAAATGCAATAATTATAAAATTAGTATTTTTAATTTAATGAGTTATTTGTATTTTTCAAAAGCGCTTACCATTCATATATGAGCCTAAATATTGTAAAATTACTTAAATATTAAAATTTTTAATTGTGGATTATTCAAATTATATATTGTCAAGTGAAAAGTTATTTAAGTTACCGTTTTTTTTAGAGTAAAATGATTTATTTGAATACCATTTGCAATTAAAATTTTTTGTTGATTTATGTAACAGTCTAGAGAATTAAATTCTTATATTACTTATAAATGTCAGTATTTAAACTGTAAAAAGGTTGCTAAATTGAAGATTTTGATTTACAATAAATAATTATAATTTTAAATTTGTGTTTGGCTAATGAGATAGTTTATTTTAATTAGAATGGAGATTAGAAGATGAAAATATTACATATTAAGTAATGTAGGTAATGATATTTAGATTTTGTAATAGATTGTGGATTATATAAAATGATGGTCAGTAAATCAAGATTTAGAGATGTGCATGATTCTTATGATAAAGGTTAGGAGAAATAAAGATGTACAAATTTTATGTGAGGTAATTATGGTTGGTTAATTCAGATGAAAAATATTCGTATGATCTAATGCAAAACAAAAATATGCTTTAGTATAGTCTATTTACTTTATATCTAAATTTAATTCTCCTTTATTGCTTATTATTTAAGTCATCTAACTTGAAATATTTTTATATATAATAATCTTCATAGATGTAAATTAAAAAATACTTCTTCATTCAAACTCTTCCATACATATGAAGTCATATGATTTATGAATAAATCCAAAGATTTAAAAGTGATTATATTTAAATATTTGTAAATTGAAATATGTGGTAGAGCTGGTGCGGAAAACTATAATCGATCTTGTGACATTTTAATCAATATTATTTTGTTATTTCAAACAAATATCTATTCCTAAATATTAAAAAATGAAACCAAGATACAAAGGCATTAGGAATTAGAATTCTGGTCATCAAAAGCATATGTTATATTTTTACAAAGCACATATCTCCCAAAAGAGAAAAAATTGGTGAAGTAACTTGAGCAAAATAAAAATAAGGATAAATTAATTGTGTAAAAACTATTTGCATTAACTTATTAACAAATTTTATATTAATGATACCTTAAATATTTTATTAACAAAATAATTTTAAATTCAATAACTAATCACCTTTTTGATTTAAAAATTATAAAGTTAGTAGAAAAAGTTGTTTCTTATAGATTTAGACAAAAAATATACTTTGATTTTAACTTTTTAATAGAAATTATTCTTACTTAAGAGCTTTCCATTTGGATAGGATAAAAAATTAAAAGTCAGATTTAAGTATTAGAAAATTTAATTTGAATTCATCTTAAGAATAATGATATCCTCTCAAAATATAAAGATATTTTTTTATCTTTCTATTAAATATTACAGCAACTAGATAAATTTATGAGTTGAAAAAAAATTATAATTATTAAAAGATATTTTTCACTCTACTAAAAGGCTCTCTTAATTAGACTGCTAAGTATATCTAATCTCTAGTATTTCTATATTATTATCAAATACTAATATCATATATAATTTTATAATTATATTTATTTATAAAAATGTATTTAGATCTTTATATCAAATATTTTTAGTTAAATTGAATCGAATTTTTTTCAAAAAAATTGAAAAAGAAATATAGTTATGCTTTATTTTTATTCTTAGAATAGCATGTCTTTTCAATAATTTTCCCTTTAACATAGAAATTTGATATTTTATTTTTATAAAACGGAAATATGGAATAAAAATAATAGAATTACTATGTATTTACGTTGTTGAATAATAAAGAAAATGAGGGACTATTTAAGAATAAAAATTAAAGGAATAAATAAATATTGATATCTTAATATTATGTATTTAATGAAATGATTTTCATAACATTAATAATTATCTCCTTATATAATCTTGATCTACATATCCTAAATTAAGAGCTTTCATAAAACAAATTCTAGCTTCTTATTTATTTCCTAAAGCAAGTAAAGATTCAGCTAAAATAGTTAATTTTAGGAAGTGAATACCTTTATATTTATAAAATGTAGAGTTTTCTTGAATTAATAGAGCCTTGTCATAAAACTTTATTGCTTATTGAAATTCTTTCATTTGATGTAAAACAATGGCTAATAAATAAAATGAAATAATGAACCTTTATTATTATAAGCATTAGCATTTAGTGAATTTAATTAAATTGCTTTATCATAACATTCAGAAGCTTCCTAATATTTCTTTAAATTGCTTAATGCCCAACCTATTTATTGTAGATTTTTCTAATTAATACCCTTATTATTAAAAGCCATATCATTTTTAGGATTCAATTAAATAGCTTTATCACAACATTCAATAGCTTCTTTAAACCGATATAGATTTTCTAAGGCCCAAGCTATTTATTATAAATTAATAATAATAATACCTTTATTGTTGTATGCCATATCATTTTCAGGATTTAATTAAATTGCCAAATCACAACATTTAATTCCTTCTTATAGTCTTGATAAATGTAATAATGATTATCCTTAGAATAATAAATTAGTTATATTACCCTTCCACATAAATATCTTATCTATTATATTTAATAGAGACAATGAATTATCATAAATTTTAAGAGCTTCTTCATGTTAACCTTAATTTGTTAATTACATAGCCATATTGAATAGAATTTCTACTTCTTGTAATTCAGATTTCTTATTTTCCTTTGATTCTAAAATCTTTTCGATTTCTTTTAATTAATTTATGAATTACTCTAAAAATAATAATTAAAATATAAACTTTCTTAATTTTATTAATCTTATGAATAGTATTTTTTTATTAAATCGATTGATTGTTTGGATATAATGAAATCTTAGTTTTGTAATGCTTAATTCAATTTTTATAGAGTTTAATTATTTTCATCCATTCTTTTTATATTTTAATCCATCTTCTACTTTACTCGATTATAGATAACATTTGATGTTTTTATCAATTCAGCTTAATCCGAAATATATATTTTTATTAAATCAGGTAGATCTATTAATCTAATACAATGTTTTTGATGTTCTTAATGTACTTCAAATAAACATTTGTAACAATATTTGGAAGCATGTTAACAATTAGAATTAAGACAAATCCCCATTATGACCTCGTTTTCATGATTTACATATGTGCATTTTTACATTTTTTTTTTAAAGTTAATTAATAAAATGATACAATCAATATTTATAAAATGAAAAATAATAATAAGTCTATATACTTAATAGAATACCAATACTATTAAATGTAGGACATGAAAATATTAATAATATTATTCTATTTATAGAGATACCATCATATTTTTTTATAAATAAATTTCAAATTTGTAATAAAATAGAAAATTAAAACCATATTAACTGATTATTAAATCTTATTTTGTAATAACTTTAAAAATTATTTTATATCTTAGTAATGATGATATTTTTTATATAGATTGTTTTTGTTACCCTCAATAATTAAGCTCAATAATTGTATTAGATACTCTAAATTAACTTTAACTTATAGTAATAATCTAATTGTAGTTAATCATTGAGTGCCTCATTTGTTTATATTCCATACTTAAATTCAACCACCTTTATAACATAATGTTAAATGAAGATTAATCAATTAAATTAAAATCATTTTTTCCTTGTAGATATAATTTTGCTATTAAAAATTTCATTGTTAATATGTGAAACATTTATTTTTTAAGGAATAATTATTAATTTCAATTAATAAAAGTGATTTAGTTTGAATATTATCTAAATACAAGAATCATTAATAATAGCACAGATATTTAAAATATTGAAGGAGTCATCTAAGTCCATTAAGACAAGTACTAAATTTAGATTATCAATAATGATTTATTCAAATTTAGATTCTCAATTAAAACTAATCAATTACAATTATATACTTTTTTAATTTCAAAGCTCTACTATTACATTTATACTAATAAAAAATGAACAACTACGATTCAAATTTTATCTCAAAATTTAATAAAACAATTATGACAAAATTTTTACATATTGACATAAAAATAGATTTAAAATTTATATTATTTTCAAAAATATAAAATCAACTTCACTAATATATTATTTAATATTGAATAAAAAATGATAGTCAGCAAATAATACATATTTTATCGTTTGAAGCCCAATCAGGCTTATGAAGTATAAATAAAATGGTTAAATATACGAATTGTAAATATTCTACTTTTGAAACTTAAGAAAAATTATAAGCATAATATAAACTTTGGATGCATAAAAAAATTTAAAACTCATTAATATGCTATATGATTATATTCAATTAAATAAGTAAGAAATCATCAACCAGGAAAAATAAGATTTCGGAACAAATGTGAATATATAATTAGATATTTTTTTTATGAAATTAACTTAATAATAAATATTGGAAAATTTTATAAAATACATAAGAAAATGTTCAATAAGAATTTAAAAAAGTTTTCTCAATTTTTATATGATTGATTTAAATAATCTGTCATATATTTGAAATAAAAACTACTCATTATAAATTATATGATACTAACCCTTCAATATTTTAAATATTAAACTTATAATCATGTTTTTAAATTGAAACCTTTGGTTTATTTAATATAATTATTAATATTATATGTGGTAATTATAATTACTTGATTCAATTATATTTAATAGAAATATGTAAATCCAATTCAAGCATATGCAATAAAAGATTATTATTAAATTCCACATGAATTACCTTTAGGCAATCTTATAATACCATTTTCACCCCACCATTTGCCCTAAGAATTTTTTACTATCCAAGTTCCATCATCATTGAAACCTATAATCAAACATCATGGTTTAATTCTTCAAAAGTACATCTATTAAAAACACCTGAGTTATAGAATGTCCAACTTGATCCATCAACAGATGCAGCAATTGGAGACTTAATAATTGCAGATTAAATTTAATTAGGATCAACTTTTTAATATCCCTTAATTTTGAATTAACCTGTTTACCTTTTACATGCTTCAGTTTTTGAAGTATAAGGGTAATTTGTGGCTGTTGTTACACCATTCTTAAAAACCCTATTTAATGAATTATCTAAGTTAACATCTTCACAACCTTAAGATTCTAAATCGCAATCTATTAATTATTATTCTAAAAGGTCTTAATTAGTGATACTATAATTCTTAAAATTGATTCTACTGCTCCTATTGCTGCAAAAGCCCAAGCAGCTCTACAATAACCTTAATCTTTAATAGCAGTTAAACCTTCCCAATTTACAGAAGATAAATTTGTTTCAATTCTCTCCTCGTAGATCTTAGTTCTAAATAACTTTTCAGAAGGACCATAAAATTTTCAATATTTTCTTGTATAAATTTCGAATCTCTATCGGAGATTTATTTCTGAATTATCAAAATATTAAGTGATTCCAATCATTATTAAAGATAACATTCGCATAGCTAAAAGCTTATTCATTTTTAATTATTATATCTCTAAATTTTGGCGAGCTTTTATTATAAAAGTAGTGACATAATTAAATATATCATCAACAACTAAAATTATATTATTGAAAATCTCAATTTATTAATTTTTTCTCAACAATTTCATATGTTACTCAATTAATAAGTGTGTTATCTAACAATTTAAATATATCACAAGGCTCTTCGACTTTCAATAACTATTTTGACTAATTGTAAATTAATTTAGTATTTTTGTAGAATAAATACAGAAGCTTTATAAATTACGAATTTTTTAAAATCATTTCGATCAGAAATACAGTTTGATATGAATAATTAAAATTTTATATTTTGGAAATATTATATAAATTAAGAATAAAATGTAATTAATAACTCAAGTACTTTTGAACCATTAATAACGTAAAATTTTATAATAAATAACTTGTCTATACTTCTAATTTCATTATTTTTACTTAAAAATTGAATCAAAATTTTTATGATTAAAATCTGGAGAATACATTATATTTTAAAATTTTACATGAATTTTATTTGAATTGGCATGATAGATAATAAGGAAGTGGATTTAAAAGCTTATTAAATAATAAATATCTTAAAAATGGTTTTATCAAATTAACTCTTAATTATTTTATATATTTTCATTTTCTGATGTTTTTAACTTCCAATTTTTATTTGAATTAAAGTGAGAGAATAATAAAGAATATTTTTTTTGATTTTAATATTATAAATATTAAATTTAATTAGTGTGATTTAAAAAAAAAAATATTTTTAATGAATTTAAATTGTGGCGTATCCACACTTTAAGCTTAGTCTACAGGTCCTCCAAATCGAGCCCCCAAGGGTTTGGGTTTGGGTTTGGGGTTGGGGTTGGGGTT